TCCTAGGTCCTTATAGGCGTGGGTCCAGGGGCCGCAATAGCCTGGAGAAAAGAGTACTTGCGGTCAAATTATTGGGGGGGGGGGGGCTAAAGCCCCCCTAGCCCCCTAGCCCCCCCACTCCGCCGGGCCCGCATAACGCCTACAATCTCGCCAACTATCACGTGGCCTAACCGTATTTACATCCCAGCGACCTTGACGAAATCTTGAGTTGACCTTAACAAATAGATCTAGCCATGTAAGAGTGGCAACGCGGGCGGGGGGGGGGGGGCTCGAACTCGGGAACGAACGGCTGCAGATTATGAACACGGAACCTCAAAGTTAGCGAGCCAACTTCCTACCCCCTGAGCCACCGTGGCTCACTGATTTAAACAGTTATCATATAGATATAATATAAGGTTATAAACTTACTATGTCGGTTAGAGCAATGTAAATAAACATGCCAGCCGTTGCAGCAAATATCCATTGCCTAGCAACTGGGTCTGTAGCAACAGTTAGACCAATATACAGGCCGCCAAAACTGGTTAACGCGGAGGCCATGTTCCAGAAAACAGCATTTCTGAATCTCATCTTTGTTTGTAATAAAACAGCAAAGTCCCCTTAAAAAATACAACATATGTGATATTAACTTGGAAAAAAATCCAATCTGATTAAAACACAGATCCTAATTCGTTTCGGTTTTATTTTTTTATAGTTCAAAATTTCGATTTACCATCGAAAGTATAAAAAAATGAAACGAAATATAGATCTGTATTTTAATCAGATTAGAAAAAATCCTGGGTACAACACTCTTGTACAAAACGGCAATTTGATTAAAACACAGATCCTATTTCGTTTCGTTTTTTATAGTTCAAAATTTCGTTTTACTTGTCTTAACTACACCAGGATCTGGAAGAGTTGTCATATTACCGGCGTTTTGCTTGAAGTGAGGGATACTTGTTTTACTTGTCTTTACTACACTAGGATCTAGAAGAGTTGTCATATTACCGGCGTTTTGCTTGAAGTGAGGGATACTTGTTTTACTTGTCTTTACTACACTAGGATCTAGAAGAGTTGTTATATAACCCGCGTTCTGAATGATGTGAGTGATTAGCTAATGAAACGGTCTGTTACGGCAAGTTGTGGGTAATCCATTAGAAACATCAATGCTGATTGGTTAATCGAATGTCTGACGTCATAGGATCAAAAGCCACTCGTATGACCTCTATCACAACCTTTCACTACAACCGGTCAGATCGTTATGTAGTAGAGGCCATCGAAAGTATAAAGAAAACGAAACGAAATATAGGTCTGTATTTTCATCAGATTGCGGTGACGGTTTCTTTCTTGAGCAATTTAATAATAAGCCCGTTATGATAAGTATGGTAAGTACCATCTTCAATGGAAGGATAAAGCACGAGACTGGGGTTATGCTGGGGAAAGAAAGATTGAAGAAAATAACCAGAGAAAAAGAAAAACCGAGGCCGGTAGGCCGAAGTTTTTCTGTCGAGGTTTTTTCTGAAGTCTTTCTTCCCCAGCATAACCGAAGTCGAGGACTTTATCTTGCTTATAAACCGTCTATGTTTACGTGTACGCAAGACGAGAATACCCCAGAATTCCCGTAAGAAAAACCTTATATCATGTTTTCTTATGGAAAATACCCTACCCTGTAAGAATAACCCGGTACAGATTTAAAGAAAAACTTTCAGAAGAATAACCTCAAATTTCCCTGTATAGACTTTCAGACCGCAAGTTATTCCGGGCATAGAATATACCCCAAAGATCAAAGAGATTTGCCGTTACAGGTTTATAATTTAGAAGAATTGGCCTCGTTTTGTTGTTGTTGTTCTTAGTGTTTAATGTCTGCTTCCACCGAAGGTAATCTGGCAGTCAAGATGTTTTATTTTCATTTTTTATTATCTTAGTGCATAAGTAAGGGTCTTTCCTGTGAGAGGAAACCGGGGTACCCGGAGTAAACCCACGAGGTTGAGAAGGCGCCCCTATCTCCAAGCCACATACACTCACATCTCGCTTTAACTCCGTACATCTTAAGGAGGCCTCCACGTAATACATGTATAATACTCCACGTCTTCCGTCACTAATTTTGATTGGTCATTGACTCAGCTCCCGACCTCTCAGATTCCCCGATAGAAAATATCATCGCGGATACCAAGTCTCGCGCTTTCCAACTGAAATGGCTAGCTTTGTAATCGAGTTGCAAAGTTCAAGGTTGCTGGAACTTTTTCACTTCAGATCTTAGTCCAAACATTTCTAATTTACTTTTCTGTTCTTCCATTATTCTAGTAAGGTTGCTTTTCTTTGGTTTTGCGCGAGTTTTGCAATTAAAAAAAGACTTTCAACGGTTGTAAATGAAACTATTCCTTTATGTGTTTGTATCGCGTGCCTGGTGGTAAAGGGAGACAATTTACCCAAAAACCTACAGCGGCTAGATGTTGTAAATGAAATTAAATGAAATGGGGGTTTAACGTCCTACTGTTCTGTTCCGAACTGGGCTATATGAAGACGGGCATACGCCATACAGTGTGCTATGAGGGAAATTTTGCCCGGACAGCGGCCAATCGAATTCCAACTGTCAAGGAATCTTTACGTGCACGCCAATATGTACACGGGACATCGGTTTTTCGTATCATCCGAACGACTAGACACTTCTTGTCACGCCCTTTGTCCTATATTACTGACAAGGGGGACCACACCGGAAAATCTGCATGCACTTTATCGGCCAATGCAGGGATCGAACACCCGACCTGCAGGTAGCGAGCCAGCGTCTTAACCACTTAGCCAACGTGGCCCCCAGATGTTTTAAAACTCGCAGTTGTTGCTTCAGGACCATGGGTAAGTACCTACCTAATTCATGGGGTAATTCGTGACAAAATACAGCTATAGTAACACCAACACCTTCAGTTACACTCTGTGTGAAAGCTGCAGCTATAGCTAAACCATCAGCAAAGTTATGTATACCATCACCGATAATTATCATCAGGGCAAGGTGATTTAAATCTGAAATATAGTTATGTATAGCATCATCAATATTTATCATCAGGGCAAGGTGATTTAAATCTGAAATATAGTTATGTATAGCATCATCAATACTATTATAGAAGGTGTGGGGGGGGGGGTGGTCTAATGATTTAAATCCGAAATATAGTTATGTATAGCATAACCAATTAGCATCAGGGCAAGGTGATTTAAATCTGAAATATAGTACAAGAATACTAAACTAGAGGGGGGGGGGGGCGCTAGATCGGCGACGGTCCTGCACTTTTTAGCACATATGACGTCATACAAGGATTGTGGGTTAGGATAGGGGTTAGGACCTGCAGATTTCATCAAAGCCTTAAGAACTAAACAGGGCTATCCCCTAACCCTGGGCCAAGGCTAACCCTTACCCTAGCCCTAACGCAAATCCACATATAACGTCATATGCGCAGGACCGTCTCCGATCTAGCGTTCTCCGGGGGTGGGGGGTCTGTAGTGATTTAATGCATGCGCGTGAAATCATAATGTTAGTCATTGAGTCACGTGGGGTGGTTTCCTTCTACTGCTAAATATCCCTACCTGCAAGCTACTTAATGAAGTAAAATTGAACCATGTGTTAGTTAGCCCCTTATGGTTCAATTTTATTTCAATAAGTAGCTTGAGCGTATATAGGTGGCTTCAGAGATCTGAATATCGATAGTGTTCGTCTTCTCCTGGTCCCAATGCTTCAAACCGAATTTGAAAAAGAATCCACCGTCCACTCGACACAAATTAAGTCATTTCGGGACTAACAAATGGTTCAATTTTATTTCAATAATTCGCTTGCGCGTGAGGTTTTTTTAGCAGTGTGAGGAAACCGGAGGACCCGGAGAAAACCCACGAGATTGGACAGGCGACCCTACACCTTGTCACGTACAACCGGGGAATCGAAACCACGCCAGTTGACTAATTGGCAGACCGTATGATGCAGCGCGCACGCGCTAACCATTCGTCCATCCAACCCCCGCTATAAATAGAAGGCTATAAAAGGAAACGAAAGAAATATCTGTAACTCAATCAGATTGCTTCTCTTAAACATACATTTATTCAAGAGGTAAATCTGCCTATTGCAGGTCTTTCTTTAGGCCTGAAATGTTATCTAAATTATTAATTAGACATTAATTAACTTATCCAGACCATTATCAACTTTCGATGTCATCGTTAACCTGCGATATTTAATGGATTTGAATACATTTTGTGATGGATAAAAAATATATACGTAAAACCCTAACAATAAATACACAATATACAGCCAGCCAAGCTTTAACAAACTTAAAGGGACTATATCGATTTCAAGGGAGTCTCAAAAATAAAAGTCGGAGTATGTATAAAATTTATGCGCGAAAATATAGAGGAAAGGTGTATTTACCTTCTCTCAAAATTCCAGTTCAAAATATTGAGTCGTTTGGATGTGAACGTCAAAACTGCTTATCCGGACACGTAACACTTTTAAGATTTCGGGTCAGTTTTTTCGTTGGGTGACCTGGTAATCGATTCCCGTTCCACGAAAGGTCTATATAGTGAACGACCCATGTGCTCTACTTGATAACGAAAGGTAAATTTCACCTACACATTATTTTTATAAAATAAAAGTCTGGTTTTATCCAGACACTGCATAATACAGCTTGGGACACCGGTCTCCATTTCCAGATGAAGACTGACGGGTTTAAGTTGTTTGAAAACTTATCACAAATATTGAGTTAGTTGCTCGGCCCTTAGCTAGAGGATTGTAAGGGATTTTAAAACAAAATTAAACAGTTTTATTCTCCAAAAAATTTTGGGATTAGTCCTTTAAGAAATAACAAACGTCATCAATTTCTTTTGTCTTTTTCTCACTCAGTTATTAATTATTTGATATACAAAAACCATCGGTATTTCTAGAGACAACTGTTAGGATATATATGTAAATATAAACTTTTTACTTATATTTACATAAAACAAATTGCTAACCGGTCGTACAACTTTTAACATATCACAGACGACATAAACTAGAGCTTGACCTATAATTTGTGTGTTCCAAGGATTAGATAAATATATTAAGTCCCAGTCGTAGAGAAACACGATGGATTTTAAGATCACATTCGATTCATAATGTAAATAAAGTATTGAGTGTAGTAGGCGACACTTTAAAACAGTAACATGTTCATTTTAATAACATATTGTCATTACGTGAAAATATGTAACATGGTTTTAGTCAAATGTTCAGTCCGGCCAATTTGAATGGGGAAGAGGTAGGTGGGGGGAGGGGCGTGTTCTGTATGTATTTCATATGGCAATTGATTATTATATTAAATCTTAAATCTGATTAAAACACAGATCCTATTTCGTTTCGTATTTTATAGTTCAAAATTTCGTTTTACTTGTGTTTACTACACTAGGATCCGGAAGAGTTGTTATATTACCGGCTGTTACGGCGACTTCTTGGCGTGGGTAAACCACTAGAAACGCCAACGCTGATTGACTAATTAATACGTGACGTCAAATGGTCAAAAGCCGCTCGTACGACCCCTGACACGACATTCGAGTACAACTGGTGAGATCTTCATGTAGTGTAGGCCATCGAAAGTATAAAAAAAACGAAACGAAATATAGATCTGTATTTGAATCAGATTGTTAAATCTTTAAACAATGAAATAGGGTTTAACGTCCTAATGGTCTTGTCCTACTTAGGCTAATAAAGAAGGACATGATGAGGGAAATGTATTTTACCCGTACAGCAATGGCCCACTCTTATTTCGAATTCCAACTGTCGAGGGTTCTTTTACGTGCACGCCCATATGTACACGGAACCTTTGGTTTTCTTCTCACTCGAACGACTATGCATTGTCCCCTGCCAGGCCCATCTGTCCTACATCACTTACACGAGGGAACCACGCCGAATAAATCCCGATGCACTTTCTCGGCCCACGTAGGGAAACGGATTACCGAGTCAACGTCTAACTCGGGGGGGGGGGGGGGAGAGGGTTTGTTGGATGGCCGAATGGTTAGCACGTTTGTGCTGTGTCATTGAGTCAACTGGCGTGTTGTTTCGAATCCCCGGTTGTACGTGACAAGGAGTAGGGTCGCCTGTCCAACCTCGTGGGTTTTTCTCCGGGTCCTCCGGTTTCCTCCCACTGCTAAAGACCCCTATACGCGCAAGCGAATTATTGAAATAAAATTAAACCATATGTTAGTCCCGAAATGATTCTCTCTCTCTCTCTCTCTTAACGTCTAACACACCGAACCCCTGTGACCCCTAGTCGTTACATAAATCACATAGCAAGATTATCAAAGTATCAATAAAAATAGGAAAACAAGTCATGCTTACTTTTAGTCTTCTTTGGTTCCTGAAAGAGTAACAATACGATGGTGTTATGAAACACGTACACTTTAATTTTGATTTATATCCTTAAACGAAACCAATGTATTAAAAAATGAGATAAAAATAATTTAAGGATGATAGAGAGAGAGAGAGAGAGAGAGAGATTGGATAAGCGACCCTACGCCTTGCCACGTTAAAGCGGGGAATCGAAACGACGCCACTCGGCTAAGTTCTAAAGTCCTACGACACAAACTAGGTTTTTTCAGGACTAATATACGGTTCAGTTTCAATTCAACATGTGATTCAAATTTATTTCAGTAGTTCGCTTGATCGAAGGGGTTTTAGCAGAGGGAGGAAACAGCAGGATCCAGAGGAATAAACCCGCGAGGTTGGACAGGCGACTCTAATCTTTTCAGGTACAAGCGAGGAATCGAAACCACGCCACAGACCTTCTGATCCACCCGGCCACCCAAAGCCCCTCCCCCACCAGCCATCCCTAGAGTAAACCCACGAGGTTGGGTAGGCGACCCTAGACACGTGCACGCGAGGAATCGAAACCACGCCACCAAACACGCGTTAACCATTCGGCCACCTAACCCACTAAGCCATCCCTAGAGTAGTTTTCGAAAAAATATTGAAATTGAAAATAAAAAATATATTTGACCATTAATCGATTCCTTACCTTTTGTTCGCCTTTATCAACCACATCCAATCCATTTTTAACTTCCTAAATATAAACACAACATTGTCAGTAAACGCAAATACTCCCAGCAGCAGCAGTAGCAGCAGCTTTGTTAAGCAGGGCAGCAAAGAGGACAGAAGATTTTCTTCGGTCAAAGAAAGAGAAAACAAGATTTCAAGCAGCCAACTTCAACAATAAAATTTAAATATCATCACAACAGACAGTTTAGATTGGAAAACAGAGGAATGGAGAAGGGTAGCTCCCGCACACACTCAAACACACACGCTCACACACATGTAGTGCCCCCCCCCCCCCAAAAAAAAAACCCCACAAACACAGGGGATGGTGGGGGGGTAACACAAAAAAATCTCAAACATTGTTAATGTTCAACAAAGAGCGATAATTTTGTGAAAAGATTAATTAATTACATTAGAATAAAATGTGCCCAACCCGCACCTTAAAAAACAAAAACAACCCCCCCGCCCCCACCAAATGAAATCCCAACTGGTCTATCAGGGGAGACAACATTTAACTGAAACCAGTCGATATCACTCCATAACCAACACCAAAAGGTGCACTGTACGCATTTTTTTTCTTCATATAACCAAAGTAATCTATGTTAACATCAAACTCATGCAAGCGGAAGACATTTCTCGTATATTTATTTATTATAGTAGGTTTTCTTGCTTGAATGAATCAGGGATATTTTCATTATATGGAAACACACAGAGAGAATGGGTGACTTTAATGTTATCTTAACACTATCCCGGGACTAAGAAAAGAAACGAAATGAAATGGGGTTTAACATCCTACTGTTCTGCTCTGACTGGGATAATGAAAACGGACATACGCCATACAGTGTGATATGAGGGAAATTTTGCCCTGGCAGCGGCACGATTCCCTACTCTTATATCGAATTCCAACTGCCAAGGGATCTTTTACGCACACGCCAATGTACACGCGGGACCTCGGTTTGTCAGGCTCTCCGTCCTTCACCACTGACAAGGAGGAACTACGCCCGGTAATCCAGATAAACTTTTTCGGCCAACGCAGTGATCGAATACGGGAACTCCAGGTTAGCCAGTCAACGTCTTACCCACTGAGTCACGGTGTCCCCCGCCTTATGGGACAAAGAAATAGTATAACATTTACCAGTAAACCAATCGGATTAAAACACAGGTCCTATTTCGTTTCGTTTTTATAGTTCAAAATTTCGTTTTACTTGTCTTACTACACTAGGATCTGGAAGAGTTGTTATCATTGACGTGTTCTGAATGGTGTGAGGGATTAGCCAATGACACGGTCTGTTACGGAGAGCTTTAGACGTGTTTTGCACGGAACTGTGGGTAATCCACTAGTAACATCAATGCTGATTGGTTAATCAAATGTCTGACGCCACAGGATCAAAAGCTGCTCGTACGACCTCTTACGCGACCTATCGCTATAACTTTTCAGATATTCATGTAATGTAGGCCATCGAAAGTATAAAAAACCGAAACGAAACATAGATCTGTATTTTAATCAGGCTGCGAGTAAACATTCTGTACATACATTTACACCATTCACGCCATTACTCGTGCTCTCTTTTCCAACTATATGGGCTTCGTGACTGTGACCCGGTGCAGAATGCTACAAGAAAAAAAAAACATTTAAATTTAATGCCTTTAAAATGACAGGCTTGTGCGAGAAAATACCCTTTATATATGCTATATGGGCTTCTTGACTGTGACCCGGTACAGTATGTTACAAGAAAGAGCATTTAAATTTAATGTCATTAAAATGACAGGCTTGGCGAGAATATACCCTCATTAATAAATGGTTTACATGTAGTTATTATTTCCACACGAATGAGTTTAAATGGATTGATATGTACTCTTGTTATAAACATACTGTTATAGTTTTATGTCATATTTGTAATATACAAGTCGCAACAAGGTCTATGTTTACTGGAAATCTCCTTAAAGACACATTATGGGAGATTAGATAAAGAGCTGGCAGTTCTCACTATAATAGTAAAAAACTAGATAATGTAAAGGGAATTTGCTGAAAATTTCAGTCCAACTGATCCACTATGAACCGAGGATTTAACGATTAAATTTTCGGCCTAACCTCAATCATCATTACTAAGTCGGTACGATAAAAAAACATAGTCTCGATTATCCACTTTTTGATTTAATCATCAATGAGCGTTGAGCAGCAGATCGGGTTCTAATCCAGTAAATACCGTAGGCTAGCGATGACATCGAGACTTGATTATGGTCTGGGTAAGTTAATTAATGTCTAATTAGATAACAGTTCAGGCCTGCAGAAAGACTCGCAATAGGCAGATTTAGTTCATGCATAATGTATGTTTAAGGGTAAAAGACCTAATAGGTAAAGCGTCTTTGTTGAAAGGATAAATAAACTTACTGAATGTCCAGCCATTCCGAATATTGTTTCGAGGAGGTAAAATACGTAGATACCTAAAAATAAATGTTAGTTAGATAAAGAGCTGGCAGTTTTCGCTTGTAAAGTGAATATGCTGAAGATTTCAGTCAAATTGCTTCACTCTAAGCCGAGAAAACCCTTATTTTAAAATTACTGTCGCCTCGATTATCATTGTTACCGCTGTCACGATAATTAACATAACAAAGCCACGATTATCCAGTTTTGCGGTTAATCATCAATGGGCGTTGAACAGCACGTCCGATTAAAATCTAATGAAAATCTGACAAATAAGATGGCACCGAGAGTCGATTAAGATCTTTTCGTGTTAATAAATGTCTAATTAATAATTTATATAACATTTCAGGCCTAAAGCAAGACCTGCAACAGGCAGATTTAGCTCTTGCATAATGTATGTTTAATAGTTTATATAACATTTCAGGCCTAAAGAAAGACCTGCAATAGGCAGATTTAGCTTTTGAATAAAAAATGCCTGTTAATATTTTACGTTTTATAATTTACGGGGTAAATGTTAAACGCAACTTTCAAAATTCGCCATATAAGATATGCCGACACTTTGCAAGATATGGACAGCGAACAAGCTAAAAAAAAGCCATTTTTCGTACAATAAGGGGCCATAATCCAGGATGTTACAATCCTAAGTGCGTCAGTATCAAACGGATCAGAGATCCTTGGGTTATAAACATACATTTAAAGTCTCATCAAAATCGGATAAAAATTGTGACCTCTAGAGTGTCGACAAGCTAAAAACATGATTTTTCGTACCATCAGGGGTCATTATCGACAGGAACCGAGATCGTTGGGATATACATGTAGACCCATATTTCAAGTTTAGTCAAAATCGGGAAGAAATTGTGAAAATTCTCTATATCGCCATGTTCAAATATATCTAGGGTTGAAACCAGAACAAGGGGACTGCCCCAATTGTTGTGACTACCTCCTGTAACTATTTGGAACTGTATCCATTGTTTTCCGCCATTTTGTGAAAGATACCACGTAACTCAATGTCAATATATTATTATAAATTATATCTTGGGTTATCTTGGGTTAATAGAACAAGGGGAATGCCCCAGTTGTTGGAACTACTTCTTGGAACTATTTGACCTGATCACTGTTTCGATTGTTTTCTAGGTTTAATAGAACTAGGGGAATGCCCTAGCTGTTGGAAGTACTTCTTGGAACTATTCGGCCTGATCACTGTATGGATTGTTTTCCGCCATTTTGTGAAAGATACCGCGTAATTCAATGTCAATTATAATACATGTTATATCTAGGGTTAATAGAACAAGGGGAATTCCCTAGTTGTTGGAACTACTTCTTGGGACCCTTTGACCTAGTCACTGTATCCATTGTTTTCTGCCATTTTGTAAAGGTTAAGCACGTGACTCAATTTCAATCTATTATTATAATACATGGGCTTACTTCCAATAGCTGCGAAGGCATACCATACAAAAGATTCAACAACTATTTCACCGGACCCATGGTCATGACCGTCTTCCTCGCTGTGCTTGTGGATACCAAAAGCCTAGAAATAAAATATTATGAAATGAAAACAAATGAAATGAAATGGGGTTTAACGTCTTACTATTCTGCTCCGACTGGGTTAATGAAGACGGGCATGCGCCATACAGTGTGCTATGAGGGAAATTTTGCCCGGGCAGCGGCACTATCGCCTACTCTTATATCGAATTCCAACTGCCAAGGGATCTTTTACCTGCACGCCAATGTATACACAGGAACGCGAGTTTTCGTCCCACCCGAAGGACTAGACAGATGTCCTTGTCAGGCCCTACGTCCTGCACCACTGATAAGGGGAAACTACGTCGGAAAATGCCATGAACTTTCTCGGCCAATGCAGGGATCGAACACCCGACCTCCGGGCTAACGAGTCAGCATCTTACCCACTTAGCCACCGTGGCTCCAGAATGATTGTTAATAAGTGATTCGAAATTTTGGAGAACAAGTCTATTCATGTCTGAAATATTTGTTGAGGATTTATGTATTCGAAGGCACGTTCCGATGATAACACTTCATCCCCGCACCCATTTGCAGGACAAATAACCCGAATGAATATCTTTTACCGTCCATTTTCGGGACGAGTAACTCCCTACTATATATGTCCTAAGTCAAAAAGATATCGTTGCGGAGAACAAAGGCTTAGTGGTCTAAAGTGTTGCGCTTCGAGGTCTAGCTGGCAGGTCACCTACGTGTGGGTGTTTATTAAAGTTGCAATTTCATATTTTTAAGTTATATTTTTAAAATTTATTAAAATAAAGCCTTAAAATAGATGGTATCTATAAACAGTTCTACCTTGTTAAAGAATAATCCTATTAATCCTATAATTCACTATTGCCAGTTGAGAAATTGGCAAAAATATAATTTTCCTCTTCAAATTCAAACGTTTGAGGATAGCTACTCCATGGTGGAGAATAGAAAACAAGGGAGGTCATTGGGAGGTAATTGTGTTATTATTCCCGTTGTAAATGAGTTTTAAGTGTGAGAATGACACCTATGATCGTATAATTGTGAGTTGACAACCTATTGAGCAAAAGACATAGAAATAATTATGTTTTGACTTTCTTAGAAAATATGAAATTGTAACTTTAAAGGAGTGGGGATGGCCTAGTGGTCTAAAGTATCGCGCTTCGAGCTCTAGCTTGCAGGTCACCTACGTGTGGGTGTTCATTACAGGCGTGGGGATGGCCTAGTGGTCTAAAGTGTTGCGCTTCGAGCTCTAGTTTGCCGGTCAACTCTAGATTGTGGTCTTGGTTACGATCCCTGGTGTGGCTTGGAGATAGGACCGCCTTCTCAACCTCGTGGGTTTACTCCGGGCACTCCAGTTTTCTCCCAGCGGAAAGGCCCCCAGCGCATGTGCTAAGATAGTAAAATTAAGACAATTTGTTTGCGATATCACTCTCGGTAGAAGCGGACGCTAAACACTAACAGAAGAAGAGAGAGAGGGAGAGAGAGAGAGAGAGAGAGATGGGGTTTAACGTCCACTCGACACAAACTAGGTCATTTCGGGATTAACATATGGTTTAATTTCATTTCAATAATTCGCTTGCGCGTAGGGGGAAACCGGAGGACACGGAGAAAACCCACGAGGTTGGACAGGCGACCCTACACCTTGTCACGTACAACGGGGATTCGAAACCACGCCAGTTGACTCGTGCACGTGCTAACCATTCGGCCATCCAACCTCCCAACAGAAGAAGAAGTAGGGTGATTATTTTTGCCGGTGTTCTAATAGGTCCCAACATATAATCCTTAGACTGAATGACGGAACCAAAACAAGTTACCTCTGGTATCAGATGAAGTAAGGCGTCACTAGTTAATGTACCAACAGCCAAACCCATAAACACAGCCATGAACCCATCATAACATCTATTTTTACTAAACGGAAACAAGATGGCGCCGAATAGCGCACACAAGGTAATAATGAATACCGCTAAACTTGAATAACCATAACCTGATAGAAAAATAAAACCATTATTTTAAATAAATTAAAGGAATTTTTGGAGGTCCCTTTTATTTTGGGAACATAATATTTGTGTCTATCATCAAAGGCTTTAAAGGGATAATTGCATTTTTTTAAAAAATCATATGTTTAAAATATACTAAATTAAAGCCTTAAAATACATGGTATCTATACACACAGTCCTACCTTGTTAAAGAATAATCCTAAATTCTATAAATGACTTGTGTCAATTGAGAAATTGGGATATATATCATTTTCTTTTTAAGTACAACGTTGACTTTAACGGTGTTATTATCACTGTAGCAATTTTTTTTTTCGGGCGATCGTCAAATTTTGCGGGATGTGGCCAAATTAAAAAAAATAAAATTTATCCACTATGAACCGAGAACTAAGCGATTGAAATTTCCGCCTAGCCTCGATCATCATTACTAAAGTCAGTACCCTAAAGAGCATAGTCTTGATTATCCATTTAATCGTTAAATCGTGAAGGAAAGTTATGCAGTAAATCGGCTCATAATCCACTAAAGATCGCAGGCTAGCGATGCCGTCTAGAGTTGATTATGGTCTGGATAGGTTAATTAATGTCTAATTAATAATTTAGATAACATTTCAGGCCTAAAGAAAGACCTGCAATAGGCAGATTTAGCTCTTGCATAATGTATGTTTAATTTTATTGAGTGTGTTCATAATGTTTAAAGTTACAATTTCATATTTTCTAAGAAGGTCAAAACATAATTATCTCTATGTCTTTTGCTCAATAAGTTGTCAACTCACTATTATACGATCATAGGTCATCTTTCTCACACTTAAAAATCTTCACACAGGAAATAATAACACAATTACCTCCCAATTACCTCCCTTGTTTTCTATTCTCCACCATGGAGTAGCGATCTTCAAACGTTTGAATTTGAAGAGGTAAATGATATTTTTGCCAATTTCTCAACTGGCAATAGTGAATTATTGAATTAATAGGATTATTCTTTAACAAGGTAGGACTGTTTATAGATACCATCTATTTTAAGGCTTTATTTTAATAAATTTTAAAAAAATAATAAATAGACTATGATAATAACATACGTTCTGCTTCTGTTGGTGTCGTTGAATCATCATGATCAGTAGTAGCTTTACACGCCTCCGATGTTTGTTGATAAATTAAAGCTGGACAAAGCTGGGTAAAGTCTGTTTTAGAAATTGGAGTCGCAGTATCATACACAGTTAACAGTTGATCCGCACTATAACATGACTTGACCTATAGAAATACAATAATTAAATTATTTCCCCCATGTTGTTCAGCCATGTTTTGAAGGAGCTAAATCGCTAATATTTTGGACCTAGAAATTGGCACAAATGAGTCGCAACACATATAATAATGTTATATGAATTTATATAAACTGTTTTACATTCAATCGTTTCCGTTTTACTGTGAATTGTCATCAGTTATGTTCGGCGAAATACGCCAGAAGTCTCAACCGCAAGTCAGTTCCTAGCCTCATTCTTTGAGCACCTTGTTACAAATGGCGCTGAAACACATTATGGTACACGATTCGTTTACCAATGGTAAAATGTTTATTTTGTCTTAAATATTGGATATCAGAAGCCCATCTTTTCCCGGTAATATCACAACAAATATGCTGATTTAAAATGCAAAAAAAAAATTCGTGTTTTCAATGTCGAAGATTTTGGATGATATTGAGTTAGTGACTTAGCAACTTTAATTGAAAGTATTTACAGTTACCTATGAATTTATATAGTACCTCGATCATATTCTCTACCTCTCTTTATAAAAATAACCACTGCTTCGCCTTGAATCCAACAAATGAAATGATATGTAATGGAGTGTAATGTCCTACTGTTCAGCTCTGACCGGGATAATGAAGAAGGACATAAGCCATACAGTGTCATAAGCCATACAGTCTGCTATGAGGGAAATCTTGAATTCCAACTGTCAAGGGATCTTTTACGTGCACACAAACGTGTACACGGGACCTGGTTTGTTTCGCCTGTCCAACCTCGTGGGTTTTCTCCGGGTCCTCCGGTTTCCTCCCACTGCTAATGCGAATTATAGAAATAAAATTGAACCATATGTTAATCCCGAAATGACCTAGTTTGTGTCGAGTGGACGTTAAACCCCATCTCTCTCTCTCTCTCTCTCTCTCTCTCTCTCTCTCTCTCTCTCTCTCTCTCATTTGTTTCGTCCCATCGGAACAACTATACGTTGTCCCTTGCTAGGCCCCTCGGTCCTACATCACTGACAAGTCTCCCAAATAAACGTTACAGAATAAAAACATTGTTATGTTTTTAAAAATTCTAATCTGGAGCCTGTTTCAGGAAACTAAGATAAAATCCAAATTTTAGTAATTTTATTGGATAATATTAGATTGATTTTAGTGCTTAGCCAATCAAAATTGAAGTATCTACTAAAATTTGGCCCTGGTCTGAAATGAGACTATTATTCATTGGGAATTTATTTATAACTTACTGTAGCATGGTCGTGTTCCTCGTGTTCATCCGCAGCACGTTTTGACCGTTTCATGACATTCTCTGATCTTGTACTTCTTTTTTTCCTTTCAGTATGAATATGTGCATCTTCTTGAGTTGTAGAAGATGAAATACCCAACTTTGTTAATAATTCTTTGAATTCTGTATTTAAAAAAATATAAGATATGGAACTCGGAATTTATTTGAACTTGAGCATGTCCTTCGGAACCGGGGCAGCCATCCCCTATAGTAATTTGTAAATATGTGCTCCTTTGTTTTTCCCCAATTTGATTAAAACACAGTTCCTATTTCGTTTCGTGTTTTATAGTTCAAAATTTCGTTTTATTTGTCTGTACTATACTAGGATCTGGAAGAGTTATGTAAGAGGTGTTCTGGGTGGCGTGAGGGATTAGCCAATGAAACCATCGGTTACGGCGACTTCTTGGCGTGCCTTGCACGGACCTGTGGGAAACCACTAGAAACGTCAACGCTGATTGATTAATCAACGTCTGGCGTCATAGGGTCAAACACCGCTCGTCCAACCCCTGACGCAACCTTCCAGTACAACTGGTCAGATCTTTATTATGGTGTAGTCCATCGAAAGTATAAAAAACGAAGATTGGGTTTTCCCATGGCAAGCCCACATATAATCAGTTTTGCTTCATGGACCTCTTAAGACTATATCTTTAGTACGTAACATACATATCCGTAAACCTTTATGCATTTTCCTTATTTTATTTCGTAAGTCGTCATCTACTTATGGTCTCGTATAGATGTTTGTCTTCCTCAATTCACACCTGTATATTATGTGTAGTTTAATGGTCGAGTGCGAGACATTAGGTAATATATTGATATTGTATAAAAGCGATAGCACGAGGGCTATATCTATATATTACGCAATGTCTTAAGCTCGAGACCGTTAAACAACTTAAAACACAGACACTCGCACGTGCTTTGCAAAGAAATACGGCACACGGGTCCAAAATTTTAACTAGTATAAATAATGTACGCTTGGTATATTGCCCGTACCATTATTTGAAATCAAAGGATGACGTCACATCTGTATTTTAAAAGTATATAAAATAAGTTACAATTACCTTCTTTGCTTAATGTGTTGTTGACACTATGAAAGGACTCGAAAAGTTCGTCAATAAAAAACTCTTTCGTTGGTAATAGACGACATTTATGTTTTATTTGTGAACCTGAATTAAAATTTAAATATGAATAGATCTATATTGTGTTTATCCATTCTACATACCATATATATATGTTTACTCATCCTGTATAACATAGACAACTCAGAATACTGTAAAAAGATGTTATCTATGGAAGACTAAACAGCTCTTTATTCAATTAAATAAAAATTAAGGACTATGAATTAAGAATACTGAATAAAGAGCTGTTTGGTCTTCCATAGCTATCAGTGTGCAAATTGTATGCTATGTCCGTCATGGTTACTTGCTCAAAATAAATATATATTTCAGCTGAAAGGGAATTAGATTGAATTTCAAGAGCTACCCCGTCACCTGATATAACGTCACTATTTGTTCTCTATCTACAGTATCTTTTGAAATGTTATTGTGACCGCCACTTGCGTTCAAAAAGGTCAGAAGTTAGACAGGGTCCTTATAAGACCAATTAAACTATCAACTTCATGCGTTTTCTCCGCCCCCCTCCCCTACACTGCTAAATACCCCTACGGGCAAGGAAATTATTGAAATAACATTGAACTATATGTTAATCCCTATATGACCTAGTTTGTGTGTGTGTCTCTCTCTCCTCCTCCTCTCATTTGAACACCGTGAATTACAAGAGAGAGAGAGAGAGAGAGAGAGAGAGAGAGAGAGAGCCCTACGCGCAAGCGAATTATCTATTGAAATAAATAAAATTGAACCATGTGTTAGTCCCGAAATGACCTAGTTTGTGTCGAGTGAACGTTAAACCCCATTTCTCTCTCTCTCCCAATTAATTCTGATGACTGGTAGGGAATTATATTAATTTAAATACTTACTGGAAAAGAAATGGTAAATTAATAAAGCTGCAACTTCCTGGAAATGGTCCTCTTGAATAGTTTCCGCGCCATTTCCAAGATTACTAATAATAACATCGGCAGCCAAACACTTTACAAAAAAAACCCAGAGAGAATATGGAATAATAAATTATTTTTTGACTCCTTTAATATATGCGTAAGATCAGCATTATTATATCTATTAAAGATACACTATTGGAGATTCGATAACGAATTGGCAGTTCTCACTATAATAGTTATAAACTGGATAATGTAAAGGCAATTTGCTGAAAATTTCATTCAAATTGATCCACTATATGAACCGAGAACTAAGCGGTTGAAATTTCCGGCTAGCCTTGATCATCATTACTAAAGTCAGCATGATAAACATCATAGTCTCGATTATCCATTTAATCGTTAAATCGTGAAGGAAAGTTATGCAGTAAATCGGCTCACAATCCACAAAAGATCATAGCCTATCGATGCCATCTAGATTTGATTATGGTCCGGATAAGTTAATTAATGTCTAATTAATAATTTAGATAACATTTCAGGCCTAAAGAAAGACCTGCACTAGGCAGATTTAGCTCTTGCATAATGTATGTTTAATATGATTAATACAATGACATCATTATTAATGTGACGTCATAATGAATGTTTAAAGATGCATTATGTAAGATTTAGATAAAGAGCTGAACGTTCTAGCTATAATAGTTTAAAATAAATAATGCAAAATGAAAATATTGAAACTTTCATTCAAACTACATGTACTTTATTCTGATCGAAGTTATCAATGTTTGGAGTTTTGACAAGATGTGCCATAGATTGTTTATTATCATAACAACGGTACTTGCTATTCGAGACTTAGCATCCCTTTCTCCATTTTTAAATTAAATCATTAAATGGCCGAACCGTTCTAATCTACTTAAAATCAAAGCCATCCGATGGTCTACAGAGTTGATTATTGGTTCGTCATGTTAATAAATAATAGTATTTGAAGTCAAACATAAAGGCAGATTTAGGTATGACATAATACATATTTTATATAATGTACAATGCAGTTAATTGTAGACACAGTCCTTACCTCTTCCTCGAAAACTAGAACTTCATTTTCCTCATGTTCATGCTCGTCTTCATCAACAGGGACATAGGTAACGTTCAAGACTTCAAGAAATTCTTCTAATTGTGCCTCGTTCGTCTTGTTCGCTAGTTCTGATGTAACAAGAGACTGTGTGAAGTTTGTTTTATAGATATCCAGAGTAAACTGGGTAATATCCACTTGTTGACGGCAGAAGACGGCAGAATTCTGTACATAATACAATAATACGACAGCCAAGTCCTCAAACTGTGACTCTTGGATTCCAACTGTCACGTCTCCATTTACGATGTTAATAACATCGGTTGTGTTAAAACACTGCAATTACAGAAATAAAATGAAATGGGGTTTAACGTCCACTCGACACAAACTAGGTCATTTCGGGACTAACATATGGTTTAATTTTATTTCAATAATTCGTTTGCGCATAAGGGTCTTTAGCAGTGGGAGGAAACCGGAGGACCCGGCGAAAACCCACGAGGTTGGACAGGCAACCCTACTCCTTGTCACGTACAACCGGGGATTCGAGGGCTAATGAAGACGGTATACGCCATGAAGTGTGCTTTGGGGAAAATTTTGCCCGTACAGCATCACTACGTCCTAAACTTATATCGAACGCTATACGTTGTCAAGGCTTCTTTTATGTACACGTCAAAGTGTACACGGAACCCCGGTTATCGTCTCATCAGAACGACTATACCCTTCCCCTTGCCAGGCCCTCCGTCCTACACCACCACTGACAAGGGGGAACCACGCCGGAACATCCCATTGACCTTTCTCGGCCAACGCATAGATCGAACATGGAACCTCTAGGTTAGCCAGCCAACGTCTTACTGACTGATCCCCTGTGGCCCCCCAGAAATGATCACTGTTACGCAGGTTATACCCATCTTCATCACGTTCCAGAATAACAAAGGTATACTGAAATCTGAATGCACTTGACTGCCCTTGTCAGGTATGATCAAGGTAAGATATTACATGTTGGTCATATCAAATGATGATGCCGTTTACTGTATCATAAGGCCTGTCATTGAGTCAACTGGCAGGGTTTCGATTCCCCGGTTGTACGTGACAAGGAGTAGGGTCGCCTGTCCAACCTCGTGGGTTTTCTCCAGGTCCTCCGGTTTCCTTCCACTGCTAAAGACCCCTACGCACAAGCGAATTATTGAAGTAAAATTGAACCATATTATGTTAGTCCGAAAATGACCTGGTTTGTGTCGAGTGGGCGTTAAACTCTCTCTCTCTCTCTCTCTCTCTCTCTCTCTCTCTCTCTCTCTACCGCTCCCTATCTCTATCTCTCTCTCCCCAAATAATAGAGCCATACACCCTTTAAAATTCAAACTATCTTGAAATAAAATTAAACCATATGTTAGTCCCGAAATGACATAGTTTGTGTCGAGTGGAAGTTACCCCCCCCCCTCTCTCTCTCTCTCTCTCTCTCTCCCCAACTCTCGCCAAATAATAGAGCCCTACACCCTTTAAAATTCAAAACATGTTTTATAATTGTTATGTAGTTCATTCCCTGTTAAATATAATGACTGTATTTATGCAGTTTGTCTGACTTGATATGAGGTGTATATTGACTGAAACACAACAGTGATCCATGCTTCACACATAGAGCCATCTACTTTATACTTTGAGACTAGATCTTTGTCCTACATGGCCGTCATTACTGTAATGAGGTTCTACTCCGTTTCACATCTGTCATACACACAAAGACTAAATAAACTTTTTCAATTTTATCAGATAGAAGGCGAATTACAAAATTCTAGAAGTATACTTATTGTTTTCAGCTATTATCGTCGATTTAGGTTTTAAAATGTCGGTCAACTATATCAGTGTCTGTTCTCAAGCGGAGCTAACTGTAGAAAGACGAAATGAAATGAAATCAAATGAAATGAAATGAAATGGGGTTTAACGTCCTACTGTTCTGCTCTGAACTGGGCTAATGAAGACAGGTATACGCCATACAGTGTGCTATGAGGGAAATTATGCCCGTCCTGCATCACTGACAAGGGAGAACCACGCCAGAAAATCTGGATGAACTTTCTCGGCCAATGCAGGGGTCGAACACCCGACCTCCAGACTAGCGAGCCAGCGTGTTACCCACTTAGCCACCGTGATTCCCTGTAGAAAGACAGTAAAAGTTTAGTATGCGGTAATGCGTGCATAGACAGATATTAGTTTATCTACAAACTTGCTGGTCCCGATATACAGCCCCTCATACCCATTCTAGTCCAGATATACACGATACTACGCCACATGAATTACTGAAATTAGGGGGTTGGATGATCTAGCGGTTTAACTTGTGCTCGTGAAACCTTAAGGTCATATCATTGAGTCAAGTTGTGGGTTTACCATTCATACTTGTTTACAATAGATGTGCGCGTTATATTTATGCGTGTTATATTTATAAACATGTTTACATTCAAATTCAGGAAGTATTCTACCTGGGTACATGTGTCGTTCAATCTATTATATACCGGATTTTATACATTATCCACTTAAAATATATCCTCCACGCCCCAATCTATTCAATATTAATGACAATGTTATCGTGCTTTGTGTAATATATACTCTTCAAAAAAAGTAGGGAATGTTGAAATGCAAATACCTATGCAGGTTGTGATATGATAAATAGTCATGGACATTTGACATGCTTTGAGAGTATGTTTACAAATGAAGAACTTATCGCCCCAACAGAACCACATGTTAAAGATACATTATGGGTGATTCGATAACGAGTTGGCAGTTCTCACTATAATAGTTAAAGTTACAGCCAATTTGATGAAAATTTCATTCAAATTGATCCACTATGAACCGAGAACTAAGCGATTGAAATTTCCACCTAGCCTCGATCATCATTACTAAAGTCAGTACAATAAACAGCACAGTCTCGATTATCCATTTAATCGTTAAATCGTGAAGGAAAGTTATGCAGTAAATCGGCTCATAATCCACTAAAGATTTTTATGGTCTGGATAGGTTTATTAATGTCTTATTAATAATTTAGATGACATTTCAGGAATAAAGAAAGACCTACAATAGACAGTTTTAGCTCTTGAATAATATATGTTTAATGTTATATGAATGTATATAAACTGATTTACGTTCATCTTTCAAAACATTTGTTGTAATTTCTAATCAATTATGATTGATGAAATATATAAACTGTCCAAATTGAACGACAGTTGTTTACGCCTGCTTAGTTTTTATTTATTTTTATCATGTGTGTGGTTTCGATTTCCCGCTTGTACGTGATAAGGGTGTACTCATCCTGTGCCAGCCCAATTCACTAATAAAACTCAGCTTGTTTGAAATAATTTCCGACTTATTGGGATTGTTTAAAGATACATTATGGGAGATTAGATAAAGAGTTGGCAGTTCTCCCTATATTAGTTAAAAACTAGATCATGTAAGGGGAATTTCCTGAAAATTTTAGTCAAATTGATCCACTATGAACCGAGGTTCTCGCGATTGAATTTTCAGTCTAGCCTCGTTCATTATTACTAAAGTCGGTACGATAAAAACATAGTCTCGATTATCCATTTCATGATTAAATTATAAATGGAAGTCGAACAGGAAATCGGAACTAATCCAATAAACATCACAAGCTAGCGATGACATCGAGAGTTGATTATGGTCTAGATAAGTTAATTAATGTCTAATTAATAATTTGGAAACATTTCAGGCCTACAGAAAGACCTGCAATAGGCAGATTTAGCTCTTGTATAATGTATGTTTAACTAGTAACAAGAGGGAACACATTCGATTTTATAACTCCAATATAAAAATTGAAAACTGAAATGTGCTAGCTTTTCAATTACTTGGTTGACTTTTTGGTCTAGAATTGGAGAAAAGGGATCGAATTTGCAATTTACAACCATTTAACATTGAAGTCAATGGGCAAATAATTGCTAGTCTGAGACCAGAAGCTAACAACGGATAGCCTGCTTGACCGACATTTAGGTCTGAAAAGGCTTATATTACCGTTAATAATAATATAATAATAATAATCATTTTCAATAGAGCTGAACATTTAGTCAGTCTGACCGCTCTGTGGCGCTTTACAGTGTACATTTCAATATAAAAGAGAGGGAGAGAAATGGGGTTTAACGTCCACTCGACACAAACTAGGTCATTTCGGGACTAACATATGGTTTAAATTTATTTACATAATTCGCTTGCGCGTAGGGGTCTTTAGCAGTGGGAGGAAACCGGAGGACCCGGAGAAAACCCACGAGGTTGGACAGGCGACCCTACTCCTTGCCACGTACAACCGGGGATTCGAAACCACGCCAGTCGACTCAGTGACAGACTTGCCACGTACAACCGGGTAAATATAAAAACCATACATGTATATATAAACATGGACCGTATATATACAGGGTTTTAAAACCGCGTGTAAATATAGTTAGTGCATCCAGATTCTAGTTTGTTTAATGCATGTTTCAAGTTTTGATGTAGTGATATCTGGTGAAGGGTCAAGTTCAACATATAACTGGGTGTCATCCGCATAGAGGTGGTAATTAAGACCCATCTCACGGATGCTATCTCCAATTGGTGCAGTATATGCTGTGAACAAAACTTGTCCCAATACAGATCCCTGGGTAACACAAAACTCAAGACCTTTAGGCATTGATTAAGATGTGTCAATAACGATACTCTGCTGTCTTACGCTCAGATAAGACTCAAACCACTTCAGTGCGTTTCCAGATATACCGTATCGAGTTTCAAGTCTCCTGAGTAGGACTGATCTATATATCGTATCGTCCAAAAAAAACTAGCGACACCTTTTTTTCCGTGAAGAGGAAGTAATGCAGATTTCGTACTGTGCCGTTTTCTGTATGCTGACTGAAATTTTTCTTGCGAGATTGTTTTCACACAGTTATTTAAAACGATTAAGGACAATTTTTTCTATATTTTTTGTAATGAAAGATAAATTCGACACAGGTCGGTAATTTTGTAGCATATCAGAATCAAGGGTTGATATTTTAATGAGGGGTGTCACACATGGGTTGTTTTAAGCGCTTCACATACTTCTGCGCCTACTAAAGACGTGTTCACGATTTGGGTGATCACTGGATTTACATGACTTCGGACTTCTTTGGGGCTGATTACTGAATTGTTTGTCTTAACTCATCTTCTGTTGCTAGACAAAAGTTGTCAAGTGTACAGCCTTCAAACTTTATCTTAATGTACATCGAGTCCTTGTCGAATGGTGGAGAATTTGTTGTATTATATAGACGGTAATTACTAATCCAATCTGGTATGATTCATCTTATTTATATTAAGAAATGTATAAATCTCAGACCATTTTTATTTAACAAAGTTGTTGATTTAGACTCTTTTGAATTTACATACCACTAGCACTGCTTTCTATTTATTTTCAACTTGAACAAACCTACCGTACTTTATTTATATATGACGTGGTTCCCCCCTGTCTTTGGTGCAGGACGATGGTAGGGGGGGGGGGCTGACAAGAACAGCTGTCTAATCGTTTGGATGGGACGAAAATCCAAGGTCTCGTGGTTTTGATTCCCAGATTGTACGTGACAAGGAGTAGGGTTGCCTGTCCAACCTCGTGGGTTTTCTCCGGGTCCCTACGCGCAAGCGAATTATTGAAATAAAATTGAACTATATGTTAGTCCCGAAATGACCTAGTTAGTGTCGGGTGGACTCTCTCTCTCTCTCTCTCTCTCTCTCTCTCTCGCTCTTTAAATTGAAAATTTATTCAAATAATAAGACACTTACCATTGTTTGATCACAAGTTCCACCAACAGCTTTACATCTAAAATTGCGGAAAACCGTGTTAACAAAAACATTAATTTTCTCTTTTGGTAAATAATCCTCGGTAACATTTAACTTTTTAAGAATTTCATCAAAAACGTCTAACATGCCATGTTGGTGTTCGTCGGCCGCGTATACAAAGACCAAGAGAGCGGTCATAATAACTAGACTCACTGATTTCATTTTAGACCTTTCCACTTTCTTAAAAATAAGATGTAAATACGGTCAAATATATATATACCAAGTTGTTTCCCGTAGAATTGACGAGCGAGAAACTGTCGTAACGAGTGGACGAGATCACTGCTCGGGTGTGTCACATAACAAAAAAGCAAGGTGAGCTCAGAAATGTGAAGATCACGTGATAGTATGGCTGACGATTCACATTGAATTTTTGTATTAATATCTACTAGCGGTTTACTTTTGGTATGGCTTAAATATAGTTTATTGTATTAAACCATAAACACAGTACAAATGGACTGGGACAAAAGTTATGAAAGCGTACCGATACCCTCTCCGCATACATTGTTATTGACAGTTATAAATAATAGTACAATTGTTAAGAACATACAAAAACGAACGATATAAATGTTACAATAATAAATAGTTAAAAATCCCATTATAGAGAAATTATTAAATATTTGGTTGAAGGTTTACGACGATTAGTGAGTGTTTTAGTATTTTAATATGAGTATTTAGTGAATTTTGATAAGAATATTCACCCTTATGAAAAAAACCTTTTATCTGATTTAATATATTTTTGTACATGATTAAAGATATAACTGTTACTGTCAGTATTTATACTAGAATATTAAAAAAGTATATTAAATATTAAAGTTTACTTTGAACTTATAATACATAATAGAATAGATGCCCGGTTGAGCGAATTCGTAAAGAAAGTACGTGTATGGTATGGCGAGCAAACACAACACTATCAATGGCTAGAACTATTTCTTAAGGCTCCCTTCAGATTGCGTCAAGGTCGCTGAGGTGTAAATAAGGTTAGGGCACGTGATTGTTGACGAGATTGTGGGTTAGGGTTTGGATAAGGGCTAGGGCTATGTCCAGGGTTAGGGTTAGGGTCAGATTAACAGAAAAACAGTATACACAAAACAGTAAGCTGTTACATGTAGAGATGCGTTTTTTGTCAAGTGTCTCGACACGGTGTATGAACTATGTATGTGTTTATGTATGGGCATTAAGAATTTCAATTCTATGTTTACACAACTCAGGATTTCAAATGACTACGATTCAACACAGATTTGATCAAAGTTCATCAGTTAGACAATATTTTGGGTCCACAGGCACTCAGTAATATATAGTCAAAGAGTAGTAAGAAGTTTTATTTTAATCCCTTCACGTGCCTGTGTTTGGGTTGTATTCAAATCATTTCTTTAAACTTTAGTTTACGGTCTTAATTTTCACCTTACATTTTAATGTGAGCCCGACTTGAGGAAAGCAACATTTTTAAGGCGTGGTCGGACATATTTTAAAGTGATCTAGACTGGGGAAGGCCCCAACATTTTTGGTTAGATTTTAGTTCCAGTTATGTAACTGATGACTATATTATTAGTCCCGTGGGGAAGTATTGGGCGTGGTCTGACTTGGGGAAAGCCCCGGAAATTTTGGTTAGATTCGGGCACGATGGTTATCGGTGATATATCCCAAGATACTTGTAATAAGTACGGGAGATAACCTTCATTTAGGTGCCTGTAATGTTTTAAATTCTTCGGATATTTCATCCATCTCAACCCAACTGTTATTATTCATTTTTCATCACATCATTATAATTGTTATATTTCTAAATGTATGTCAAATAATTGTAAAACCTGTCCTATTTTGAATAGTAATAATTGTTTTACAAGTTCTTTAACTAATAAAACATATTTTACACATGGGTTTGAGAAGTTAAAGTAGCTAAGTCTCTAACTTAATATCATCCAAATTCTTCGACATTGCAAACACGAATTATTTGTCAATTTAAATCAAAATTTATGTTGTGATTTTACCGGGAAAAGAAAGGCTTATGATATCCAATATTTAAGACAAATAAACATTTTACCATTGGTACACGAGTCGTGTACCATAATGCGTTTCAGCGCCATTTCTCACAAGGGACTCGAAGAACGAGGCTAGACATATTCCACAAGTCATGTCAAACCGTGACGTCATATTATTATCTGGAGAGCATGCACAGAGTGGAGCATGTGCAATAAATACTGTCGGTGTAGATTGGAATAACCAGACGCTAGAGATTGCCATTCGATTGAGACCTCTGACGTATTTCGTCGAACATAACTGATTTGAAAATACAGTAAAAACAGAAACAATTGAATGTAAATCAGTTTATATACATTCATATTACATTATTGTATGCGTTGCGACCCATTTGTGTTAATTTCTAGGTTTCGCATATTAGCGATTTAGCTCCTTTAATTTATAAAACCTCCAATGGCGAAACTAAAGGACCTTTACATTTACGCATTAACGGTCATCGTCACAATATTAATAAGGGTAGTAACCAGATTCTTTATAGACATTTTAACCAACCTGACCACTCTATACTAGCAATGAGGCAATTTACCAACTGGCCTACTTTGCGTACCCCTTTTCGCAGGTGTTCGATCCCTGCATTGGCCGGGAAGGTTCATCTAGGTTTCCCGACGCGGTTTCCCCTTGTCAGCGATGCAGGACAAAGGGCCTGGCAAGAACAGCCGTCTAGTCGTTCGGATGGTACGAAAAGCCTAGGTCCCGTGTATACATTGGCGTGCACGTAAAAGATTTCTTAGCAGTTGGAATTCGATATAAGAGTAGGCCATAGTGCCGCTGCCCTGGCAAAATTTCGCTCATAGCACACTGTATGGCGTACATTCCTTCTTCATTCTAATCAGTGGTTTACTAAAACGAAGAACTTACATGCAACCTTTTGTTAGTTGTCACTAGGCCTAAATCTATTTTCAATCATGTTTACATTGTTAAAAATCTCATGGCCTTACATGACAATTGCGTCATTGTTCTGACTGACAAAGCGTTCAATAACATAGTGTTTATATGTAAACGATATTATTATGACCTGTTTTTTCATAGAACTTATAACACTATTTTAAGATTTAGGGTGAGTTTTGCTTTTAATGAATTGCCCGGATAGAATGGTTCTGGATCTTTAAGGGTAAATTTTCCTTCACAACAAATCAACAACTTTAAATGGATTTATCTTTCGTTGGGTGGCTAGTCTTTGAAATACATATATATATACACATTAAAGTGGCATTATGATGAAATCAAATGAAATGGGGTTTAACGTCCTACTGTTCTGCTCCGAACTGGGCTAATGAAGACGGGCATGCGCCATACAGTGTGCTATGAGGGAATTTTTGCGCGGACAGCGGCACTATCGCCTACTCTTATATCGAATTCAAACTGTCAAGGGATCTTTTACGTGCACGCCAATGTGTACACGGGACCTCGGTTTTTCGTCCCATCCGAACGACTAGACAGTTGTCCTTTTCAGGTCCTCCGTCCTGCATCACTGACAAGGGGAAACCACGCCGGAAAATCTGGATGAACTTTCTCGGCCAATGCAGGGATCGGAACACCCTACCTCCAGGCTAGCGAGCCATTGGATCAATTCAAGTCCCGAGTTACACGCGTGTTAAGGTTGTGTTGTAGTGGTGTATAACTGGTGTTCTTTTTAGTGCCTTAACCTGAGTCCCTCGATTTAGCACTAGTGTTTACACCAGTGTCTAAACTAGCTTAATACCAGTGTTAACACTGGTGGAAAATAAAAAGGACCTATAACACTAGTGTTATCTTTAAATGTTGCACTGTGTATTTGTCTTCTGTTATTTGGATGAGCTGGCCAACTAAAAAAAAACAGCGGTTGCCAGGCAAGATACGCCCGCCCACCTTTTGCACGACATGGATAGAGAACAAGCTAAAAACAAAAGTCATTTTTCATTCAATCAGGGGTCATAATCCAGAGAGTTATGGTCTGAAATGCGCAAATATCGACAGGGACTGAGAACATAAACATATATTTTAAGTTTCATCAAAATTGGATAAAAATTGTGACAGCTAGAGTGTCCACAACCTTCGTATTACATACTTTTACACAATTTGCGTACAAAGAGCGGCCATTTTGTCAGGCATTTGTGATCCGATTTTTACGAAATTGGAACTCAACCGTCATGAGAGTGTAATGGTGATCAATTTATAATTTTTGTTTTAAAATTGGATAAAAATTGTGACATCTAGAGAGTCCACAAGCTAAAAAAAGTGTTTTTTCGTACAAACAGGGGCCATAATCCAGGAAGTTACCGTCCGATATGCGAAAATATCATAAAGAACCACGACCTTTAGATTATAAACATACATTTGAAATTACATCAAAATCGGATAAAAATTGTGACTTCTAGAGTGTCCACAACCTTGTGTACAAGGAGCGGCCATTTTGTCTGTCAAAATTCGAACTTAACCTTCATTGATTTGTAACGGGGATACATTTAAACGGTTTTTAAAATTGAATACAAATTGTGACTTAGAGGGGGTCCACAAGGTAAACGTGCGATTTTACGAACAATCAGTGGCCATAATCTAGAAAGTTATATTCGGATATGCGCGATTATCAACAGGAAAAAAGATCTTTGTGATATAAACATAAATTTAAAGTTTCATCAAAATCGGATAAACATTGTGGCATGTAGAAGGTCCACAACCTTGATATGCTATATGATAATATGTCTTATATTATTTGCATACGCGGGGCGGCCATTTTATCCGACAGTTTTGGTCCGATTTACACGAAACGGTGTAACGGTGATCAATTTATACGTTTTTTTAAAATATTGGACATAAATTGTGACCTCTAGAGAGTCCACAAGCTAAAAACGACGTGATTTTCCGCACAATCAGGAGCCATGATCCAGGAAGTTATATGGTCCGATATATGCCAAAATCGGATAAAAATTGTGACCTGTTGCGTTTCCACAAAGAAATTGTGGACGGACGTACGTCCAGGGGCAATGGCATAATACATCCACATGGAAATGTGGGATTATAAAAAACAGCAAAAGAAAGGCAATTGAGGAAAAATAACCGCTTCCGTGAAATTAAGTAACTAGGATCTATGTAGAATTTTTGTAGTCTCATTTGATCATTATTCAGTCGTAATTTCCTATCTGAAATTTCTCGTAAATCAGCAGGCTTGCGATCAACATTTCTTTGTCTTACGTTTTGGGTATATATGGGTAAAAATTTCATTTTCAGCCTTAAAACTAATTCTAAAAAGTCTTAAAAAAAATTCCCTTCTTGTCGTCTGTTGCTTCACACCAGTGTTATAATAAATGACTTGAACTGAGATTTTTTTTTAACCCCTAGGGGTTAGTGTTAGAGTTATTTTTAACAAGATAATAACTTTTATCAAGTTATTATTATTTTTCATTTCTTTATGTAATTAGAAATAATATTGCACAAAGCTCCTTGTCTTTATATTTTTTTCATGTAAATTTGTTTCTTAAATCAGGAAACTGATATTGAAAATATAGACAAACTGAGGGGCTCAGGTATAAGTTAGTGTTTGGGTAACACAGATACCACACTGGTGTTCATGTTGTGTAAATATATCCATGTTTAACACAACCTCAACACCACAGACCTTAACTCAGACTGATTTCAAATAGGGGGGTTTGAGGTTGAGTTAGCACAGCGTTACACCAGTACTACACTGATCTATCTGGTGTTAAACACTACACCACCTTAACCCACTTGGACACCGTGACCCCCCGGCATTATGATAGATTAGATAAAGAGGTGACAGTAACGCTATTAAAAAAAAGATAATTGTAAAGAGAATATTCTCAAAATTTCAGTCCCGTTTCTCCACCCTGAACCGAGATATTAAATATTAAAGTCGGTACGATAAAAAAAACCAAAGTCTCGATTATCCACTTTGACGGTAAATCATCCATAAGAAAATGTATTCAAATCGGCTAGCGATGACATCGAGAGTAGATTATGGTCTGGATAAGTTAATTAATGTCTAATTAATAATTTAGATAACATTTCAGGCCTAAAGAAAGATCTTTAATAGACAGATTTAGCTCTTGAGTAATGTATGTTTAATAAAACAAACTGAAATTAGTTGTATGGGATCTTTATTACATATTTACATTATAAAGATAATATCATAGACTTGTATATCCAGTTGGGGGAGGTGTTCATCCCTGGCTAGTTACCTTATTATATCATAGACTTGTATGTCCAGTTGGGGAGCTGTTCTTACGTGTGTAGATATATGGACGGCTCTGTGAATGAAATAAACATATTTAATGCATATTATGCATTTAAATCTAAAATGAAAACTTTTCGTGGCATACCCTTATGAATATATATATATATATATATATATATATATATATATATATATATATATATATATAGAGAGAGAGAGAGAGAGAGGGGGGGGGCAAGGTCTACTCGACACAAACCAGGTCATTTCAAGACTAACATATGTTCAATTTAATTTCAATAAATCGCTTGCGCGTAGGGGTCTTTAGCAGTGGGAGGAAACCAGAGGGCCCAGAGAAAACGCACGAAGTTGGACAGTCGCCCCTACTCTCTGCCACGTACAAGCGGGGATTCGAAACCACGCCACATCACTCAATGTATGCTAACCATTCGGCCATCTACCCCCCCCCCCCCCCAGTGGCATACAAATAAGATTTAAAAGATAGTCAATAAAATTATTGTTTATAAGTTAATTTTACGAATCTATATTTGTCTAATTACCCACGCCCTAGATAATTAGCAAAATGAAATAAAAATGAGGGCACTACGGTCTACTCTTATTTCGAATCCCAACTGTCAAGGGTTCTTTTACGTGCACGCCGATGTGTACACAAGACCTCAGTTCTTCGTCCCAGGAGAACGACTAGAAACTGTCTTTGTCTGATTCTCCGCCCGGCACCACGCCCTACATCTACACCACGCTCTACGCCAACCCCTACATCTACACCACGCTCTACGCCAACCCCTACATCTACACCACGCCCTACATCTACACCACGCCCTGCACCACGTCCTACATCTACACCACGCCCTGCACCACGCCCTACTTCTACACTACGCCCTATACCACGCTCTGCACCACGCCTTACACCACGCCGGAAAAGCCCGATGAACTTTCACGGCCAATACCGGGAGCGAATCCGAGACCTCCAGTTTTACTCATTGAATCCCCGCGGCCCTATGGCGAATATCGCACATACGATTGATAAGTCGTGGAACTATTAAAGAAATTTACCTCAACTGGACATTCTAGATGGTCATCAAAAGTCATACTCGTGTTTTTAAACCCAACTGGTTGAAGCTAAATTGGTAAATGCAAAACACAAAAGTAAAATAAAAAATGTGTTTTAAATATAAAAGAATGCACCAATATAAAGTCCCTCAAATATAAAAGAATACACCCAATTAAAAACATCAACCACTTCTTATATAACACACTATTTATGGATAACAATTTCAACAAGATTTCACAAGTCGTTATCAAGCATATAACGCAAATAGCGTTATATGCTTGATAACGACTTGTGAAATCTTGTTGAAACGTCGCAGTGAAATAAACCACAGTAATTGTTATCCATAAATAGTGTGTTATTTGATTATGTTCCAATTACTAAATGCCATTTAAAGAACACTTCTTATATATCAAGTCATACACCATTCACTATATAGTTCTTTACTACCCAAACCCTTATGGCTGCCCATCGTCTTTTGGTGGTTTCTAGATGATTATATCTGATTGTATGTTAATGTTCTCTTTGTTTCATATATTGTATTATATATCTTATATCTGTGGTTGTACGGGAGAAAATGAAATGAAATGGAGATTAACGTTCTGCTGTTTTGTACCGACTGCATGGGCAAATGAAGATGGGCATACGCCATACAGAGTGCTATGAGGGAAATTTTTCCCGGGCAGCGGCACTATCGCCTAATTCCAACTGCCAACGGATCTTTTACGTGCATGTCAATGTACACACGGGACCTCGGGGTTTTGTTTTGTCTCATCAGAACGACTAGACAGCTGTCAGGCGCCACTGACAAGGGGAAACAACGTCGGAAAATCCCGATGAACTTTCTCTGCCAATGCAGGGATCGAACACGTGACCTCCAGGCTAGCGAGCTAGCGTCTCACCCACTTAGCCACCAAAGACGGGAGAACCCTTCAAGTAACTTGCATTCCATTTAATTGTGTCATGTGTTATTTCATTAGACGGTTAGATTTTTATTCAATCTGATCAAAAATATAAATCTATATTTCGTTTCGTTTTTTTTATACTTTCGATGGCCTACACTACATGAAGATCAATCTCCCAAACAGAGTTGTCAGGGGTCATACGAGTGCCTTTTGACCCTATGACGTCAGACATTGATTAATCAATTAGCGTTGACGTTTCTAGTGGTTGATTTATATTTTTTTTTTTTTTTTTTTTACTTTCGATGGCCTTCACTGCATGAAGCTCTGACCAGTTGTAATGGGAGGTTTTGTAAGTTGTCATACGAGCGCTTTTGACCCCATGATGTCAGACATTTGATTAACCAATCAGCGTTGACATTTCTAATGCTTTACCCACAGTGCACCGTACGCCAAGAACTCGCCGTAACAGACCGTTTTATTGGCTAATCACTCATATCAACCAGAACTCGTATTATATGACAAATCTTCCAGATCCTAGTGTAGTAAAAAAAAGTAAAACAAAATTTTGAACTAAAAAAAAACGAACAGAAAAAGGATCTGTGTTTAAATCAGATTGATTATTATTTAAATGTATATGAAAGTAATATTAGTTGATTTGTTTAGAATGCCCCCCCCCCCCCATTCAAGGGAGTAGAACCAGTAGTTGAAAAAGGCTTTACCGTAACATTTTAATGAACTGTTAGTCAAAACTAAATAATATTTTACCATATTATTCCAAAGGGACCTTGCGAATGTAGAGTGTCCCTTTCTACTAAAATGAAAACAATCCGGCGCAAAATAGGTGAAGTCTGGTTCGCCGTCTGGCTGTAATAGTAAATTTAATCCAGTTTAGCAAGGGTACGGGAATATGACATATTTCCTGCTTTTATAATTAGTATTTGAATAAAAATAAATATCAACATCAATCAATTGAAATGAAATGAAATGGCACGTCCTACTGTTCTGCTCCGAACTGGGCAGACGGGCATACGCCATACAGTGTGCTATAAAGGAAATTTTGCCCGGACAGCGGCACTACGGAAAACTCTTATATCGAATTCTGCCTGTCATGGGATCTTTTACGTGCATGCCAATGTATACACGGGACCTGGGTTTTCTTCCCATCCGAACGACTAGACGGTGATCCTTGTCAAGACCTCCGTCCTGCATCACAGACAAGGGGGAACCACGCTGAAAAATCTGGATCGAACACCCGACCTCCAGTCTAGCGAGCCAGCGTCTTATCCACTTAGCCTACGTGACCCCCTCAATTTGTATCATACACCTAACCTGAGTTTAACCAAACCGATGTTGGTGTCTATACGAATTTAACAAACTTGGTGTCTACGAATTAACACATGTGGTGTCTATACGAATTTAACACACGTGGTTGACTTTTAATAAAAATAATTTTAACATGGATATTTTTGCTACTTTTGTTCAGTAAAACCTATCAGATATTATTACGAAGACAAAGCAATTGTATACAACATAAATATATGTTAACGGAAACTTTTTCTTTAGAAGATAAGTAAATGTATTACCGTATGAGGTATGTCAACATCTAAGGTAAAAGGTTGTAATACAACAGTAAAATCATCAGTAGTATCATATCTACTGGTTGATAATAAATCTATTAATCCCTGTCTATAGTTATGGTTGAGTTTTATAATATCTTCTTTATCTTCTGGTGTATCTGGATATACAGCACAGGAGCACAGAGCCCTTAATAAAATATTAAACAATAATACCTATGAATAAAACATTAAACATATAATACTTCTAAAATAGCTGTATATTAAACATGCATTATGCAAGAGCAAAATCTGCTTATTACAAGTCTTTCTTTAGGCCTGAAATGTTATCTAAATTATCAATTAGACATTAATTAACTTATCAAGACCATAATAAACTATCGATGTCAAGGCTAGCCTTCGATGTTGGCTGGATTAGATTCCTATATGCCGCTTAACGGCCATTGATAATTAAATCAAAACAGTGGATAATCGAGACTATGCTGTTTATATTAATGATTTTAGTAATGATGACCGAGACTATGCGAAAATTTCACCCGCTTCGTTCTCGGCTCATAGTTGATCAATTTGACTGAAATTTTCAGCAAATTACCTTTACACTATTTAGTTTTTAACTATCATAGCGAGAACTGCCATCTCTTTATCTGATCTCCCATAATGTATCTTTCATTAAAGATACATTATGGAAGATTCGATAAAGAGCTAGCAGTTCTCGGTATATTATTAACAATCTAGTTAATGTAAATGGGATATGCTGAAAGTGTCAGCCAAATTGCTCCACTCTCAACCGAGATATAAGCGATTGAATTTTAGGCCTAGCCTCGATCATCATTACTAAAGTCGGTGCGATAAAAAACATAGTCTCGATTATCCATTTTTGGATTTAATCACAAATGAGCGTTGAGCAGCAGATCGGATTCTAATCCAGTAAATGTCGCAGACTAGCGATGACATCGAGAGTTGATAATGGTCTTGTCATATGAAAATCCCACACATAATATGGCAAAAACGGGAAATGGAGAGAAAGACCCCTAAAAAAACTTTGGCCCTTGTGACGGCGTGGGAATAATTGGTGTCCAAATTACTTCATTCCGGGCGAAGTTGTTTCCATTAGAAGAACAGCGTAGTCTCGAATGTCGTTGCTACCGTTGTTACGATAATAAGCAGTCTCGATTATCCATTTTTAAATTAAATCATCAACTGCCAATCGTATTTAAATCTCTTGAAAATATCGAGCATAATTGTCTAATTAATAATTTATATAACATTTAAGACCTAAAGAAAGACACGCTTTTGAATAATGGTCCTTTACGAATTGCAACGAATTTGACAGGTACGGCCTTAATGGGTAATATATTCAATTTTGGTACCCTAATGGGAGCAAGAAAAATGTAAAATGTTCGAAGAAATATTAAAATTTATTAAGCGTGTGCATAAAAAGCAAATTATTGAAACTTACAAGTGGGAGATAGCACACGTTAAATGATCGTTTAACTCAGATAAAGATGTCATGTTTAGAACAGGAACAATATTGACAAGTGTCCTGGGTAACTCCTCCTTTAATACATCTAGTATATGCTGTATATTGTTCGTGAAGTTTTCACTACTGTACATCAACTGTTGAAGAAAATAAAAACACACAAAATAAAAACATTATCAAGAAAACATAAAGACGAGAGAATATTTGTCAAAATGTCGCCAGAAATAAATCTTTTAAGTAACTTGTATTCCATATAATTGTGTGATGTATTATTCTCATCCAGTTACTAAATGTCGCTTGAAATGAAATGAAATGAAATGAAATGGGGTTTAACGTCCTACTGTTCTGCTCCTAACCTGGGTTAATGAAGACGGGCATACGCCATACAGTGTGCTATGAGGGAAATTTTGCCCGGGAAGCGGCGCTACGGCCTACTCTTCTATCGAATTCCAACTGCCAAGGGATCTTTTACGTGCACGCCAATGTGTACACGGGACCTCGGTTTTTTTTCGTCCCATCCGAACGACTAGACACCTGTCCTTGTCAGGCCCCCCGAAATCTCGCTTGAACCAATTAACAATAATTGTAAACTGGTATAATAGAGTAGTGAGATTTGATTACTTTATATAGTATGGAGATACTTCCGAACTCTACTCTGAGATATCCAAATATCTAGGCATATCTTGGTGCCTAGTAAAACACAGTACAGTATCTTTACATTGCAAAACCAATCTGATTAAAATACAGATCTATATTTCATTTCGTTTTTTTTATATATACTTTCGATTGGCCTACACTACTTGAAGATCTGACCAGTTGTAATAAAAGGTCGCGCCAGAGATTGATTAATCAATCAGCGTTGACGTTTCCAATGGTTTACCCACAGTTCTCTGCATCGCCTGCACAGGCGTCGTCGTAACAAATGGTTTCATTGGCTAATCCCTCACGCCATCCAGAACGCAGGTTAAATAACAACTCTTTCAGATATCAGTGTAGTAAAGACAAATAAAACGAAATTTTGAACTATAAAAAAAAGAAACGAAATAGGATCTGTTAATCAGACTAGTTGCAAAACATAAGACAAACAGCCTATACGAACAGAGAACACAAATAATATTCAAATTGTCAAACAACGACATAAAAATATTATTATAATGATCTTTATAAAAGATAAAAGGGTGAGAGAAAGAAATGTGGTTTAACGTCCACTCGACACAAACTAGATCATTTCGAGACTAACATATGGTTCAATCTTATTTCAATAATTCGCTTGCGCAAAGGGGTCTTTAGCAGTGGGAGAAACCCGGAGGACCCGGAAAAACCCCACGAGATTGGACAGGCGAACATTCTCTTTGTCACGTATAAGCGGGGAATCGAAAGCACACCACTTGACTTCATGACAGACCTAGACCCCCCCCCCCACTCCGCGCACCTCCCTTATATATAAGATAAAACCTGGGCCCTGTTTCTCGGAATCTTAACTAAAGATAAAATCCACATTTTAGTAGATACTTCAATATTGATTGGCTAAGCACTAAAATCAATCTAATATTATCCAGTCAAATTACTAAAATTTGGATTTTATCTTAGTTAAAATGTCGTGAAACAGGCCCCTGGTTGATAATGGTCAACTTACCGGCGATGAACAATAATAACATATATCGTTTGATCCTATAAATAATGTTACCATTTTCCAATCATTATTTATATCAACTTTACTATCATTCTTCATACGATTAATTAAAACATTCACCTCATCTTTCAGATCACTGCAATTTAAAAACATGCCTTGCATTATGTCCACTCAACTCTAAAAGGAGTAGGGTCCTGGGTTTGTCTAGAATCGTCGGACCCCTGTCGCTACGAAAAGATTATTTATACCCGTTCGAAGAAATCTGATTACAATACAGATCTATATTTCGTTTCGTTTTTTATACTTTCGATGGCCAACACTACACGAGAGAGAGAGAAATGGAGTTTAACGTCGACTCGACACGAACCAGGTCATTTCGGGACTAACATATGGTTTAATTTTATTTCAATAATTCGCTTGCGCGTAGGGGTCTTTAGCAGTGGGAGGAAACCGGAGGACCCGGAGAAAACCCACGAGGTTGGACAGGTGACCCTACTCCTTGTCACGCACAACCGGGATTCGAAACCACGCCAGTTGACTCAATGACAGACTTTATGATACAGCGTGCACACGCTAACCATTCAGCCATCCACCCCCACCCCCCTACACTACATGAAGATCTGACAAGTTATAGTGGGAGTTCACGTCAGGGGTCACACGAGCGGCTTTTGATCCTATGACGTCAGACATTGATTAATCAATCAGCGTTGACGTTTCTAGTGGTTTTCCCACAGTTCCGCGCATTAAAAGGCCTAGAACTCGCCGTAACTGACCGTTTCATTGTCTAATCCAGAACACCATCCAGAACACGTCAACGATAACAACTCTTCCAGATCCTAGTGTAGTAAAGACAAGTAAAACGAAATTTTGAACTATAAAAACGAAACGAAATAGGACCTGTGTTTTAATCAGATTGAAATTGTAGTTGTATAAATAAAAACATTGATTTTTACCTGGATACAGCTCCTGGTTTGGCTACATTATAACCAGAATCAGCGTCCTCATAATCACCTTCTTTTGTTGAAAAACCATACAGCTTGGGATTGTAGTGTTTCAAAATATCTATTAAAAGGAGAAAGTTATTAGTAAAGATAGTGATAAAACCCACATTAAGCCATCCTCGGTATCTCCTGTGGTATCTTACGTTCTACTCCACCAAACTCTGGGTCTATTCACGGGTTTTTCACGAATTCAAATTATCTGCCGTTGATGATTTCATTGGCCACGTAGGTTGATTGTATGAACCAATCAAAACAGTTTACATGCCAGTCTTAGCGTCATTGTTTACGTTCACCATAATACAGCAGCTTGTACGCTGGACTTTAAGAGGGTTTGCAAGAAATTTAATGTCAAAGAAATGACATGCACACAAAATGATGTCCTAAACTGATTTGGCAAAGTTTACAACAACGATTCGGGGATCTTAGTTGCAATAAAATGCGAGTTACTTCCCTTCGCCCACTATTTATGGAATGTTTTGATTGGTCGTTAAAAATACCACAACTATCAAGGGTGGATAATTTGACCGTGTGTCTCCTCCGTAAAAGTATCCAGGGGTTAGTGGTGTAGAACGAAACCATACCACTGGGGATAGCTAACAATAAAACGGTGGAAATTACCCATTTAAAATACAGAAAAACTACTAAAAATATGAGACTGGAGAATGTGGGTCATTTGAGGAAATTAGACCAAACTATCCTTGTCGCTTCCATATAACCCATTTATCAGAGTTAATACAGCAGGCCGATGGGAAATCACCGCCAAATATCCATTGGTGTAAACATGCCTTACAAGAATGGTCCATATTGTAACTGTACTTACTGGGTAGGGTGATCTGCTTTTCATAAAATTCGTCACCACCTATACTAGAAATAAAATTTGATCAATTAAACATACATTATGCAAGAGCTAAATCTGTCTATTGCGGGTCTTTCTTTAGGCCTGAAATGTTACCTAAATTATTAATTAGACATTAATTAACTTATCCAGACCATAATCAACTCTAGATGGCATCGCTAGCCTGCGATCTTAAGTGGACTGTGATCCGATTTATTGCATACCTTTCTTCTCGATTAAACGATTAAATAGATAATCGAGATTATGCTGTTTAACGTACTGACTTTAGTAATGATGACCGAGGCTAGGCAGAAATTTTATTCGCTTAGTTCTCGGTTCATAGTGGATATGTATCTTTAATGTTCGCACAGTTCGGATTAAATACTCAAGTTCGACACGTAAAGTCTAAAACAAGAGAGAGATAAGTCTCTAAGTATAAGTGTGTTTTCAATTTTTTTCTTAACTAACGCAAACGATGAACATGTTCTATTTTTTTGAGGTAATTGTTCCAGGGAAGAGGAGCTTGAACATACAATGAACGATCACCAAGTGAACAGGAGTAAACAAAACCTTTATTCTGACATGTTTAGGGTTTACAGGACAAATATTAAACGTGACTTAAAGATGCCTTCCCGGGTATAAACTGGGTGATTTTATGATATGCCTGTGGGAAAGTATCTTTAACATTGTTGTATACACAAACCTCCATGATAAGCCCCTATACTGAATTAATGATCCAATTACAGTGTCTGCATCTATACCATTACCAGCCTATAATATATACATAGTATTTATAATTCTTCTTATTATAATTAATTAAAGATGGGTTGCCGCGTACAAACTGGGTGATTTAATGGTATATATGGACTAAAAACATATTCAAACCAGGTCATGTTTACGTCACGTCTTGGAAATCAGAGGAGAATTTATTGCTTACATAAGACGATGTTGTCTTTAATCGCTTACTATTTATTACAAATATAGAATCCTAATTAAATTCTCGGATTATCCACTACCCGCGTCTTTTCCGTCATTTTTATCTCCGAAAGTGTCGTACGTCTAACTCTTCATAAAGTTTATCAACTTGTACATCAAGCGCTCAATGTTCGCGTGTGACCTTTGACATCACGCATGCAGAAATTCTTAATCGTCGGGCTGTTGATTAGGGAAACCCTTACATTTTTGTCCTGTATACGCTCCATGAGTGTTTTTCGGGAATCCAGTGTTTTTCTAGTGAGATTGGATATCTCTACTTTTCATATATACCAAAATTGCCATACTTTTATTGGAAATAACCACCCGATAAATACTTTTCTGGGAACCCATCTTTAAGCAAAAACTAAACAAAACTATAAAAGGCTAGCCACAGGGTTTTCAACAAAGGGGGAATAACTCCGGAACGCAAAGTCGGGGAAAGCTAAAAACCGATAGAACGAAAAAGCGCGGAACGCTGAAAATCGATAGGGTTCGTTCTCTCGTGACCACGATGCTTCACACCAAATTTAAAAAGTATCCATAAAAAGCTCTAGCCCCAATCGTGTCCACAAGCCAATGGTTTGACGGACGGACCGACGGGCAGGGTGACGACATAAAACGCCCAGATTGAAATGTGGGCGCATAAATATAAATAAAAAATAAGAAGCAGTTGCCATGCAAGATACACCCACAATGGATAGAGAACAAGCTAAAGGGGCAATTTTCGTTCAAAAATCCTGGATGTTACGCGAATATCGAAAGGAACTGAGATCTTTGGGTTATAAACATACATTTAAAGTTTCATAAAAATCGCATAGCAATTGTGAGCTCTAGAGTGTCTACAAGCTAAACGCGTGATTATTTATACAGTCAGGGGCCATAATCCATGAAGTTACGGTCCGATACATGCCAATAACGAAAGTAACCGAGATGTTCAGGATATAAACATGCATTTAAAGTTTTGTCAAAATCGGATAAAAATTGTGACCTGTAGTGTGTCCAAAAACTAATGTGAAATAAATAAAACGATTAATTTTAACTTTGACGAATAATGTATTCAACCGAACAGTTTAATATTTCGGAAAGAAGTTTTTGTGTTTGTTATTTATTTAATAAAAGGGGGGGGGGTGGTTGGCCGAATGGTCAGCGTGTGCGCGTTATATCATAAGGTCTGTCATTGAATCAACTGGCTTGGTTTCGATTCCCCGGTTGTACGTGACAAGGAGTAGGGTCGTCTGTCCAAGCTCGTGGGTTTTTCTCCGGGTTCTCCAGTTTCCTCCCACAGCTAGAGACCCATGAACCATGTGCTAGTCCCGAATTGACCTAGTTTGTGTCGAGTGGACGTTAATCTCTCTCTCTCTCTCTCTCTCTCTCTCTCTCTACTCAATAAAACCCAACTTACTGTTATGGAATCCCCTAATGCAGAAACAACTTGAATATCTCCTGGTCTCAACTTGTGCACTAAAATATAATTAAACTCTACTTATGACATTTACCATTTATTAAATAATATAATATATAAATATCTCTTGTGGCCAAAAGGCAATGATACAAAATGTATACAATACAAAAAAAGATACACACTCACACGTCATGCACACACATAGTTAATCAATATAAATGGAGAAATCAAACAGCACACATCACTGATTTATTAAAGGAGCTAAATCGCTATTCTTTGGCACATAGAAATTGATACCATTGGGTCAAAACGCATATAATTATGTAATATGAATGTATATAAACTGATTTACATTCAATCGTTTCTGGTTTTACCGTTCGGCGATATACGCGAAGAGTCCAAATTGAATGACAGTCTTTAGCGTTCGGTTACTCCAGTCTACACCGGTAGTATTCTCTTGTGTGGGATATGTTTAGCCTCGTTCATCGAGTCGCTTCATTACAAATGGCACTCGAAAGCATTAAGTATTGGATACCAGAAGCCTATTTTTTCACGGTAAGATAACATCAATGTTGATTTAAATTGACCAATATACCGTGTTTACAGTGGCGAAGACTGTAGATGATATTGAGTTAAAGACTTGCCTCCTTTAAAGATAGCAATGTTAACAATTAATTAAAAGTGCTATTCTTTGGCGGAATAATTGCCAATATGGTATTAACAATTATTATGGAGGAAGGCTGTTTGAAGTTTATCTATGAGGCCAATGAGTAGTGACATTTATCGAGCTTTGAAGTTATAAATTAACTGACTATTAAGATCTAGTTGGACCTGGAGAGATAAACTCTATGATTTTACGAGAGGGAGAGAGAGAGAGAGAGAGAGAGATAGGGGAGGGGAGAGAGAAATGAGGTTTAACGTCCACTAGACACAAACAAGGTCGTTTCGGGGAATCGAAGCCACGCCAGTTGACTCAATGACAGACTTTATGATACAACGCGCACGTTACGTACTTTTACAAAGGTTACTGACGTGGGCTTCCATATTCATGTTATAATCAAATATTGAGCTGATATTACGTTTATTAATTTTGATAGGGATATTAGGCAGGTTCATATTGAAATTGGATTGACATTAACTTTGGGTGATTGATTTTTCGAGTCAATAATTAGATATTCGGGTATTCCTCCGTTCAATTTTAGAAAATTTTGTGACATCCTATTGGAATTGGATCGCTGTCATAACTTTGGGTAATTGATTTTTAACTATTATTGCGACAATTGTCAGCTCTTGATCTACACCTTACATAATGTATCTTTAAAATTCCGTTTAAATCTTACATAATGTATCTTAAAATTCCCCTTTAAACCTTACATAATGTATATTTAGAATCTCCTTTAAATCTTACATAATGTATCTTTAAATTCCCCTTTAAATCTTACATAATGTATCTTACAAAATCACCTTTAAACCTTACATAATGTATTTTTAAAATCCCCTTTAAATCTTACATAATGTATCTTAAAAAATCACCTTTAAACCTTACATAATGAATCTTTAAATTCCCCTTTAAACCTTACATAATGTATCTTTAAAATCCCCTTTAAACCTTACATAATGTATCTTAAAAAATCACCTTTAAACCTTACATAATGAATCTTTAAATTCCCCTTTAAACCTTACATAATGTATCTTTAAAATCCCCTTTAAATCTTACATAATGTATCTTAAAATTCCCCTTTAAACCTTAAAAAATCACCTTTAAACCTTACATAATGAATCTTTAATTTCCCCTTTAAACCTTACATAATGTATCTTTAAAATCCCCTTTAAATCTTACATAATGTATCTTAAAATTCCCCTTTAAACCTTACATAATGTATATTTACAATCTCCTTTAAATCTTACATAATGTATCTTTAAAATCCCCTTTAAATCTTACATAATGTATCTTTAAAATCCCCTTTAAATCTTACATAATGTATCTTAAAATTCCCCTTTAAACCTTACATAATGTATATTTAGAATCTCCTTTAAATCTTACATAATGTATCTTTAAAATCCCCTTTAAATCTCACATAATGTATCTTTAAAATCACCTTTAAATCTTACATAATGTATCTTTAATTGGGGTGATTTACTTACAACAGAGTAGGTCGTTAAACCCCATTTCATTTCATTTCATTTGCGTACAACAATATTTCATTTCATTTCATTTACTGTTACAATGTGTCACAGCTGATGTACAATAACAAAAATAAATCACAATTATTGACATTGTTCATACATACCAGATGTTGGGATTTGGTTCGAGGGTGGTAAAAATGGACATGGAAATCTAGCATACTGATTCTAAAAAATATACAATTATTATTACTATGATTATATGCACCGAAATTATGAGGACCTGTCAGGGTTAGGGCTACAAGTTAAGGCCCATTGCAGATTTCTTCATAGGTCACGAGATATAAATAGGTTGAGAAGGCGACCCTATCAGGGATCCAAACCACGGCCGCAAGTTTGACGTGATAGGGTCAAAAGAAATAGGTGACCTGCCAGTTAGAATCGCAACACTCTAGACCAGTAGGCCATCCCAATCCCCGTCTCCATAATGTGAAATTTATATAGAGGTAGCCTCGTGTACATCTTGTCACTGGGTGTGTTTTCGTATTGCGTGTAAGGTAAAAAATATAGTATGGACTAAACGGTAAATTAGTCCTATTCAAAGAAGGCCAGTAAGTGTCTATTACCTTTGTCGTATCACTTTCAGCCTTTGTATAGATAATACCTAAAAAAAAATTAAAATAAGTAGAATATAATTTTGCTGGGGAAGAATATTAAAAAATGGTATGTATATATGGTACTTGCTGCAAATGAAGTTACACATCATTATGGATCGTTGGATTTTTCAAAGGACCTTTTCTTACGCAATTCAGATGTATATATTTGCTATGTACATTTATGTGTGTTCTTCCTCAAATTTATATGAAAATGAAGTAAAATGGGGTTTAACGTCCTACTGTTCTGCTCCGACTAGGCTATTGAAGACGGGCATACGCCATAAAAAGTGCTATGAAAGGAAATTTTGCCCGGGCAGCGGCACTATCGCATAGACTATGGCCTACTCTTATATCGAATTTCAGCTGCCAGGGGGATCTTATATGTGTTACGTCAATGTATTCACGGGAACTCGGGTTTCCATTCCATCCGAACGACTAGATAGCTGTCCTTGTCTCCGTCCTGCACCAATGACAAGGGGAAAACTACGTTGGAAAATCAAATATATATGTATTCTATATAAACTCACCCAATGTTCATTCATTTTCTATTATTAACTACTCTCCTTCAAACCTCAATATAAACAGACTTTCCACCATAGCATTCAAACGAATAATTGTATATATTTTAAAATATGTAACCTGGCCCTAGATATCAATATTATTTTCTTTATGCAAAATATAACCATACCTGCAATATGTAATATAAAAGAAACACCTGCTACAGGTAACATTCTCTCTTGTATTCACCTTAATCCGGATTTAGATAAATAACATTCTGAATTAATTTACTGTCCCACTCTAACCATCTCCAATCAGAAAATCCAATTAACAGTTTAATTACATATATGTATATATTATTACTAGTTTCACGCCTAGCTAACACAGCTTTTATAAAAAATATTGATTGTGCTGGGTTTTAAAAATACAGCAGATGTTACCAAATCGATTTAAAAATTTCAGAGGAAATCTAGGTCGAAATCACTACTAGATTTCACTTAAATATACGTAAGTTTTACTCAAAGACAATATTAAAGATACATTATGGGGGATTAGATAAAGAGTTGGTAGTTCTCACTATAATAGTTAAAAACTATATAATGTAAAGGGAATTTGCTGAAAATTTCAGTCAAATTGATCCACCCTGAATCGAGTATTTAGCGATTGAATTTTGTGCCTAGCCTCGATCACCATTACTAAAGTCGGTACGATAAAAAAAAACCATAGTCTCGATTATTCATTTTTTGATTGATGTAATCAGAAGCAGCAGACCGGGTTCTAATCCAGTAAATATCACATTGAGAGTTGATTATGGTCTGGATAAGTTAATTAATGTCTAATAAATAATTTAGATAACATTTCAGACCTAAAGAAAGACCTGCAATTGGCAGATTTAGCTCTTACATAATGGGAAAGATGGTTTTATTCCAATCAAAGCAGGCATTGGCAGATGGTTATACTATCAAGCGCAATGGTCAATAAAAATAGCACAATCACCAAGGGCAGATAATTTAAATAGTGTCTACCCCGTGGATGATGCCTGGGTAGAGAGAGAGAGAGAGAGGGAGAGAGAGGGGGGGGGGGGTAATGTCCATACAGCATACTTTCGTCCCCTCCCAAACCCGGTATTTCGAATGAACCTAGAAATTGCATACAAAATTTTTTTTATGATTGATTTTAGTAGCCTAGGGTGTCCTCTTTCAGAATCTGCCAGGTTCAGCTATAGTTCTGTGGGACTACTTGGTCATTTCAGGACTAACACATGGTTCAATTTTATTTCATTAATGTGCTTGTAGTTGGGGTCTATAGCACTAGGAGGAAACCCAAAGACCAAGAAAACCCACAAGGTTGGACAGGCGACTCTACTCCTTGTAACATACCATGCCATTATGGTACAACGCGCATGCATTAACCAATCGGCCACCCAACCCATTTGTTATAAGGCAGTGGTTATTGTTACGAGGAGTCGTAAAAATAGTCCTCCGGCTATTGTTACGAAGATGCTTTCACAGCCCTCCGTCGGCGAAGTTAAAAACTGAATAGTCGTAAAAATAGTCCTAACCCTAACCCTTCCCATCTCTTAATTTCTGCCTTAAGTTCTGAGTGAAAACGTTGAAAATACTGCTCCTTTTTCAAAGCTGGTGTTCGGGAGATTGGCAGCCATTTTGGAAATCGTTCTAAACCTTGCTCAGACTCGTAACAATAGCCACTTGGTTGTTATAAGAGAGAGCCGTAGTGGCTCAATGATTAAGATGCTGGCTTGCTAACAAGGAGGTCTGGATATTCTGGCATGGTTTCCCCTTGTCTGTTGTGCAAGATGATGGGGATGACAAGAAACGTTGTCTTGTCATTCGGATGCTACGTAAAACCAACGTCCTGCGTACACATTTCCGTGCGCAAGTAAGATCCCTTGACAGTTGGAATTCGATATTAAAAGAGTAGGCTGTAGTGCCGATGTCCAGGCAAACTTTCCCTCATAGCACACTGTTTGGCAAATGCCCGTCTTCATTGGCCTATTTCATTTCTTGTCAGAATTTGTTCTAAGATTGTGACCCAACTCTAACAGAGAGAGAGAAATGGGGTTTAACGTCCAATGGACACAAACTAGGTCATTTCTGGACTAACACATGGTTCAATTTTATTTCAATAATTCACAAGTGCGTAGGGGTCTTTAGCAGTGGGAGGAAACCAGAGGACCCAGAGAAAACCGACGAGGTTGGACAGGCGACCCTACTCTTTGTCACGTACAACTGGGGAATCTACACCACACCAGTTGACTCAATGACAGACTTTATTATACAGCGTGCACGTGCTTACCATTCGGCCATCCCCCCTCCCAACTCTAAGCTTAAAATAATAATAACGGGTACATTTGAAAAATCAAAAAAAAAAATAAATAAATAAGATTGATGGAAAATGAGATTTTAATTTGAATTTTTAGTTTGTATATTACAAATAGACAACAACTATAATATCATTTACAAATGATAAGTCCTATTTACAAATAAAATTATATCTTATTCTTTTATTTACAAAGAATAGACAATAATATAAATATTATAATAATAATAAGAATGTGGTCATAGCTTCACGAGTGATACATTAAATAAATTGCCAATGCATGCAATAGAATAACAATTAATTCTAGAATTTACCCAACAACATATATATAAACATGTCATTTTGGACCAATATCTGAATTCTCAAAAACACTCTTTTTTTTCGGAAACAACAGTTTTCATAATATGGTAGCATCACATCCTTTAATTAAATTTTTCTCAAATTATTTTTATTTTTTGTTTTGATTTAATGTATGTATATACTTTTGTTCATTTGATATTGTGCAGTTATCCTCAAATGTCTCTTAGCAAAATATGAAATTTTTCCTCTTCTCTTTCAAAATTTTATTAAATAATTCTGAAAGGAGGACAGGGTAATTTATTTTACATATTTTTGTTCACTCTGTTGTCCAGTTATCCAGTTATGTCTTCTAGGAACAATCGGTCACAGAGTATCAAATATTCTACTTTCGTTTTAAACAATATAATAATACGTTTTACTAAGACCCCTTTCCTTTAAACTTTCTTATTAAATTTGATGAAGTCACATTTAACGACAAAAATAGATAATAAACCCAAATTTGATGTTTCTATTAAATACAAATTATTGCCTTATCAGTAATGACTAATAGGTCACAAAAAATAACATATTAACTAGTTTGAAGAAATTACACTAAAAGGTATTATTCAGAATATATTCTGGTCATGAGTAAAGAAAACATCAAATGAATAAATTAAATTTTTAATTTAAAATGGCACAACAATGAGAATTAACGATAAAGCTCGAGTTTGAATCTGTTGAAGTTTATATTGACTAGTTGACAACCCTATTTGAAGCCGATATTAAAGAACTGATTATGATCAAGAAGAGGACGAAGCTGCTAATTTTTTAAGATGATCCATGAAGACTTGAAGACTGACATCATCTGTTAGCACTGGAGCACCGGAATCCTGAAACACAAAAAATTAAATTCATTAAATATCTTTGGTTTTATTTATAAAACATGAAAAATATTGTCAAATGACTTATCTATAAAGACTACTACAGGTTAAATTTGTTTGTATTGGCCTAGGAATTTTATCCCAACCGATAGAATAGGCAATACTTTATTTATCAGCCACGCAGACCCTACCACTGACCAGAGAGATGTCAGGCCCTGAATTCACAAAGCATTTTCAGACTTAAGTTAAGAATTTCCTCAACTTTCAGTCACTGTTTATGAGAAATGCCAGGCAGGGTAAGCTTACTCTTCCGGACACCTGTTACCACTGTTTGTCGTGTAATTTGTACACGAGGAGCAGTCCATTTGCTGATTACACTTGCTGATTTTGCTTGAATACACTATTTTGCCTATAACGTTTTTTAGGACTTCGAATTCTGTCTTATGGTTTGGATTGTTCGTACTTGGTTTTATTTTATTTGATTCAAAAACACAAAACTTTGCACATCGTTTCTTATTAATGTATTTGATACATTAAAAAAAAAAAGTTTTATAAAGGGCTATATTTTAGTTAACATAAAACGAACAATTTTGAGCAAATTCTGAGAACATTTTGTGAAGTCGGTTCCTGGTCTGCTATTGTCTCAGTTATAATGACAGATTCTTACAGAGTTCCACCTGTGACCCACTATATGTTATATATAACTATTATTCCGTTCATTTTTACCGACACCCATTATTCTATATCAATTCTCTTCTAATGATGATTTATTAGACTTAAAAGTTTGGGTCACAAAATAGTGGCCAAGGTCAGACACTCTTTATATGTGACTTTGTCACTAACAATTGAGAACTGATGAATGACTTGACATAAATTCTGTTGATAGTGGTCTATATTGCTCTTCTTCTATTCCAAACAATCAATTTGCTCAGTAGACTAAATTCTTGACAAATAAACCCAACTGTTCATCTTGTAAATACCACATGGCAATTCTCTTTAATTCATGACTTTAAAGTTTGAAATTTTAAAAAAAACATGCTCGAATATTTAATCAACTGTTACCATGTGTATAAACACAGTCCATAATACATATTGTAATATATCTAGATATATAAAACATTCTGTTCACTTAATACAACATCAATATCTTTATTCATTCTTCCTTTAATCTCAATGTCTAACTTTATTTATTCTTCTTTCACTCATTCAAGTGTCTTTATTAATTCTTACTTTGCTCATACAAATTGTCTAAGTTTATTAATTCTTACTTTATTCATTCAAGAATGTGACTTACTTTATTCTTATTTTACTCATTCAAGAACGTCTTATTTTATTTTTACTTTGCTTATCTAAATAAGATTTTAATTTAAAACTGGATTGATAAATATTAGACATCATTCTATGTTATACAATGACCCATAAACAAAGGTCAATAGTCAGAAAATGGTTGAATGAATTTCGAGGTCTACTCCATCCGAGGAATTATATCTACACAATCCCGTTATAAATTAAAATCTACTCTCCATGTGAGAATATTTTAAACATCAACCACCTTTAATTATAAAATACCAAATCCAAACCAATGATCCATAAAATCCTTGTGGCACTAATAAAATAACCCGGTTAAAAAAAAAATAATCTTGTTAAATTCTTCATTTGTTTAATCAGGACTTATTTATATTTCTCTACACTCAGTTTCTAAATATAATTAAACAGGCATTGTCACTTTCACATGAAAATCAAAGTTGGATAATCTGATATCCTAGAGAGAGAGAGAAATGTGGTTTAACGTCCAATCGACACAAACTAGGTCATTTCGGGACTAACACATGGTTCCATTTTATTTCAATAATTCGCTGGAGAGGACCTGGAGAAAACCCACGAGGTTGGACAGGGACCCTACTCCTTGTCACGTACAACCGGGGATTCGAAACCACGTCAGTCGACTCAATGACAGACTTTACGATACAGCGCGCGCACACTAACCATTCAGCCATCCAACCCCCCTGATATCCTAGAGCAGGGCCCTGTTTCTCAAAATCTTAATTAATGATAACATTCTAAATTTTAGTAGATACTTCAATTTTGATTGGCTAAGTACTAAAATCAATCTAATATTATCCAATCAAATTACTAAACATCAGATTTTATCTTAGTTAAAATTTCGTGAAACGGGCCCCAGATCCTAGTGAAGTAAAGACGAGTAAAACAAAATTTTGAACTATAAAAACGAAACAAAATAGGACTTGTGTTTTAACCAGATTTTGATTTAAATGAAAAGTCAAATGATGTCAATTCAAGAGATTTTTTTTACTAATCTCATGCCAAAGTGACAGTGCCTCTTCAAATGCTACTTTTTCTTTTTTTTATTCCATATTCCACATCTATATATTAAAATTATTTTCCATTTTTAACCAATCATTATCATTTATCACAATTTGTTCCATCTATCTGGAGGCGTATTTTCAATTAAAATTAAATTTTCAGTCTTAAATTAAGAAATGAGTTTTCCCATCCTCAACCATTACCAAGAATTACCAACACCCAGGATTATATTTGTACAAATTTTAGAAATAAAAAAAAAATAATACCTCGGCAGCCGTAATAATCTATGGGGGGTCAAACAGATACATTAGATAAGGGCCCACAGCCGATTTTTACTTTTATCTCAAAGGTTATTTTACACTGTAACCACGATATTATTTAATCTTGTGTAGTTAGCACTAATTTCTTTCACGTTCATTTAATATCAAATCTATGTTTAAAAATTGCTAAAAATCATTTAAAATCACCAAAAATCATCTAATTTGTACTTGTGTCCAGTTTAAAGCTAACCATTCAATTTTGATAATGAGAGTCCAATTTACAAGCGTTTAATTTCTCGATCACTGTTAAAAAATATACAACCCAATTGATTATTGATGTATAATGATTAATTTTTGAACAGTGGTCAGGAAATTAAATACTTGTAAATTGAACACTCATTTTAAACTGGACACATATACAAATTGAATAATTTTTAGTAATTTTAAATGATTTTTACGAATTTTTTTAAACATAGATTTGATATTAAATGAATGTGAAAGAAATAATTGCTAGATACACAAGATCAAATAATATCCAGGTTACAGTGTTAAGACAAATGGTTACAAGGGCAACAATGCAAAGGTATAGTAACCATTCAATAAATAACATACAGATATTTTATAAATGTATCTTTAATATAATTGATAATTTCTTGTCATTCTTTAAATCAATCTAATTAACATATAGATCTATATTTCGTTTTGTTTTTTATACTTTCGATGGCCTACACTACATGTAGATCTAACAAGTTATAGCGGGAGTTCACGTTCTATGACGTCAGGTACCAAGCAAGCGACATTTGACCCGATTACATCAGTCATTCGATTAACCAATTAGCGACCGCCATGTATTTTTTATCTACTTTTGTTTTGTTTTGATTTCTATTGCTGCTAATGTCTACCCACAGTTCCACGCAAAAAAAGTCAAACGCTCGATTCGACAGACCATTTGATTGGCTGACCCCTCATTTCAAGCAGAACACGAGTTAAATAACAACGCTTCAAGATCCTAGTGTAGTAAAGATAAGTAAAATCAAAATTTTGAACTATAAAAACGAAACGAAATAGGATCTGTGTTTTAACCAGATTGTCTTTAAATATACAGTAGAATCTGTACGAGCAGCCACTCCTATTCAGCGACATCTCCTTGTAAGCGGTCACGATAAATCCCCCCCGTAGAAATTCTGTTGTTTCATCTCTTTATTCAACGGTCACTCCTCTAACGCGGCCAGCGGTCACTATTTTACTAATAAATTCAACAAAACATCGCCCATTCAACGGCCATTGTTGAATGATAACCATCTTGTCGTTCTTTGTAACACCCCCGCTAATCCCGTGAGTAGTAGTTAATTAACTGGACCCCCACTGATCAGGTAAAAAGAAATGTAAAAATAACAATCAACCCAGGATTATCTGTTAATTAATCTTTTGTTTTATTAAACGACTAACCTGATCATTGTTTTCACGCATAACGACACATTATTTGATACTGATTGAATAAAATAGAAGTACCGAGTTTTGTCACGATCATCTAGTATCTCTCTTAGCGCCTCCTATAATATTACATACAGAGTTACACCCCCTGTAAATAGGTGATAAAATTAGCGATGTTTTTTTGTTCATGTGCTTTTTTGATAAAATAAAATTAATTCATCGATTTTCTTCACAAAAATGGATAAATATTATCGAATGCATCACAATGGTAGGCAGTAGTATCGAAGGTTGGTACAAAATGACAAGTTTACAGAAGTTATGTCCGAGATTTGAGTAAAGAATTTGCGTTCGGCGCAAGATTCAGCGACGGTCAAATTTACCGCTTCCAATGCATTCAAGCGTAATATTTAATCTATGTCAGCACAAAAAGCACCGAGATTTTAGTAAGAGGCCACTCCCGTTAAGTTATGTCCGAGATTTGAGTAAAGAATTTTCGTTCGGCGCAAGATTCATCGACGGCCAAATTTACCGCTTCTAATGCATCCAAGCGTTATATTTAATTTATGTCCGCACAAAAGCAACGAGATTTTATTAAGAGGCCACTCCCGTTAAGCGGTCAGTTGTGAAAATTCCCTTGGGTGGCTGCTTAATGCAGATTCTACTGTACATAAGATCTAATGCAAACATTGAATAACACTTGAAAGTCTTCAGGCTAAGGAAATTTAAAGGTTTTTTTAACCATTCTATTACATTCAGCTATATTTTCTTAATATTCATGGCAATCATGGCTTATTTCTTCAAGATTGATCATTCTTTAAATATAGAAACAGCTTTAATACAAAAATTCAATAATACATGAAAGTCTTCAGCTACACATGTTTTATCGAAAAAAATTTTCCTTCTTTAAATATAGAAAAGATCTAATGCAAAAAATTCCTTAATAAATGAAAGTTTTCAGGCAACAAGGCCAAGGAAATTTTAATGTTTTCTTTTTTTTTATATATATAAACATGCAATGGTTTTGTAGGATTGACTAGATTGATACACAGACAACAAGATTATATACGGAACAACTATAGAATCTATACACACCCCATCCAACGGCTGATTCAAATATAAAAACAAACGATTTATAAATAAAAATACAATAAATGAAACGAAATGAAATGGGGTTTAACGTCCTACTCAGACTGGGCTAATGAAGATCGGCATACGCCATACAGTGTGCTATGAGGGAAATATTGCCCCGGGCAGCGGCACTATGGCCTACTCTTATATCAAATTCCAACTGCCAAGGGATCTTTTACGTGCACATCAATGTATACACAGGAACTCGTTTTTTCTTCCCATCCGAATTTTATTTCAATAATTCGATTGTGCGTAGGGGTCTTTAGCAGTGGGAGGAAACCGGAGGACCCGGAGAAAACCCATGAGGTTGGACAGGCGAACCTACTCCTTGTCACATACAACCGGGGAATCGAAACCATGCCAGTTGACTCAATGACAGACCTTCTGATACAGCGCGCACGAGCTAACCATTTGGCCATCCAACCCCCCATAGCATTCTATGGATAACTGTACATTTTGAATTTTTCCTGACTACAATCAGAATGGCAACCTGGAAATAACATTCTATAGATAATTCGGCACTTAAAAACAATTGTATTTTTCATACAATTGTGAATACATCCATTTATATATTTATAGCAGAAACTAAAAACCTAATCGCAGATGTTTTTAAGCAAAAATAAGTTTTGTAACATGCAGCTTTGACGAATCTTTTTAATTTATCACTAACTGAAAATATTTCTACGAAAAACACTAGCAAATAATTTTCTAACCAACACCAAAAACACACGAAAAATTTAAAAGTAAAAATAAAAAAAAGAAGCTAGCTTTGAATATAAAATATGTTTTGTGTTATTAGAGATTGAGGGTATTATCGAATGGGGAAAAGGGATATATTAAAAGGGATATAAAATCCAATTATAAAATATTAATGAATAATAAAAATAAAATAAAGTCGACTAACCTGTCCGAATCCATACATATTATTGTGAGTCTGTGAAGGATTTACTTTAGATAACAAGAAACGGGCCTGAAAAATAAATGACATTATAGTAAAAGCGAAATGGGGCTTAACGTCCACTCGTGACACGTACAAGGTCATTTCTGGACTAACATATGGTTTAATTTTATTTACATAATTCGCTTGTATGTATGGGGCTTTAGCAGTGGGAGGAAACCGGGGCACCCAGAGAAAACCCATGAGGTTGGACAAGCGATCCTACTCCTTGTCACATACAACCAGGGAATCGAAACCACGCTCGTTGACTCAATGACAGACCTTATGATACAACACATGCATGCTAACCGTTCGAGGTATGGTGGGTACACGTCTGTAGTATTACAGCTGACAAACTGCACTAAAGACAACCTTACTCCTTGTCACGCATAAGTGGGAATCGAAACCATGCCACTTAATTCCATAACACACATTGAACAAATCAACCACCCAATCCCCATTAGAGAGAGAGAAATGGGGTTTAACGTCCACTCAAGACAAACCAGGTCATTTGGGGACTAACACATGGTTCAATTCTATTTCAATCATTCGCTTGGGCTTGGGGGTCTTTAGAAGTGGGAGGAAACCAGAGGACCCGAAGAAAACCCATGAGGTTAGACAGGCGACCCTACTCCTTGTCACGTACAACCGGGGAATCGAAACCCAATCCCCGTTAGAGTACAATGTAGTGTGAAAATCAAGAAAATGAATTATAAATTATAAATTAATTGTATTGTTACCCACCTGTGATCCATCCCATTCTGTGACGATATATCTTGGCATTGGAAACCGGGTTTGTAAAATCTCCTGAGCATCATCTACAGGGGCTTGTAATAATTGTTTAAAATTTTCATATTCCGGTAAATCGTGATATCCTTGTTTTCTCCATTCATATATCGTCTGAAACAGGTACAATAACACCATGATATAATTACACACTTATATTATTGAAGGATCTTTCCCCGAAAAACGGAGCCAATTTAAATTGTTTCTCCTACTAACATCACTTACTAAAATCACCCTGATGGAGAGAGAGAGAGAGAGAGAGAGAGAGAGATAGAAATATGGGGTTTAACTTCCACTCGACACGTACAAGGTCATTTCTGGACTAACATATGGTTCAATTTTATTTCAATAATTCGCTTGGGCGTAGGGGTCTTTAGCAGTGGGAGGAAACCGGAGGACCCGGAGAAAAACCATGAGGTTGGACAGGCGACCATCCTAGTCACGTACAAATAGGGAATTGAAACCACGCCACTTGACTCAATGACAGACCTTATGCGCATGCGTTAACCAATCGGCCATCCATCGCCCCACCCAATGGTTGCACATCAGTATTATTCAGTAATGATGTAGAAATGTAAAATCAGATAAATGTTTGAAATCGATAGGCATATTTCATAGAAGAACAGTAGAATCAGATAACTATCTGAGAAAAGATAATTAACGTACCTCTCCGTGGTATATAACTATTTGGAAGAATGTGTCCATTAATAAAATACGATCAGCTGTTATACTACTAGAATCTAATAACACAGGCTGAAATATAAACAATAATAACATTAAGGCTACACAAAATAAATGTCTTGTTTCTCGGGCAACTGACAGCTGAAACTGTAGGGGGGGAGGGCGGTTTATTTTTTTTTTTATCTCATTTCTGGCTAGAGGATGGTGCAAAATAAAATTTGCCTATTGTTGAAAATTGTTGGGGCGGGAGGGCGGCCTTGTATTTTTTTTTTTTTTTAATGAGAAAGTCATTACTTGTCTACGGTTTTGCTTTCAGTTATATATTATACATACTTAGAACATAAATCCAAAAATCAAGTCTACTCAAACACTGAACACTGACTGAAAGGAAAATAATTTTCCATATTTAATTCACGTAATGTAGCTTACTAATGGTAATGGTGACAACCATAATTGAAATTGGTTTAAAATAAAATTCCGTACGACTATTAATAGCCGTCCATAATAACGACAATATTTTAAAGAGTAAGCCTCTGTCAGCATGTGTATCAAAAATAATCATCACGGTAAACCTCACTTCGATCTAAATCTAGTATCGCTGGTTTATAATGATTGACCTAATTCCAACCAATGACTGTTTCTCAGGATATTTGGTGTGTTTCTCAGCATATTCGGTGTTCTATCTGGGGTTTATATCGAATGACTATTTAAATTTAACTAACAACTCGTCAGTAAAACCATCAAATGTGTAATCCAATTATTATTTTCCGGATTATCAAAACTACCGTTAAATGTGCTAATGACCCAGATTCTGACTAAGGTATGGTGACTATCATCGTATCGTATTCGTAGCCACAAGTTATAATAATTAACCTGTTCTACGATTCATTGTTTTATAAGTAGGATTTTTTCAAACATGGACCGACTGAAGCCGGCAATAATGAGCCGATTAAGATCGAATGATTGAAATACATTGCATTGTTGTCAATGACTTTCGGTGTTTAACACGAATCAAATTCTAGTTTACAAGGGGAGGCAATTAAAATCACGTGATACAAAAATGGAGGTTCTTTCGATATCAATAAAAAAGACCCGTAAATGAGCGTTTACATCTGAATCAGTTTAATACATTTGAATGGATATTCACGAATGGGGCATGTAGATACATGCGGCATATTTTTTTTATGACTTGCTTATCGATGTTCGGGCGGGCGTTACATATTTTTTATTTTTCATCAAGACTAATAAATAGGCCGCACGCGCAACCAATTTTGCGTGCGGGCGGTGCCCGAGAAACAACTTATTTTATTTGTGTTGCCTAATATAAATAAAACAGGCTAAAATATACACAATGATAACATTAATAAATAAAAGCCATTAACTTCCACCCATTTGATATTTTCCAAACAAATGTAGCACAAAGAACATTGTACATAAAGATAGCTAAGAGTCCATACATTGTAACCCAGGTATCATTTAATCTTGTGTATCTTAGCACTAATTTCTTTCACATTGTTTAATATCAAATCTTTGTTTAAAAACAATGATTTGATATTAAACGAATGTGAAAGAAATTAGTACGAATTACACAAGATTAAATGATAACCGAATTACAGGGATACCAGACTTTCACTTCAAAATCTTTTGACATATTTTGTTTTCCTTGGAATAGCAAGATATCTCATTGTAAAGAATGTGACAAGAACTTAGAGTAAAGAAAGAACAATAACAATATACCGTACCTCTGGTGGACCGTGGAAGGAATAAGCATATAATATAGGTTGTATCATTATTAACGACTGTGTTAAATCTTCTGTATTCAACATATGTCTACAAAATACATTAATATCAGATTAATTTACATTTGGAAAGGGGGTTTAAATATAACCTACTCCTCTTGGGGCCAAGTGTCTTCCTTTTGAGAATTAAATACATCGCATTGAGAGCAAGCTTTTTACTATGATTTAATATGGAGATATATGAAAATATATCATAGCCATAATTTTTTATGAAATGAGTGCTTTACCTACCTGTAATAAGAGGTTTCATCAGGACTGTTATTAAAAACTTGTAAAAACTGGGACCGTCGTAGATGAAACATAAATTGTGGATATAAAGAAAAATTTTCAGAAAATCGGAAAGAGTTGGGATCATCTTTGTTATACTCTCCAAACTTTTGGCACTGCAAGAAAAATCAAGATAATTATAGCTAACCAAATCAAATCAAATATTTTTTCGAAAGAATTTGAAAAGAAATATGGGGAATAATAATAATATATTAGAAAATAAGAACATTAAAACATTCTCGCCATTTGCATGAGTAACGATAACGTTAACATCTTTCCATAATTTAATCTTTTGAATTAACATTGCACATCTGAAGTTGTATTTATAATATGCTAAATATTTAATATCTGAAGTTCTATGGATAATACTTGGAACAAGGAAGGTAATAGGCTGGCCACCCCCCTGATAAACAGCAGATCTGAAGTCGTACAGATTATATTCGGCACATGTAATGAATGTAATAGGCTGGTCAACCACTGGTACAAAACATGAATAAAATTACGTACCAATCTAATCAACATTCTATCTAACCAGCGTAATACATCGGGACCATCGTCTGTTTCTGCTCGATACACGGCTATTCTAGCCATTAATACCGCTGCGGACTCCTGATCGAAACCAGCTGATATGTGTTGAATACTTGTACTAGCATCTGCCCAACTATAATATAATAATAATAATGGGGTTTAACAGCAAAATGTGGGAAGTGAAGCGACATTTCCATAACTCTTCATTGAATAATAATCATCTTATATACCTTCAAACAATACAAATGAAATGAAATATGGTTTGTCTTGTCCATTTGTTTTTTTTTGTCGTCTAATAAAGTTGATCGACACATACTATCGGAAACATTCCATGCTAACTATTCTCATAAATTGCTGAGAAAAGAAATAGGTGGATATGTCCATATACTCTATCCATTTGAAACAACTATGTTGTAAATCTTTAACAGTGGGAGGAAACCAAATAATATAGGGAGGGGTGACGTGACATGTCTCTAAAGAACTCTATGTGTTCCCGATTGTGAAGTTAACTTACTTTCTAGCTATTGTTGTTACTCTAACCCTTCTCTGTCCACTAGAATGTTGATATTGTGTAATAAACTGTATATAACCTCGTCCTCCCTGGGGTATAGGGGCATTGTGCTATAATAAAATAATAATATTTACATCATTCTGGGAATGTCATAAAATAGAATAGTATTTTGTTTATTTAAATATATTTAATCATTATATTGTTTATCACTTGATATTTTGTCATATATGAAATAGTGGTCTGAACCCATCTTAAGTTCAATGTGTTCATATTAAACTTACAGTGTCACATTAAGAAATAGTGGTCTGAACCCTTCTTAAGTTCATTGGGTTCATATTAAACTTACAGGGGTGCTTGATTGTCAGTCCAGAACGTCCCGAATTGACAGAATTGCAATCAAGTGATACAGAATTCAGTCTTGTCACAGTTCTGCAAGTCCCAACAGCTGAGGTGGTGTGAGTAGAATCGTGACGTATTTTAAGTAACAAATATGTTTCAGCTGCTATGATTGGTTGAGATATTTTTTATGCAGTCGGCACATGTGTTGTACTCTGAAATTCTGCTTTTCACTCGATTGACACTTTTTTCGGAATTGAGAGAATTTAATTTCGGAACGTTCAATCGAGTATCCCCACAGTTTCATATCAAGAAATAGTGGTCTGAACCCTTCTGAACTTCAACGTGTCCATATTAAACTTACAGTGTCACATTAAGAAATAGTGGTCTGAATCCTTCTTAAGTTCATTGTGTTAACATGAGTTAATTCCCTTTATAGATAAATAAAAAGCTTTGAAACCTACCTGATTTACAACTTCAAAGAAGACACCAAGAGTTGTATTAGGATAAAGACTACATAATTTCCATTGACATGTACCACCGAGCCCTATCTCTGTATCTGATACTGATGGACCTTTAACACCTAGCGATACTAACGGTCCCATAGCACCCGATACTTTAACTTCTCTAGAACACTGAAAATAACAAAAAACACAATCATAGCAAAACACAATTTTTATGGGAAACAATCACAGGTTTTATTCTAAAAGCACAACGTTTCGACAAGTATCCTCTTATCATTATCACATAAAATGCTACTTAAAGATTATTATTACAATCATAGCAGTTTCATTCTAAACATTTTCAGTAATTTCAGCTGCTGACAGTGACGGTCGGCAAAATTTTGTCTGGATCATCTAGAAACACATCATATTTTATTGTGATTTAAAATAGTGATTTATTTTGACACATTTGACGTTTGTTCCTGTGTGCATATTGACATGCCCATAAAAGAGCCAATGACAGTTGGGATTAAAAATAACAAAATGAAGTAGCATCGGTGTCCGGGCAAACTTTTCCTCATATTCATTAGCCCGGTAGGTTAAACCTCATTTTATTTCATATTAGGCTGTTCTCATTGCATATTACACAGATATTAGCTACATTTGTATAGCAATGTTTTCAATAAAGATCTTTTTGTTAGAAAATCAAACTTACCTTAACTTCAACAGACGCCCCAAATGCCATTTTAAATTCGCTTTTACTATCCTTAGAGAATACTCGTTGAAATGTCTGTTTAAATAAAGATGTATTAAAAGAATCTCCCATCACCATATGACCACTAAAATACAAAATTAAAAACACATTTATAATTAATTCATTCAAAATAAAACACATTTATAATATTTCAATCAAAAGGCTGAACAGTTTAAATTTCTTTCATGCAGATTTCAATAAAAATCTTAAAAATACATTATGCAAGAGATAAATCTACCTATTGCAGGTCCTTCTTTAGGCATGAAATGTTATCTAAATTATTAATTAGACATTAATTAACTTATCCAGACCATAATCGACCCTTGATGGCATCGCTAGCCTGCGATGATTGTTGGATTACGTTCCGATTTGCTGTTCGACTTACATTCATAATTAAATCAAAAAATGGATAATCAAGACTATATTTTTTATCCTACCAACTTTAGTAATGTTGATCGAGGCTAGGCCGAAAATTCAATCACTAAAATCTTGGTTCACAGTGGATCAATTTGAATGAAATTTACAATTCTTTGCCCGAATATTTTATCTGACAGTATTGTTGATAATAGTATCTGTATTGTATCTGAGAAAAATAGTAAAAATATGTAACAATATCCTTACCCGGTATATTTAGGACAAAATTTCATTTCATGTAAACCAGTTTGATCCAAGGCACAAGAATATAAGTCAATCACATGACCATTATTAGCCGCACGATTGGCTAAACTTTCATAATGCTGAAACAAAAAAATTAAATCCAGATCAACAGAAAACAGACAATACATAATGGCAATTTGATGAAATGAGGCAAATGCTGTGTCAATAACAAAAGAAGGTAATGAATAGTTTTTAAAAACATTAGAATTGTTCACAAATATATAAAAGTAGTTACGAACATATTGATGAATAACTTAAAAAAACGTCAGAAATTGGGTTTAAAATCCACTTGACACAAACTAGGTCATTTTGGGATTAAAAAAAAGGGGGTTCAATTATGTTTCAATTATTCGCTTGTGCGTAGTAGTGCTGGGTATTGCCACTGCAGTCTTGCGATTCAGGTGATACGAAAGCGATTCGTATCCCGATTTATAACCAGGTCAATATTTACCAAGAAAACAACAGGATAAATAATTAATGGATATTTTAATCTGTGCCGTTGTCGTAGAAATATAAATTGTTTTATATCAAGATATTAATGTGGATCAAAATAAGAACCAAATCAATTAAAGAGTGTTTGTGTATACCTATGGATAATGTGTGACGTGGATAATTAAGAGTGACAGGTTACTTACTGAAGCAACATAAAAAAAAAAAAAACATAAAAGAGAAAAACGATACATCGATTTATTGTCTCCCGATTCAATACACGATCGTGAGAATTTGAATAGTGATACATTCATTTAACGATATACCGTGCCAGCAGTGGGATGAAACTGGATGAATAATTTAGCAGTGGGATGAAACTGGATGAATAATCTAGCAGTGGGATGAAACTGGATGAATAATTTAATAATAAACAGATAAATACAAACCTTCATAGCTTTTTTCATATATTTACAATTATCTTTTTCTATATCGTGATGGGATCTGATTGGATGTTTAAGTTCGTCCCCGACAACCATACCGGGACCTTGTGTACATGAGCCACCAGTAAATAACATAACACGAGCCCCAGTATTGGGAAATGTACACTGAAAAAAGATATAAAAGAATAAATTTCAAATCTTATTCAAAATAACAGAACAATAAGACGAAATACTTCAAATATTTATCCCATTTATCCCATTTTCCCCTAAAAAACGATATTGAAATGAAATGAAATGAAATGGGGGTTTAACGTCCTACTGTTCTGCTCCTAACCTGGGCTACTGAAGACGGCCATACGCCATACAGTGTGCTATGAGGGAAATTTTGCCCGGGCAGCGGCGTTCGGCCTACTCTTATATCGAATTCCAACTGCCAAGGGATCTCTTACGTGCACGCCAATGTGTACACGGGACCTCAGTTTTTCGTCCCATCTGAAAGACTAGACAGCTGTCCTTGTCAGGCCCTCCATCCTGCACCACTGACAAGGGGAAACCACGCTGGAAAATCCTGATAAAATTTCTCGGTCAACATCAGGAGCGAACCCAAGACCTCCAGGCCAGCAGGCCGGTGTCTTTACTTATTAAGCCATAATTACTATGCAACATTTCGACGAGGACAGTCTTGTCTTTATCAAGCAAATGAGAAATATGTGAATGGTCGACAAATACATACAGAACAATCAACAAAAATAACAGAGAGAGAGAGAGAGAGAGAGAGAGAGAGAAAAATGGGGTTTAACGTCCACTCCACACAAACTAGGTCATTTCGGGACTAACACATGGTACAATTTTACTTCAATAATTCGCTTGCGCGTAGGGGTCTTTTTAGCAATGGGAGAAAACCGGAGGACCCGGAGAAAACCCACGAGGTTGGACAAACGACCCTACTCCTTGTCACATACAACCGGGGAATCAAAACCCCGTCAGTTGACTCAATGACAGACTTTATGATACAGCACACATGTGCTAACCATTCGGCCATCCAACCCCCCAGACATAAATAAATGTTATAAAAAACTTTGCTTTAATAATTTTATACCTCTAGTAACCCAACAGCTATAGACAGAGCTACTCCGGTAGATCGTAATGGTCGTTTACCCTGGGCGACAGGCCATGGATCTCGCTGTAATTCACCTAATAAATCAGTTAAACTCATATCACACTTGTGCACTGGCTGTAAAAATCTGAAAGATACAAACATTCGTGAGTGAGGGATAACGCCTTCATCCACCACGAGTGATATCAGAGAAAAAAATACAAACATTTCGATCGTTCTTTAGGAAGGGGAGGGTTAACTTCTGCTTCCATGAGAGTAATATCACAGAAAAATACAAACAGAAATTGTTAATTAGGAAGAGAACCATACTCAGTATCATCAGTGGTCTGATTCCGTTCTACACCACTATAGCCAGGGTTCATTCATGGGGTATTCACATATTCAAATTATCTGCCCCTTGATGGTAGCACGATTCTACAAAACATTTTCTGTTAGTTCCCGCTCAAGGATTATATTTGCCACGCATATTGATTTACCTGTTAGAAGGTAGTTGTTGTGCTTGTGGATTCTGGGGTCCACCACGTTTCTGTTGAGGTTGCGAAGCGCCTTTTCCAATACCCAACATATCCTGAAATTATTTAGTCGACAAACATCAATATTTAAACTTAGAGAAGGAGCAAACATAAATGTCAGCCCCAATACTAGTAATGAAAACTTGTGTCTTATTTCAGTTCATAAGGGCTCAGAACTTGGTTATGGTTTGAAAATGATAGAGCCATGTGAATCTTTCTCATCAGTGGGTGGAGAGCCAAGGACTAAAAATATCAATTATTCATTTGTCCTGTTGTTTTCTTGGTAAATATTGACCTGGTTATAAAAGGTTATACGAATCACACCAGAATCGCAATACGTATCTATCGTATCGTGACACAATATATCTCTTGCAAAACGTCTTACTTTTCTGCGTCAACCGAGCTAATGACGTTTGGCTCTTGCGTCACAATTTTGTCCACCATGCTAGCAACAGTGACAGTTAATATACTCTACGAACCCAAGAAAAAATATGTAAATATTTACCTGAATTTGTTTAGCATTTAAATCTTTCGTTCCACGGAAAACGTAACTTTTAGAAACGCCTTCGCTTCCTAGTTCATGAACTTGTACCATTTTACCGTAGGTTATCAAACCAATCAGAGCATTAGGAGGTAATAAACTCAGCGACATCTGTAGTGATTCCTAAAAAAACAAATTAATTATTAATGACTATTGACCGTAATCAATCTGGTTAAAACACAGATCCTATTTCGTTTTGTTTTTATAGTTTTAAAATTTAATTTTACTTGTCTTTACTACACTAGGATCTGGAAGAGTTGTTATATAAGCCGCATTCTGGATGTATGAGTGATCAGTCCATGAAATGGTCTCTTACGGCGAGTTTTTGGGATGAGGTGCACAGAACTTTGGGAAAACCACTAGAAACATCAATGCTGATTGATTAATCAATGTCTGATGTCATATGGGTCAAATGTCGCGCGTATGACCTCTGAGGCTACCTTCCACTACAACCTGTCAGAATCTCATGTAGTGTAGGTCATTGAAAGCATAAAAAAATGAAAATGAAATATAGATCTGTATTTTAATCAGACTGTTAATACTCAAAATCTTACGAACATCATAATTACACATTTCTATAATACTATCACTTTAAAATAAGGGGATCACGTAGCTAAGTGGGTAAGACGCTGGCTCGCTAGCCTGGAGGTTGGGTGTTCGATCTCTGCATTGGCCGAGAAAGTTCAACCAGATTTTCCGGCGTGGTTCCCCCTTGTCAGTGATGCAGGACGGAGGGCCTGACAAGGACAGCTGTCTAGTCCTTCAGATGATACGAAAAACTGAGGTCCCGTGTATACATTGGAATGCCCGTAAAAGATCCTTTGGCAGTTGGAATTCGATATAAGAGTAGGCGATAGTGCCGCTGCCCGGGCAAAATTTCCCTCATAGCACACTGTATGAAGTATGCCTGTCTTTATTAGCCCAGTATAGGAGCAGAACAGTAGGATGTTAAACCCCATTTCATTTCATTTCACTTTAAAATTATCAATAACTATTGACCTTAATACTGAAAGGTCAATCATTAAAATTTTTTACACAAGACTTAATTTTTTGTGAGGACATGTTTGCAATATTGAAAATATATGTAAGAACACAAATTTTAATAATAATGCATGAAAACCATCCTTATTTGTTTTTGTGTGCAACTGAACTGTTTAGCCTTATTTTCTTTTAACAGGAACTGTTTAAGGTAGACAATAAATCAAGGAAATAAGCCAGTATGATTTGTTTTGTATATTGTTATTTTAGAAATGAAACATGAATTAACGTCCTACTTGACTGCACCAACTGGGTTACATGAAGACATGTATAAACCATACAGTTCTTTAACATGCACCCCAATATGTACACAGGATATCGGTCTTCTGCCACATTGCAACTGTTAAGGGATCTTTTACCTCCACTCCAATGTGTACACAGGACATCATTGTTTTTTTTTGTCCCATCCTAATGACTAGACACTGTCCTTGCCAGGCCTGTTATTCTAGATAAAGAGGGTTTATGTTTGATAGTATGACATACTTTTAAAGCCTGTAGATCTTCTTCTTCCATACATGTGTCGAGAACTATTAAAAATATCGGCGGGGAACATGAAGCTCTCTGAAAAATAAAATATCAAAAGTTAAATGGGCATTATGGAAGATTAGTTAAATAGTTAAAAACTAGATAATGTAAAGGGAATATGCTGAAAATTTCAGTCAAAATGCTCCACTCTGAACTGAGATATTAGCCTAGTGATTGAATTTTAGGCCTAGCCTCGATCATCATTACTCAAGTTGGTACGATAAAAAACCTAGCCTCGATTATCCATTTTTGGATTTAATCATAAATGGAACACAATTACTACTTTAATTAAAGCAATGTTTTTCATTTAGAGAACCTTTATTGAAATGTCACTTTAATTAAAATAGTAATTGTGTTCCATATTATGTTTTTGTGTTTATTACTTGTGTAAATTGTTAAAGGACAATATTGGTGTCATACAAAAACTTTTGGTCTTCGAAGGAATTATTAGTGAGCATAAATTCGCCTATGTATCTGTTATCACTTGTCACTTCAGTCACTTATATAGAGGGATAACTCGTGTTTTCCTTTTGCGTTCGTCACTTCCGACTGTTGAAAGATTGATTACGCACCTATCGTAGCAATGATCTCTGTGATAAAATAATATTTGGAACGTGTTTAACCAGTTCTATCACATATTTGATAGTGACTGGCACCAATATTGTCCTTTAAATGCTGCTAACAGAAGAATATAGATACTTACTGTAATTGTGTATTCTAATGTGGAGAACTGTGGTATAATTTCAGCAGGTTGATGTTGTTCTGAAATCGCTGCATATTGGGGTGGAAACTGAAATAAAATCAAACAATAAATTATTATTAATTCAAATTTACATAAAAAAAATAAAAGAAGGGGGTGAGATGGGTGGTAGCCAATGATAATGGCCTACTGCAGCGGCAGTGGAAGTGTGTCATTTGATACAGGAGAGGGATACAGCCTCCCCCACTGAAGGCTTTTTGTACGGACAGATTTAAATGTATAAATAAGTGCCTTGCATTTGTATCCCTCTCATGGAACAATAATATCCAATACCTGATGGTAACAATAGCCATTTGATATACTCACAGGGTTTCTTTGGTAGCAGAAGTTGCAAGCCCACATTCTAGCTCTATAATCAATTTGACTGAAATGAAAAGAAAAAAAAAAGGTTGATATTAAAAAACTTTGTTCTCTATTCATCCATTTTTCATGAATTGGAATTTTAAAATAATTGGATCTTTGGAACATTGAATGTGTCTCCATTGTTTGGTTTTAGCACATTTTCTTGACAGCAAAAGGTTCAGGCAAAAGTTTCAAAAACCAAGAGTAACCCTTTGACAAAATGGTACAAGTTTCTTTAATCAAACACACTCCTGTGACAATTTTTTGGGACCAGAATCTGATCGCTAACCACTACCCATTTTGTTCTTGTTCTTCTTTTGGGTGGGAGGGACGCTCTTTGAAAAAGCCTTAGGCTCTGTCAATTCACGTCCAAAAGACATGAAAATTGTCATACTTCTTCTTTGAACAATTCTACATCGATTTGGTGAATTAGATTTTTGAATTTCATCCAACAACATGGACCCGAGTCAGTTCCTGGTCCATAGAACAATCGTACTTGTTTAATTTAATAAATTGTTTCTTACCAGAAAGGATTTAAGATGGCTCTACATGTTGGTCTAGTACATAAAATAGGATCATATTGAATGGGTGGTAAATCCGGGCGTTCTTTTAATGGTGTGTACAAACAGCCAAGAGGTACTACCATTCTTGTCGCTTCAAGTCGACTCGATGGCCAGACATTCCAACTGAATCGGACTCCATCTCTGTCTTCATTTTGTTGTATAAATTCTTGATACGTCGCCATAGCAGGGCTGGAAAATAGGATTTCATATGAAATAAGCATAAGAAATTTATGGAATGATTATAAAACAATGTGCTAGGTTTCAAATACCATACATACAAGTGTTGAAGTATAAAGCATGGTTTGGAACTGCATAATAGATACATGTAATGCTCCAAATTAAAAATATCACTGGATGATTTGGTACCAATCTGATTAAAACACAGATCCCATTTCGTTTCGTTTTTATAGTTCAAAATTAATATCACTGAATGAAAGATTTGATACTGTATATAATTTAACATATGATTTAAAAGTTTCCTTTGGGGGACTATAATTTTGATTTGAAGAAAATATAAATTCCATAACAGCACATTTTCCGGAACTTTTAAAAATAATATTATGACGATTTGTGGTCAGTAGAGTAGGTGACTGCGTCATGCCATGAACATTAAAATCTACGTTCACCTCGGCCAATTATAACCAGTAGTACAATCCTTTACCACCATGGCTGATAATCAAATATCCACTTTACTCTAACAACAACTGATTATTTAGTTCAAATATATCATAAAAAGATAAAAAGTGTAGCATTCCATATCTACGGAAAGATGTCAGTTTGAGTTACTAAATTTCGGTCAGTCGGCTGTCATCATCCACGTTGCATTGTTGACGTCGGACTGTCATTTGTGGATTAGGATTTGGGGGGCAAATTTACATAAAGAGAAACCCAACACAATCGAAAATATATTCTTGGTTGTTGTAATTTTAAAATAATATTACCTTTGACGTTAATAACTTAACGTGGAAAAGATATGTCGACAATTATGACGATACAAAATCCACGACTTCTCTCTTTTTCAGAACGATGCCACGTATACATCCCACAATCCATCTAAACATTCATTTGGGGAATCCCTTTCCTGTTTCTAAAAATAGCTCAGACTAGTCCATATTGTACGGGGTAACATTAGACAGTAACATTAAACTATTAAAGGTTTGAAATGCGACATTTACCGCAATACGAAGTACAGCAAAAGATTGGCTCCACATTGTTGCTTATTTTTGAAGAGTATGATATACTGTATGAAATTAATTAATTTCCAATGGATTATTATTTTTTTTTTGGTAAAGTTTCCCTTACGAGAAATAAAATGGACGAAACTGCTCTTTCTTGCGGAGGAAAGAAAGGCCGAAATAGGCTACTCTCAAAACAAAATTTAAAAATTCTATATTACTTACTAAAACGTTTGATAAAATCGAAATTTATTGCATATAATATGCAATGCTGATAAAAAACATTAATTTTGCGTTGGGTGATTTATACAAAAAGTGGGATTAGATGTAAATCCTCGATATATATAATAGAAATTATGTTTGAGCAGTTTGGATCAGTAGCTATAACAATGGCACCGAAAGTTTATTTCAAAACCATTTTAGTATTTCTAAATGTAATATTGACGTTGTCGTCTGTTGTTGCAACTTCTACTGATATTGATAGATATCTTTTTAACGACTGCCAGAAATCTAAATGTAATTCCATGTCATTTTCATTCACAATTTTTGATTGTTTTTACAGAATAACTACCGGGTTTTTTTACTTTCATTTTCACTGTGTGGCGTCTCCTGCCCATGACCCTTGTTTGCGGCTTAAAGTCTGACACAGTTCTTATGTATACGCTGAACAAGCTGGTCTATAATATCTCCCTAACAAGTGTACCCCTAAGGCCTTTCTTTGAGCAAGTTTTGTAGTCAATTGACTACAAAAAAAGTTACAGGCCTATAGCTCCCTTAATTTCCAATAACACTGACTGTACTGTACATAGCTTAACATATAATAAACCAATTCCCATTGAAATAAAGGTGAAACCTTACCGTATAATTATATGATTTGATTGAACGAGCTAAATCGCCAATATTTGTGACCTAGAAATTGACACAAGTGGGTCGCAAAGCATATAATAATGTAATATGAATGTATATAAACTGATTTACATTCAATCGTTTCCGCCAGAAGTCTCAATGGAGTAGCAATCTTTAGCGTCTGATTATTCCAGTCTACACCGATATTATTTATTGTGCATGCTCTCCAGATAAGAATATGACGTCACAGTTTGACATGATTTGTGGAATATGTCTAGCCTCGTTCTTCAAGTCCCTTGTTACAAATGGCGCTGAAACGCATTATGGTACACGATTCGTATAACAATGATAAAATTTTTAATTTTTCTTAAATATTGGATATCAGAAGCTCATCTTTTCGCGGTAAGATTACAACATCAATGTTGATTTAAATTGACAAATAATTCGTGTTTTCAATATTGAAGACTTTGGATGATATTGAGTTAGAGACTTAGATACTTTAAACCCAACTGCTATGTGAAATTTGTGTTCAGTTTAAAATGGCTGACAAAACAGAATCACGGGGTGTCATGTCACTCGAAAATACAGAAAAACTGTTTGGTAAAATAAGATTATGATTTCAGTGTTCCACTCTCCACTATTTGTCACATAATTACTTATTTTCATGCAAACTGATGATATGTGTTGAAAATTTTGCAATTGAACCTAATTTTACTTGCTCAAAGCCTCAAATAGTTTATCAATTGCAGCTGTAGATAAGAATTATCACGGATAAAAAAATTGCAGCTTGTGTACCCCCTAAGGAATTACATGTATGGGAAGAAAAATATACGGGTGCAGGCTGTTCGTAACCTGGCTGTTTTGTACCTAGTTCATTCATACACAAATTATCGTCAATTATAAATAATCCCTACTCACTCATCAATTATTGTCAATAATCCCAACTCACTCATCAGAATGGTTCACTAACAGTGTTTGTTTTATTCAAATATCAAATATCGTCAATATTCCCAACTTACTCATCGGCTGCAATATTGTAGCCGTGTCATGTCTTATCACTCAGTTGCAAAAGTAATCTAGGTGACGTGGAATCACGTGCGTGTTGTAATTGTAATTGTAATTCTAATCATTTAATTATGGGGGGGGGTTGGATGGCCGAATGGTAAGCGTGTGCACGCTGTATCATAAAATCTGTCATTGTGTCAAATGGCGCGGTTTCGATTCCCCGGTTGTACGTGACAAGGAGTAGGGTCGCCTGTCCAACCTCGTGGGTTTTCCCCGGGTCCTCCGATTTCCTCCCACTGCTAAAGACCCCTACGCGCAAGCGAATTATGTAAATAAAATTAAAACCATATGTTAGTCCCGAAATGACCTAGTTCGTGTCGAGTGGACGTTAAACCCCATTTCTCTCTCTCTCTCTCTCCATTTAATTATGCGGTAAGGTTTCACCTTTATTTCAATTTATTTAAGCATGATTTACATCCAATCTGATTAAAATACAAATCTATATTTCGTTTCGTTTTTTTTTTTTATACTTTCGATGGAATACAGTACATGAAGATCTGACCGGTAGTACTGGAAGGTCGCGTCAGGGGTCACACGAGTGGCTTATGACCCTATGACATCAGGCATTGATTAATCAATCAGGGTTGACATTTCTAGTGGTTTACCCACAACACCCAAGAACTCGCCGTAACAGTCTGTTTCATTGGCTAATCCCTCACTTCAACCAGAATGCAGGTTATATAACAACTCTTCCAGATCCTAGTGTTTTGAAGACAAGTAAAACGAAATTTTGAACTATAAAAACGAAATGAAATAGGATCTGTGTTTTAATCACATTGATTTTTATTTATTTTATTTTTCTTATTCTAATAGGTTTAATACTTGATGGAACAGAAGGTACAATAAAAGTGAAAGCAAATGATGATGGCAGTGCGAGGCTCTATACATTCTGTCATAAAGGACAGGAAAGAAATTATTTTAGACTTTGGATAAATCCGAAGGTAGGTCCATGTATTCAAGAAAACATTGATGGTTAAAAAAAACTGGGGATGGATTTGAGAGAAGATAATTCACACTTTTTGGCAAGAAATTATAGGCCCTCAAGGAAAAATGGTTAAATTAAGAAAATAAGGAGTGGAATTAATAGAAATGACCCACACTCTTTGGCGAAATAATTGTAGACCATACTATCATACTATTTAAGATGAAATTACAATTTATTATTATTAATTCAAGTTTTGTAGAATTTTCATGTTGATGTATATTGTCATCGTCCCTGTCTGTCCGTCCGTCCACACTTTGTTTTGGACACTCTACAGGTCACAATTCTTATCCAATTTTGATGAAACTTGAAATACCGGTATAGCTTTATCTCCAAATGATCTCGGGTCCTGTCGATATTCGATCATATCGGATCATAACTTCCTGGATTATGGCCCCTAGTTGTACAAAATATCACATTATTTTTCTAAGCTCATTCTCTGTCCATTTCTTGCATAATGTAAGTGTGTATCTTGCATGGCAACTGCTTTTATTTATTAGAGGCAGTAATAAGACAATATTTGTTTCATAATCAACACAAAACTGTGATAATAATAATTCGAGATCATTATCAAATCTATGATGTATTGCTGACTATATTGTCTGTCAGTTGAGAAAGCCATTTCCAGTTTTCTTATTTATATGAAGGAACCATATTGGCTCAGTGAGTCAGACGTTGGCTCACTACCCTGGAGGTCCCCGTGTTCGATATTTGAGTTGAACAAGAAAGTTTATCAGGATTTTCCAGTGGGGTTTCCCCTTGCTAGTGATGCAGGACGGAGGGCCTGGGAACGAACAATATATAGTCATTGTTTTGCACATAAAGAACAGCTGACAGTTGGAATTCGATAGGTCATAGGTCATAGTGCTGCTGTCCGGGCAAAATTTCCCCTCATATAGCACACTGTATGGTGTATGCCCGTCTTCACCATCTGCAGAACAGATGGATGTTAAACCTCTTATATGTACTTAGGCCCTATACAGAGCTGATTTCAGATGGGATTTGAAAGGAAGGTAAAGATACATCATGGGAGATTAGATAAAGACTTGACTGTTCTCACTATAATAGTTAAAAAAATAGATAACGTAAATAGAACCAAGATATTAGCTTTTGAATTTTAAGCCTAGCCTCGATCATCATTACTAAAGTCGGTACGATAAAAAAAAAAAAAGAGGTAGTCTCGATTATCCAATTATGGATTTAATCATCAATGAGCAATGAGCAGCAGTTCTGATTCCAAATCAAGGGAAAATCCGACACATAAGATGACATCGAGAGTTGATTTAATTATGAATGGAAGTCGAACAGCAATCGAAACCTAATTCAATAAACATCGCAGGCTAGCGATGCCATCGAGAGTTGATTATAGTCTGGATAAGTTAATTAATGTCTAATTAATAATTTAGATAACATATCAAGCCTAAAGAAAGACCTGCAATAGGCAAATTTAGCTCTTGGATAATGCATGTTTACCTATTTTTAGTTGACTATTATTAAAACCAGCCAAGATCAAGAAATCTCCATCTATATTGGTAAAAATTTGACGGAGGTAGAGAAGAAAGCCCAGGATGTATCAGTATGGTGGAAATATATGCTTTCATTAACACTACAAGTAAAGGAAGATGTATCTTTACAAGCTTTTAATTCTAGCTGTGTTGGAATATCATCGGTTAAACCTTACACTGTACAATTTAAAGTTAGAAGTGAGTTTATTAATTTATCTTCAGGGATGGAAATAATGGTTTTAGATGTACCTGACAAAATGTCAGGCACTAATGAAATAGTACCTGACATTTTCAACTTAGTGCCGGACATGTATTACTATTAATGATATCAATAACAAAGACAAATCAATGTCGACAAAATGACAGGCCGTAGAGGTGTAGTGTCTGACAAAGCCTGAATTTGTGCCTGACATTGTCTGTAACTGGTGTCTTATTTCCAAGCTTGTTTATTTTCGTGAGCCATCACAGGTTTCCATTTCACAGGGCTTGCTACAAACAAACCGGGGAGGGGGGGAGGTGTTGGATGGCCGAATGGTTAGCTATGCACTTTGTATCATAATGTCTGTGATTGAGTCAACTGGCATGGTTTCGATTCTCCAGGTGTACATGACAAGGAGTAAGGTCGCCAGTCCAACCTCGTGGGTTTTCTCCAGGTCCTCCGGTTTCCCCCCACTGCTAAAGACCACTAAGCGCAAGCAAATTATTGAAATATATGTTAGTCCCGAAATGACCTAGTTTGTGTCGAGTGGACGTTAAACCCCATTTCTCACTCTCTACAAATAAACCGATGGCAAATAGATGACTACCCGCTTAAATGTTGACATACATGAATTGAGTTCTTGTAATTACTTGCAAAGGATGATTTGAGTGAGTAACTATTTCTCGAAGGCCTTTTTTGGGGTGTGTTGAGTGCATTTTGGAAAAACTACAATAGTGAGGCTTTACATGAGCATATCGTAGCTAATTGCATCTTGTGGCAAATCCTGCCATCCAAAATTATGGCAGTAAAATTATTTGTACTACATCAAGTGTGATGGCAGCTATATCCAAAACTTAGTATATTGTTTTGTAGTGCGATTCTACACCGTTTCACATCTGGCATACACACAAAAACTAAATAATTCCATTAATAAATGAAAGCAGAATAAATACTTCTCAAAATTCTTGAAGTATACTTAGTGTTTTCAACTAAAATCATTGATTTAGGACTAAAAATGTCGGTCAACTAGCTGTTCAAAATTCTCGAAGTATACTCAGTGTTTTCGACTTAAATCGTTGATTTAGGACTTAATATGTCAGTCAACTAGCTTAATGTCTGTTCTCAAGCAGAGCTAACTGTAAACAAGCAGCCTCAGTTTAGTATGATGTTTTATAGTGTACTGTTGTTTATTGTTGACAGATTCTGATGTATGGTATATAGCATATGTTGTTATTTATTGTTTACAGATCCTGATGTATGGTATATAGCATATGTTATAGCTGGTATTCTTCTCTTCTTCTGGGCTTCTGTGTGGAGCAGGTATATTCTAATTATCTCTTGTCACTCACTGTAACCCAGGTATCATTTAATCTTCTGGGTACCTGTATGGAGCAGGTATCACCGTAACCTGGGTATCATCTGATCTTTTGTATTTAGCAATATTTAATTTTACATTCGTTTAATATCAAATCTTTGTTTAAAAATTCGTAAAAATCATTTAAAATCACCCAAAATCATCTAATTTGTACCAGTGTCTAGTTTAAAGCTGACCATTCAATTTTGATAATGAGTGTACAAGTATTTAATTTCCTGACCACTGTTAAAAATAAACAAACCAATTGATTATTGATGTATAATGATTAATTTTCGAACAGTGGTCAGGAAATCGAATACTTGTAAATTGCTTGATAAAGATACCTGTAAGAGAATAGAAACGTTGTATGTAATAAACCAAAAAGTAGCAAATCCATTAAACATACATTATGCAAGAGCAAAATCTGATTATTGCAAGTCTTAATTTAGGCTTCAGATGTTATAGAAATTATAAATTAGATCTTTATTTAAACAACAAGCCCAAAATCAACTCTGTAGACCCATGGATGGCTCGGCTATAGCTCGGATTTAAATAGGATTTCACTTATTAATTAATACAAATATGGCGCATCCTGATGAGAATGCGTCAGTTAGATCGAGGCTAAATGATAGAGTGTACTTAGCGAGGCCGCTGTAGAGCGTTTCCGCATGCCATTGAAAACTTTACTTGATAATCGAGATATGTAGGTGGAGTTAACGCCTGTCAATCAAACGATCGGTCATGGTGAAAGCACATTTCACTACCATTTCTAGTCAAATATTACAACGATGATAACTATGTTCAGAATAAAGTAATTTGACTGAAATTTTCAATATATTCTTCTTTCATCATCTACTTTTGAACTGTTATAGCAAGAATGGCCAACTCTCTATAAAAATCTCCCATAATGTATCTTTAAGTTGTGTTATTATGAATAATATATCTCTACTTCTAAATGTCATTGAAGTGTAGTTTAATGGTCGATTGCGAGACATTAAGTAATATATCGATATTGCACGAGTGTGTTTAGCTATATCTATATATTACGCAATGTCTTGCACGAGACCATTAAACTACAGACACTATCCAGCACATGCATTTTAATGAAATATGTCACACGGGTCCAATATTTCACTAGTATAAATAATGTATGCTTGGCACATTGCCTGTACCATTATGGTATGCCAGCATCAAAGGATGACGTCACATGTGTATTTTAAGGGTGATTATTTATGTATATATAGGAATGTGATGATACATTATGGTGCTGGTGTTAGTGTTGGTGTACTAGCATCTGTTTTATTGTTGATATATATACTACAGCGTTTCCTACCACAGGTAAATTATTCAAAACTACAATTTCATCTAAAAAATATGACTTACTAATCCATAAATCAACAAAAAATAATCTACAACAACTAAATAAGATGCTGTATATACATTTTAGTTATTTAAAGTCTGGCATAATTTCAAGATACATTATGGAAGATTAGATAAAGAGCTGGCAGTTCTCAATATAATAGTTAAAAAAAAGATCATGTAAAGAGAATTTGCTGAAAATTTCAGTCAAATTGATCCACTCTGAACCGAGATTATAGCAATTGAATTTTCGGCCTAGCCTCCATTATCATTACTAAAGTCTTGATTATCCATTTCATGATTAAATTATGGATGGAAGTCGAACAGGAAATCCGAACCTAATTCAATAAATCGAGGCTAGGCCGAAAATTCAATTGCTATAATCTCGGTTCAGGGTGGATCAATTTGACTGAACTTTTCAGCAAATTGCCCTTACATTATCTAGTTTTTAACTATTATAGTGAGAACTGCCAGTTCTTTATCTAATCTCTCATAATGTATCTTTAATGTCATTTAACTTACAATTCTGGATTAACCTTGTCTTTGTATTTAGTTATAGCATTTGGTGCATTATTATGTTTTTTTTTGTTTTTATGTTCAATCGGTTATGCAGTTTTCAATGGCGTTGTCTCTTTTCGGCATTAGTGCTTTGAAGTTTGGAGGCTTTTGGCTGTTGGTAATAAATGCAATTTTCAGTTTGACTTGATTTGACTGCAACATTACATTGGCCATCTTCAAATTAGATGGTAGGGAAAACCATTTGTGTGCATATACAGGAATCTTTAACTCATGTATGTTTAATAAAGAATTATCTTTTTACTTTCAGAAATTGAAATCTGTTGGATACATATCAATGTTAATTGGTGGATCGGCCTCGTTATTTATGTTACAATGGATGTCGACACGTATACAGGATATAGTCCACGATAACTGGCAGTACGCACTCGGCTACGTGTTAGTCACGGGATTGATTAGTTTCGCATTAGTTTATAGATACGGACCCGTGAAAGAAGATCGATCGTTAAATCTGTTACAATGGATGTTACAGATTATAGGCCTAGCGTTAATATATAACGGAACTCAGATAGCGGAAGCATCTATAGCTATTATTATTCTAGTTATATCCGTCTATATGTTTCCTGCTACTAAATTTAACAAATTAAAACAGAGATTTACGTAAGTTCTAGATTTTTATTGGATTTAAAGCTCACCGAAAAAGCTTCATAAATCGTTTAAATAAAGCAAGTAATTATGTCAACATATCCTTTCTATAAGTATAAAACGACCCCGAATGTTAATGTTACTGGACACAGGTAAATTTCAACATTAGCGATTTCCGCCGTTCTCCATGAATAAAAAAGCTGTGAGGTAATTTTACTTCTTTAGCTCATATTCTAGTCTATATTTTATGAGCAGAAGGACATAATTACTTGCATTATTTAAATAATGACCTTTTCCCGTTAACCTTTAAATAATAGGTGTATGAGGACCACACTACACAACCATATGACAGACCAGTGAACAAGACACAAACTATGCAAGCAATAAACAAATATATCAGATTCGCGGGGTCGGCCATTAGTGTCCAAAGCGCTGTACAGTGCCGGACCTGTAATGATACAGGCTTCGCTAAAAGACATAGCAATGGATACATAATATCTGGGGGGTGGGGCGTGGGGGGGTTATATGGGCATATAGTGTATGTTGTTGATGATGGAATCTTTTTTTTTAATTCAATCTGGTTATAGTTTATCCAGGGCACTACGTTAATGATTGCGCGGGGAAACCAAAACTCATTTTTGTTCAAGTGTTTTGGGCAAATGGTTGAAAAAGTTAATGTCAAGCCCAGTAATTTCTAATGAATTTTAAGATTGCAATAAAATAAACACGACCTTAATATGTAACTAAGGAGAGTGTTAATTATTGTGTCATGTTATTTATTTATATATTCTTTCAAAAATGTTTTTTTTTTTTTTAGATATAAACTTTTTCCACCAAAGCCGCGATTTTTAACAGAAGAAGAATACGAGGAAGAAAGAGATAGAGAGACAGAGAAAGCTTTAGAAGAATTAAGACAATATTGTAAAAGTCCCGAGTGTCAAACATGGAAGGTTATTAGTCGAATTAAATCTCCGAGCAAGTAAGAAAAAACTTTTAGAAATTGTATATACATTCTGCGCACAGAGAATTATTAACTATGAGAATAGATCTCTGTACTGAATGGTCACCATGTTGAAAAATTAATATAGTAGTTTTAATGCGGTTCTAATCTATATTTTACATCTTTGCGAGGTGGATGGCCAAATGGTTAGCACGTGCACGCTGTATCATAAGGTCTGTCAATGAGTCAACTGGCGTGGTTTCGATTCCCCGGTTGTACATGACAAGCAGTGGGGCCACCGGTCCAACCTCGTGGGTTTTCTCTGGGTCCTCCGGCTTCCTTCCACTGCTAATTAAACCATATGTTAGTCCCGAAGTGACCTAAGTTTGTGTTGAGTGGACGTTAAACCCTCTCTCGCTCTCTCTCTCTCTCTCTCTCTCTCTCTCTCTCATAGCTCTGTAAAAGATGACTGCTTTCAACATGTGATGTCAGATGATGCGGCGTCAATCATTGGCTCAATGGCACGTGCCTTGTTTACATAAGACGTTACTGGTTCGGACAGAATGGTGCCTTTTATTCATTTTAATACCCATTTACACTAAATAGGAAATATTGTTTACCTACAAATACTTCAAACACCTTTATTTATTTTTCTAATACTTAAATATAGTTAATATTTGGGGCTCATTAAGCCGCAGCGATGGCATCCCTATCAGTGATTGTAGCAGCCTGGCAAATATTCACTGCTGATCATTGTGTCAACTGTCAACTAGCTTTGAGACCCGAAGTGCTGAAAAGATTGTGGTTCAAGAGTCTGAAATAATGATTTTATTTTTCTTATTACAGATTTGCTAGTTTTGTCGAAGGTGAAGACCATTTGTCTGACGACGATTATCATTATCACAGTGAATACTCACACCTGCTTCCTCACAGTGATGACGACGACGATATGTCTGAAATAGATTTTAGACTTACCTCCCCTTGATACCACCTGTATTTTATATTTACTCATGTCATTAGGGTTTTTAAATTTTTTGAATTCAATTCTAAACAAATTTCTCAGGTTTATGCTGGTAACAAAGAGAACGTATTATATCAAATATTGTCGAAATTTTAAGTCTACAGTATTTCTCGATTTTTGTGCTGTTGAAAATTTGTGGATTGAAAAAAAAAAGGATGGAAACCCTTTGACTTTGTTCACAAAAATCTAAACTAAGGATCAAAGCCAAAAAAATAGCAGCATCTCTAGAATTCCTGACTTAAGTCGTTAAAGAATAAGAGTCCCAATTTTGTTACATCTTTGTTCATGAATTACCACTGTAACCCGGGTATCATTTAATCTTGTGTATCTAGCACAGTTTAAAGCTGACTGATTAATTTTGATAATGAGTGTCCAATTTACAAGTGTTTAATTTCCTGACCACTGTTCAAAAATTAATCATTATACATCAAAAATGAATTGGTTGTTTATTTTTTAATAGTGATCGAGAAATTAAAGGCTCATAAATTGGACACTCATTATCAAAATTGAATGGTCAGCTTTAAACTGGACACAAGTACTAAATACACAAGATTAAATGATACCCGGGTTACAGTGATAGTATAGGAATCAATTATATCTGCTTATTAGCCAATTTTGGCTGAGAAAGTTCCCCGGGATTGTTCAGAGTGGTTCCCCTTGTCAGTGGTGTAGGATGGAGGGCATATCAAGTAAAAGCATCTAGTTGTTTGGATAGGACAAAAAAAACAAGGCCCTGTGTAGTGTGTACACATTGGCCTGCACATAAATTCTCATTTGATAATCTGCATGCTATAAGAACTGAGTAAAGATTTAAGTTCATTAAACATTGTTCAAGTTTTTGTATGCTCTTAAAGATATATTATGTAAGATTAGATAAAGAGCTGGCAGTTCTCACTATAATAGTTAAAAACTGGATAATGTAATGGGAATATGCTGAAAATTTCAGTCAAATTGCTCCACTCTGAACCAAGATATTAGCATTTGATTTTTAGGCGTAGCCTCGTTCATTATTACAAAAGTTGGTACGATAAAAAACATAGTCTCGATTATCCATTTTTGGATTTAATAATCATTGAGCATTGAGCAGCAGATCGGATTCAAATCCAGTGAAAATCTGACACATAAGATGGCATCAAGAGTTGATAATGTTAATAAATGTCTAATTAATAGTTTATATATTATAACATAATCCTTGTAAGACATATAGAAATATTATAGAAGTAGTATATCCATACAAGTGTGTTTATTTTTAGTTTATATAACGTTTCAGGTTTAAAGACACATGTGATGACATCGATAGTTGATTAAGATCTTTTAATAAATGTCTAATTAATATTTTATATAACATTTCAGGCCTTAAGAAAGACCTGCAATAGGCAGATTTAGCTCTTGCATAATGTATGTTTATATTTCTGAAATAGTTGGCTACAATTAAAAGTTTCCGTTCTTAAAAATATTTCAGTTGCCTGGACTAAAAATATGATTGTTGTGTGAATTTAAAACCATGTCTCATTTAAATTGTATATTTTGTTATTTTGACTACCAGTAATTTATAAATTACTTGATGTTTATATAATTATTTTTATACTAAGGCCTTAAATATCAAATATTATATCCTAATACCTGATATGTATTTAGTGTGTTTACTGATTCCCAGACCTAAATATCAAATATTATATCCTAATACATGATGTGTGTTCTGTATTTGCTGTTTCAGAGACCTAACTTTAAAATGATGTGTAGTGTGTTTTCTATTATTATTTTTTGTACCAAGACCTAAAGTATCAAAATATCAACCGACTATGTTAGTTGTAGTTTTATTTTTAATTTGCATGTTAAAATTATGTTTGTTAATCTTAAAATGTTTCCAGAATTAGTGATTTTTTTATTTCATTCATTTCATAAAATTTATAAATATTTTATTTCTAATAATTATATAATTTGTGAGGGCGACATGTATCTTCTAGTCATAGTACACAGCTTGAAAGCATAAATATATCTAGCAGACTAAGTCTATATGAATAGTTATACAAAGATCTGGACTGTATTGCACAAAGAACTCAGGAGACTGACATCAATGAACTTGCCTTTTTACTACAGTACACAGAGAGGGCTCAAAAAATCTGCATGAATGAACTATATATGTTAATTGACAATACATCTTCTTCACTTGAAAATGCCTTATTTTATGTTTGGCATTCTGTGTCAGAAGTGAAACACAAAATCGCTTATATTTCAGCCCTTTTAATTAACATTGGCTTTAATTAAAGATGTTCATTTTTACAAAAGACAGATTGGCATCCCACAATACAAATCAACTATAAAATCCAAATAAATGTACGGTAATACTGATGTTGTATATTAAAGATACATTATGGGAGATTTAATAGTGAGTTGGCAGTTCTCACTATAATAGTTAAAAACTAGATAATCTAAAGGCAATTTGCTGAAAATTTCAGTACGATAAACAGCATAGTCTCGATTATCCATTTAATCGTTAAATCGTGAAGGAAAGTTCTGCAGTAAATCGGCTCATAATCCACTAAAGATTGCAGGCTATAGTGATGCCATCTAGAGTTGATTATGGTCTGGATAGGTTAACTAATGTCTAATTAATAATTTAGATAACATTTCAGGCCTAAAGAAAGACCTGCAATAGACAGATTTAGCTCTTGCATATTATATATTATAATTAGTAAAATATATCAAACAAATCAACCTATTAGATTATATTATGATCCAAGTTAAGAAATGAAATGAAATGAAATAGGGTTTAACGTCCTACTGTTCTGCTCCTATGCTGGGCTAATGAAGACGGGCATACGCCATACAGTGTGCTATGAGGGAAATTTTGGCCTGGCAGCGGCAAAGGCCTACTCTTATATCGAATTCCAACTGCCAAGGGATCTTTTATGTGCATTCCAATGTATACACGGGACCTCGGTTTTTCGTCTCATCCGTAGGACTAGACAGCTGTCCTTGTCAGGCCCTCCGTTCTGATCCAAGTTAAGGAGTTCTAGTTATTTCAAGTGAAGTTGTAGAAAGTTTTATGTTTTTAATATGTGTATAAAAATACCAGTGACTAAAATAACCTAATGGTGATTTTATTTTTCATATTGTTAAAATTTTATTTGTTTATTCACTGATTAAACTAGTTTTAGTTACCATAACATTTATGGATTTAGTTCAAAGGGACATAACCTCTCATGTCCTGAAGGACATGCTTATATCTGAAATGAAACATCCTACTATTCTGCTCCGAACTGGACTAATGAAGACGGGCATATGCCATACAGTGTGCTATGAGGAAAATTTTGCCCGGACAGTGGCACTACAGCCTATTCTTTAATAAAATTCCAACTGTCACAGGATCTTTTACGTGCACACCAATGTGTAGACAGGACCTTGTTTTTTCCCCATCCGAACAACCAGACAGCTTTCCTTGTCAGGCCCTCCGTCCTGCATCACTGACAAGGGGGAACCATGCCGGAAAATCTGGATGAACTTTCTCGGCCAATGCAGGGATCGAACACCCAACCTCCATTCCAGCGTCCTGTCCAACCTCGTGGGTTTTCTCCGGGTCCTCCGGTTTCCTCCCACTGCTAAAGACCCCTACACGCAAGCGAATTATTGAAATAAAATTAAACCATATGTGAGTCTCGAAATGACCTAGTTTGTGTCGAGTGGACGTTAAACCCCATTTCTCTCTCTCTCTCCCCATTCCAGCGAGCCAGCGTCTTACCCACTTAGCCATTGTGGCTCCCTGTGCTTATATCTTAACAGGGTTTGACAGGCATTTAACACAAACTAGGTCATTTGGAGACTAACACATGGTAGAATTCTATTTATATAATTTGTTTGCCCTCAGCATCTTTACTAATGGGAGGACACCACAGTACCCAGAGAAAACCCACAAAATTATGCAGGTGACCCTATGCTTTGTCGCATGAGGGTGGAATAGAATCCATTGCATTTGACTCTTTAGCTGTGGGATGAAACCGGAGGACCCAGAGAAAACCCAGCAGGGAATCAAAACAGACCTTATGATCTACATAACGCATTCGGCCACACAACACCCGGCAGCAAACAAGAGACTTGGTTTAATTTAATTGTGGATGAATTCTTACATCACCTCTTGTATTAGAGAGAGAGAGAAAAATGGGGTTTAACCTCCATTCGACACAAACTAGGACATTTTGGGACTAACATATGGTTCAATGATACAGGCTTCACTAAAAAACTTAGCGGATAGAAAGAGGGGAATGGTGTATAACATCCACCTGACACAAACTAGGTCATTTCGGGACTAACATATGATTCAATTTTATTTCAATAATTCGCTTCCACGTAGGGGTCTTTAGCAGTGGGAGGAAATCGGAGGACACACAGAAAACCCACGAAGGTTGGACAGGCGACGCTACTCCTTGTCACGTACAACTGGGGAATCGAAACCATGACAGTTGACTCAATGACAGACCTTATTATACCACGTGCACACGCTAACCAAGTAATTCAAAACAAACAGGTTGAATATAAATATATTTTATTTTTAATTTTTTTGTTTTTAATAGGTCATTTTATTTTTCGTAACACTAAAACAACCATTTCAACTAAATTAAATGATTAAAATAAAGAGTATAAGCATTCTTCTAACAACAGAAATATATTTACAAAACTTTCTAGAAGAACATATTTTGTTTTTCTATAAATAAATGTATTCTTCTAATACAAATTATATTCGGGATCAACAAGTATTGTTTTTCGTACTTGAAAAACAAAATATACAAAGTTTACCATGATAAAATGCTAGATAATATAGCTAAAACTTAATGGGAAAAACTTTAAATTAGAATCAAATTTTGCCAATTAGGTTTTTAAAATAACAAACACAACTTTATGGATAACAATCAAGACAATCAATCTCATTCGCAGAGATAACTTTACCCCATATCTCTGGTAAACTCACTTGCCATTAATCAGTGTGAAATTGGTTGTTTAGCTCCGCCCCCAGTGGCTACTGATTGGCAGGATTTGTTAGAATGAAATGCCGTCAATTTCAAAATGGCCAGCAAGTTTTACCCAAGATAAACGAAGGGTAAACATATCTATGGGATTGAGATTGCGATCAAGAATAACTTTAATATAAGTTTTATTTGTATTATTTCAAAGTTTTCCTAAAATTAAATGTCTTACAAATAAAATATTAAGTGGTCAGGTATACCGAAATTGTGCTCTCCCCAAATATTTGTTTTTTGATTAACAAATGTGTTTCTCAGTACTTAAGACAACCGACATAAGCGATGCTGAACAGTTCATTTCTTTGGCCGTACAAGTCGATGGTTTGGAAACATACAATAGTTTTTAAATGGGCAAACATATTAAAATTCTGGATAAGGACGCCCTATTGATAAAATAAAAATTAAGAAAAAATAATAATAAGCAAAACTAATAAATTATTACTGAGGTAGGTATAAAAATATTCACAGCTGTCTCCCCATCTAAAATACCAGACACGTAACACTGCTATTGAATTGGGACAAAACTCGAGGTGTAATTAATTATTTCCCTTTCACATAATTTAAATCTTAAGCCAGAACTTGTGGGAAGGACAAATCAAAATGACCCAAGTGAATGCAAATAAATATTCATAATTTGGGGATGGAAAAGACATTCAACCTTTCAAAACCCTCAAATGAATATTTATGATTTTAGGATGGAAAAGACATCCAACCTTTCAAAACCCTCAAATGAATATTCATTATTTTGGGATGGAAAAGACATCCAACCTTTCAAAACCCTCGAATGAATATTTATGATTTTGGGATGGAAAAGATATCAACCTTTCCGAACCTTCAAATGGATATTCATGATTTTGAGATGGAAAAGACATCCAACCTTTCAAAACCCTCAAATGAATATTACCTGATTTTGAGATGGAAAAGACATCCAACCTGCCCAAACCCTCAAATGAATATTCATGATTTTGTGATGGAAAAAACATCCAACCTTTCCGAACCATCAAATGAATATTCATGATTTTTATATGAAAATGAAATGAAATGGGGTTGAATGTACCACCTTTCCGTGACTTACAGGTTAGTTATTCTGAGGAGGAAGGATCAGAAGCTGTAAACAGACGTGATATGATAGGGAAAACCCCTCCATAAAAAAATCACAATATTCACAATATTTTAGAAATTCATATATTAATTTTCATTGCAAAAGACTAAGATTAACAATTCACAAATTGAGTTTATTTTTTTACTATGTTATGTCTAAATGATCATGGATGTAAAAAGTCTAAGGCATAATTTTTGATTCCATTGTTGATCAAGTTGATCAAGCAATATTAAAATCAGAATGTGACTTTTATGAATTCAGCTTTGACTTTATAAAACATTTTACAAATTTTAATTTGACTTTATAAAACAGTTTACAATGGATGGTTACATTGAATGTAAAATGGGATTCTGTCTATTATGCAGATTAATTAATGAAGTCTATTTAAACATACATTATGCAAGAGCTAAATCTGCCTATTGCAGGTCTTTCAATAGTTTCTTTTTTATCATCTATTTTTGAATTATTATAGCAAGAATGGCCAACACTCTTCATTAAACTCTTAAACATACATTATGCAAGAGAATAAATCTGCCACTTGAAGGTCTTTCTTTAGGCCTGAAATGTTATCTAAATTATTAATTAGACATTAATTAACTTATCCAGACCATAATCAACTCTCAATGTCATCGCTAGCCTGCGATATTTACTGGATTGGATCTGATCTATCGCTCAAAGCTTATTGATGATTTAGTCAAAATATAGATAATCGAGACTATGTCTTTTATCGTACCAATTTTAGTAATGATGATCGAGGCTAGACCGAAAATTCAATCACTTAATTCTCGGTTCAGAGTGGATTAATTTGACTGAAATTTTCAGCAAATTCCCTTTACATTATCTAGTTTTTAACTATTATAGTGAGAACTGCCAGCTCTTTAATCTTCCATAATGTATCTTTAATTATGGTTTTATTTAAAACAATGGAATTTTCATGATAAAATATTGTACGATTCAAACAACGTTTAAAAATAACAGTTTGTGACTAGGGAAAATATTTAAAAATATCTTAAAAAATATTAACTACCATATTTTTAATAAACTATAACACATACTTTTAGAAAAACAGCTACTATTTATATTGGGCAATGTTTCGAAGAGTATTCTCTCAACGTTATCATTGACTTGACAACCTTGAGAGAATACTATTGCAAACATCGCCTAAAATAATTAGTAAATGTTTTCCGTAAGTATGTGATATAGTTTATTGCTCTATCCAGTTACTAAATGCCTCTCAAAGATTATCACCATATTATTGATAATTTGTATCAATGCCCTGGCCCGAGTTCATTCTCAGACTCATGTTAAGAATTTACTCAAAATTGTTTGCCCTATTTTAACTTCGATATAGCCCTTTATAAAACTTTTGTTGTTTTAATGTATCAAATACATCAATAAGAAACTATGTGCAATGTTTTGTATTTCTGGATTAAAGTTAATTCTCATAAACAGTGATTGAAAAGTTGAGTAAATTCTTAACTTAAGTCTAAAAATACTTTGTGAACTCGAGGGTCTGCTATACATGTATAGTACAGTACAGAAAAGTCATTATGGAAAAAAAATAAAGATGTCATCCTTTGGTGTTGCATTATTATTTTTTTTTTTAATAATGTACAGGCAACTTGCCAAGGGTACATTATTTATACTAGATCAAATATTGAACTCATATGACTTATTTCATTGAGATTGTCGTGTCTGTACTGTTGATTAATGGTCTCAAGCAAGTCATTGGGTAATATATTGATACTGCACAACTAATACTATTTAATGTCTGGCGCAGGACCATTAAACCACATATAGCAGCCTGGATAATATAAGCTATAGGCTTTAAAGGGGGGGGGGGAGCTTATGTCGACCTTGCAAGTGAAAGCAACTGGTGTTTCGGAACAGAAAAGGTTGACCTGATCGCCTCTTGCAACTAGTTGCAGTCAGTTGCACATGATCAACTTTCTGCTAGTTGCAGTCAACATGAGCGTTATTACAACTGGCGTCAACTCGTTTCCATGGAAATAACATCCCGTGATAAGAGCAAAGTGGATGCAAACAAAGACATTTAAGAGTTGCCAAGTCAACATAACCCCCCCCCCCCCTCACTTAATAATATTATGACTTTGAAATTCTATTAATTAAACCCTAAGAATCCACAATACAGGGCTTAAGAAGAACTGACTCGCTAAGTTTGAATTGAATTACATGTTTAACATAAATCCTCCAATAAAATAAAACTCCCAATCTGATTAAAACATGGATCCTATTTCGTTTCGCTTTTTGTGGTTTAAAATTTAGTTATACTTGTCTTCACTCAACTAGGATCTGGAAGAGTTGACGTTCTGGTTGATGTGAGGGATTAGCCAATCAAATGGTCTGTTGAGTCGAGTTCTTATTGTCTGGCACAAGGGAACTGTGGGTAGACAATCTTGGCGATATAAAAAACATATCAAAGTAAAAATTTTATTTCCGAATACCCTCTTTAAACACCGACATTGATTAGTTAATCAAATGATTGATAGCATCGGGTCAAAAACCGCTTGTATGACCCCTGACACGACCTCCTACTACAACCGGTCAGATCTTTATGTAGTGGAGGCCAATAAAAGTATAACAAACGAAACGAAATATAGGTTGAGATTTTGAGAACCGTTCATTTATGTACATACATTGTCATATAAAAGTTTTTATACAAAATAACTTCACTAGAGTTTCACTTTAAAACTAAATTACCAGGAATAAATGTTTACACCAGGGCTCACACTTACTTTTGTCAAACACAATGTCGGGACTAACATATGGTTCTATTTTAATTCAATAATACGCTTGCGTGTAGGAGTCTTTAGCTGTGGGAGGAATCCGGAGGACCTGAAGAAAGCCGAGCCTACTGCTTGTCACGTACAACTGGGAATCGAAGCCACGCCAGTTGACTCAATGACAGACCTTATAACACGCGCATGCGCTAACCATTCGGCCAGAGAAAACCCACGAGGTTGGACAGGTGAACCTCCTCCTTGTAAGAGACAAGATGGAAATCGACCCAAACCAAGCCACTTGACTCAATGACAGACCTTATGATCCAAAGCACACATATCAAACCATTAGCCCCCCCCCCCCAGTCAAGACAGACAAATGTAAGTGATGTACAAGCCCCGGTCTATACACATTGACCTAAAATAAAGTCCTAGGTTAACTACGACAAGCCGTAGCAGATGTGAAGTATGTCCGCGTTGACGAAGAATTAGGTCCGTTTGACGGAGATGAGCTCCAATCAGAAACAGGAATATCTGAAGCATAAAACTTGGAAGTGGTCGTATTGTAGACGGGTAAAAGTTCGTTAGCTTCATTCGATAAAACCTGAAATAAATAAAATAGAATTATTTAAAGATACATTATGGGAGATTAGATAACGAGTTGGCAGTTCTCACTATAATAGTTAAAAACTACATAATGTAAAGGCAACTTGCTGAAAATTTCAGTCAAATTGATCCACTATGTACCGAGAACTAAGCGGATGCAAGTTCCGCTTAGCCTCGATCATCATTACTGAAGTCAATAAGACAAAACTAATAGTCTTGATTATCCATTTAATCGTTAATCACGAAGGAAAGTTTTGCAGCAAATCGGACTGTAATCCAACAAATATCGCAGGCAAGCCTTGACATCGAGAGCTGATTATGGTCTGGATATGTTAATTAATGTCTAATTAATAGTTTTTATAACATTTCAGGCCTAAAGAAAGACCTACAATAGGCCGATTTTGCTCTTGCATAATGTATGTTTAAGTTAACGCTCAAGATATAAATACTTTTTTTAGGATATGTTTTATTTCATATCAATTTTCATCAGATCGTGGATTTTGTGATAGCTCCGATTGGGAGAAGGGATCTCCTGATTTTACAAAAACTAAGTTTGTGCAAAAACCGCTACTGGCATCACAATTAGAAGTGGATCACATCATGAAACTGAGTTGATGCAAAAAAATGCTACAGGTGTCAAAATTAGAAATAGAGTAGGTCTACATGCAAAAAACGCTACAGGTGTCAAAATTAGAAAATATGAAACTGAATTTATGAAAAATTCAAGATCACAAAACTGAATTTATGAAAACGAGTCACAATTAGAAATCACGAGCTGAATTTATGAATAAGCGTCACAATTATAAATTATGAAACTAAATTTATGAAAAAGAGTCACAATTAGAATCACGAAACTGAATTAATAAAAAAAGAGTCACAATTAGAATCACGAAACTGAATTAATAAAAAAAGAGTCACAATTAGAATCACGAAACTGAATTAATAAAAAAAGAGTCACAATTAGAATCACGGAACTGAAATTATGAAGAAGGATATTCCAACGTACCTTTAAATATATAATGGCATCTGTACCAAACCCTTCTAGAGAATTTAATATAATATCACCATGGAAATATCTGGCATATAATCTAGATAATGGCAGACCGTATCCATAACCAGCCTGTAATATAAAACAACATATATAATGAATAGAGATTAAACCTCCTATTCTTATTTCAGGGAGCCACAGTGGCTAAGTGGGTAAGACGCTGGCTCGCTAGCCTAGAGGTCGCATGTTTGATCCCCTGCATTGGCTGAGAAACTTCATCAAGATTTTCTGACATGGTTTCCCCTTGTCAGTGTTGCAGGACGGAGAGCCTGACAAGGACAGCTATCTAGTCGTTCATATGGGACAAAAAACTCAGGTCCCATATATACTTTGATGTGCATGTAAAAGATCCCTTGGCAGTTTGAATTTGATATAAGAGTAGGCCATAGCACACGTATGGCGTATGCCCATCTTCATTAGCCCAGTTGGAGCAGAACCTAAGTTTTCCATACCATCCAAACGACTAGACACTCTACTTATCAGGCATTCCATCCTTGGATCAAAGAGAGGGAGAGAGATGGAGTTTAACGTCTACGACACAAACCAGGTCATTTTCGGGACTAACACAGGGTTCAATTTTATTTCAAGATTTCGCTTGCATGTAGGGGTCTTTAGCAATGGAAGGAAACCGGAGGACCCGGAGAAAACCCAAGAGGTTGGACAGGCGACCCTACGTACAACCGGGGAATCAAAACCACGCCAGTTGACCCAATGACAGACTTTATGATAAGCGCACATGCTAACCAATCGACCATCCAACCCCCCATCTGGGATCAAACCCATGCCACTTTACCCAATGACATAAAGCGCAGGAAGTTGAAACCACGTCTCTTGCTTGTCCAGCTTGATATAAAATATTGTATGGTAACTTACTAAAGGTGCAGAGCCACTATTAGATCTACAAGGTTGTGGAGCTGTCGAGTACATATATTGAAACAATAAATCGGTTTTACTACGTGGTACACCACCTCCTTCATCTGATAACTACAAAAAATAAATACACACAACTATAATTATAGGTCATTTCGGGACTAACATATGGTTCAATAAGGGATCTTTAGCAGAGGGAGGAAACCAGAGAAAACCCATAAGGTTGGACAGGCGACCCTACTCCTTGTCATGTATAAGCGGGGAATCAAAACCACACCACTTGACCAATGACAGACCTTGTTATTTCGTGTGCATGTGTTAACCATTCGGCCACCCAATCCTCGCCCGAATAAGACATGCGAAGAAGATTGATTAACAAAAGTTAATACAGAGATCTTCGACCGCTTTACATATCATAACCTTCAACTTGGGTACGTCAAATTCCCTCAGAAAAATGAAATGAAATGAAATGGGGTTTAACGTCCTACTGTTCTGATCCTATGCTGGGCTAATGAAGACAGGCATACGCCATACAGTGTGCCATGAGGGAAATTTTGCCCGAGCAGCGGCACTATCGCCTACTCTTATATCGAATTCCAACTGCCAGGGGGTCTTTTATGTGCATCCCAATGTATACACGGGCCTTGGTTTTTTGTCCGAAGGACTAGACAGCTGTCCTTGTCAGGCCCTCCTTCCTGCATTACTGACAAGGGGGAACCACGCTGGAAAATCCGGATGAACTTTCTCGGCCAATGCAGCGATCGAACACCCGGCCTCCAAGCTAGCAAGCCAGCGTCTTACCCACTTAGCCACGTGACCCCCTTCCCTCAGAAAAAATGCCACTTGACTCAGTGACAGACCTTATGATCTAAACTGCATGTGTGAGACCTTCTAGAGCCTCCCCCCACTCCATCCCCCAACAACAACAAGACGACCTCTCTACCCCACACCCCACCAAGATACCAAGATTAACAAACCTTAATAGTGAGATCTTCAACACCTTTACAGATCATAACCTTTAACTTTGGTACTTCCGTTTCTTCTGAATGATGTTCAACAACAGCTCTCATAGCATTCTATAAAAATATAAACAACAACAAATCAACATCCATTCGACACAAACTAGGTCATTTTGGGACTAACATACGGTTCAAATTTTATTTGAATAATTCGCTTGTGCGTAGGGGTCTTTAGCAGTGGGAGGAAACTGGAGAAACTCACAGAGTTGAATATGCGACCGGAGAATCGAAATAATGTCAGCTGACTCAATGACAGACCTTATGATACAGCGTGCACATGTTAACCATTCGGTCCCCCACCCCTCAATAAGTACTTGTACATTTATCTTTTTTATAATAGATCAAGCTATCAAATTGCTTATAACTTTCGTTATCCCACTCATTCAAGGTATTAATGACTTAACACTATTAGAATCAAAGTTACCGTGTCTCAAAGCACCGACAAATCCAATTGCTTATCATTGAATATATGTGTACGGTATTCAAGACATTCACCCAATTAACATCTACACCACATTTAAACATTCTACCTCAATAATAACATCAAACAGACAGACAGTAATCTTACCTTGAAAAGTTCAAACAACATATGATAAAGATGTGACGGAACGTAGACTATCTCAACATTCTTTACTTTATTTCCTACAAATATATAATACATATCTTCACATCAAGTTACAAATATATAATACATATCTTCACATCAAGTTACAAATATATAATACATATCTTCACATCAAGTTACAAATACACACATAATTAGAGTACAGAGTCAATCAAGAGTATATAATAGTAGAGAGGCACAAGATAACCATATAGTCCGGCAGACCTATGACTGAACCTGGAAATTGTATACAAAGTTTTTTTTATGATTGATTTTAGTAGCCTAGGTTGTCCTTGTTCAGAATCTGCCGGGTGAACCTCGGTCACCCTTGTGCGTTTTGAGAAATTCAAGATGGCGTCCAAGACGGCCGCCACATCAAATAATCCCCTATAGCTCCAATAGTATTTATTCTAGGATGATAATTTTGGTGTCTAACCGTATGTTTCTGGGGTCAAGGAATACACTGAAATCATTTATTATGTTGTGGGGTGATTAGATGATATTAAAATCAAACATGCCAGACAATATGACCCTTTAACTCGTTATCGGCGGTTGGGGGCGATTATTTCACCGAACCGAACTAAATCTAGATACAAACTATATATTTCTGGACATAGGACAACACCAAATACAGCCCTATCAGGGGCTCCGGGGCCACATGGGTCGGTCCTGAAAATGGAGAAACAAGCTGATTGTTGAACATTTAAAAAAAACTATTTCTAACCGCAAAACAGGAACATAACTTCCACAAAACTAGGTAATATCCAGTTTAATACTTTAGTCGTGTTTCTGGCTGCAACCTGTGACGGCACAAGCGCAAAATATCGTATATTCTAAGTCATCCCTAGTGCAGCTACAAGCACACTTGCTACATGAGCTGTCACTACTGCATCCACATCTGATGAAGGTATCAGGCATCTAAAACTGGAAATGTATCGACATCATCCCCACCTAAACCATGTAGTCTAGCTCCAACGAATGATGCATTTGCAGTGAACATAAAAATATGACATCACTAAGCTATTGAGTGGCGTTCACTGGAAGATCGGAATCCGTCGGAACTTGATCCGGAACTGTATTGCTGGGAGAAGGACACTAAATTGAAAACATCACAACCGGTAAACTTGGTCCGGAGTCTGCCATGTGGCTCATCAGATGTGGCTGCAATAGTGACGGCTCATGTAGTACGTGTGCTTGTAGCTGCACTAGGGAGGGCTTAGAATATACAATATTTTGCGCTTGTGCTGTCACAGGTTGCAGCCAGAAACACGACTAAAGTATTTAAAGGAGCTAAATCGCTAATATTTGGGACCTAGAAATTGACAAAAGTGGGTCGCAACTCATATAATACTGTCATATGAATGTATATAAACTGATTTACATTAAATCGTTTCCATTTTTACTCTAATTTCAAATCAGTTATGTTCCGTGAAATAAGCCAGCAGTCTCAATCGAGTGCAAATTCCTAGCGTCTGGTTATTCTAGTCAACATACACCGTTTGGTTTGCTGCAATATCTCTAGCCTCGTTCCTCTAGTCTCTTGCTAGAACGGGGGCTGAAATGCATTATGATACACGATTCGTGTACCAATGGTAAAATATTTATTTTGTCTTAAATATTGGATATCAGAAGCCCACCCTTTTCCGGTAAGATCCCAGCATCAATGTTGTTTTAAATTGACAAATAATTCGTGTTTTAAATGTTGAAGATTTTGGATGATATTGAGTTAGAGACTTAGCTCCTTTAACTGGATATTACCTAGTTTTGTGGAAGTTATGTTCCTGTTTTGCGGGTAGAATTTGTTTTTTTAAACTTTCAACAATCAGCTTGTGTCTCCCTTTTCCGGACCGACCCATGTGGCCCTGAATGCCCTGATAGGGATGTATGTGGTGTTATCCTATCACTCATACGCTCTTATGTCCAGAAATATATAGTTTATCTCCTGATATAGTTTGGTTCGGTGAAATAATTGCCCCCAACCACCGCTAACTAGTGAAAGGGCTACATTGTCTGGCATGTTTGGTTTTAATATCATCTACTCACTCCACAACATAATACATGATTTCAGTGTATTCCTTGACCCCAAAAACATACGGTTAGACACCAAAATTATCATCCTAGAATAAATACTATGGGAGCTATAGGGGATTATTTGATGTGGCGGCCGTCTTGGACGCCATCTTGAATTTCTCAAAACGCTCAAGGGTGACCAAGGTTCACCCGGCAGATTCTGAAAGAGGACACCATAAGCTACTAAAATCAATCATAAAAAAAACTTTGTTTATAGTTTCCAGGTTCACTCGAAAAATTGGGTTTGGCGACCGGACTAATATGGAGACTGGATACGTTGAAATTATTTAATGTTAGAAACTATTGAGGTATAGAAGTTTTATAAATAATCTCTGGTTATATACCAAGATGACCTAGTGTCTGGTTATAGTGAAATATGGCTTTGATGAAATCACAATTCCAAGATGGCTGCAATGACATAATAATTCTAATATGGCTGCGACATCACAATTTCAAGATGGCTGCAATGATGTCACAATTCCAATATGGCCACTATGAAATAAAAATTCCAAGTTTGCTATGATGTAATACTCGGTTTCTAGTCTATAGAACATTAGTCCTTGTTTTTTTTATTATTGAAATATAAAAACATTATAATTTATTTCTAGATACCTGGTGTTTTACAGATGATTTCTATTTCTGGACACATTAAATAATATTGTTCACATAAAAACCTTGCATTCTCAAATGCATCTGAAATATAATTATTGTTTAAATAGGATAATTATATAAAGCTACATTCTGCTGAGGAAAGGAAAAAAAAAATAAAAGAATTATATGAAACAAAATAAATGAAGAAGGATATAAGCTATACAGTGTGCTATCTGAGAACATTTGTCAGAACAGTGGCTTTTCTGCCTACTTTTAAAGATGCATAATTCAAGAACTAAATGTTCCTAAAGCAGATCGTTCGTTTGGCCTCAAATGTTTTATATAAATTATTAATTAGACCATTATTTACATGCCAGGCCCAAAATCAACTCTCTCGAACTTCGGATGGCCTACTCTTATTTCAAATTCCTACTATCAAGGGATCTATAACATACATGCCAATGTATACATTAGACCTTGCTCTTTTCGTCCCAACTAAACAACTATACGCTCCCTCCCTCAGTCAGGCCCTTTGTTATGCACAACTGACATAGTGATACCACGCCGAAAAATCCTGAGGATCTATCTCCGCAAACACCAAGAGACCTCTTGTTTAGCAAGCCAGCGTCTTACTCGCTGAGCCACACTGTTCTCAATCTATCAGAAACATGTGTTTTTGGTATGATAAAGTATGTGAGAGTTACCTACCTTGAACAACATGTAAAACATTACAACCTGGATCTATAGAACCAATATGTCGTGGATGATTTCCTAACTCACTATCACTACCAAATAATAAAGCTGTAATAAACAACAACATAGACTATAACAATCACCACTAAATGATAAACAACAACTCATTAGTAAGTTGCTGTGTATCTAGGCCTTAAATGGAGTACCGTCACAAAATCACAATGTCAAATTTTTTTTTATCCTATCCAAATGACTTATTTGTTGGAACCCCTTGTGCTGCACCATTGACAGGGGGAAACAACGCTGGAAAATCCTGATGAACTTTTTCGGCCAACAACAGGAGAGAACCCAAGATCTCCTGGTTAGTGAGCCAGCATCCTACTAGCTGGGCCACTGCAGCTCCCAAATTTAAGAACAACCACAGGTTAAACAGGGGTCTAAATGATTTTTAGTCCAACACAATACTTCATAAGAGAAGTAGGGAGAGAGAGAGAGAGAGAGAGAGAGAGAGAGGAATATCAAGTTTAATAAAAGAAATGTTTATAAAATATTTACTTACTGTGTTGGTTAATCAACATTCGTATACTAATACGGGACATATAGAATCTATCTAGGAAATATTGTATACGATTCTCTGTATTAACATCTATACCATGGGTCTCCTTTAACTCTAATATACCCTATAAATAATACAATATAAGCTATCAAACAGAGTTATCTCTAGTCTACCCTATAAATAATACAATATAAACTATTAGTACTACTCAACAATCAAACAGAGTTATCTCCTTTAACTCGAGTATACAATATAAATAATACAATATAACTTTTAAAGCTATGAGCGAAATATTCCCAGGACAGCGGCGCTACAGTCTACTCTTACATTAAATTCCAACTGCCAAGAGATTTTATAACTCTAGTAGTACACCCTATAAATAATACCATATAAGTTTCAAATCTACGAGGGAAATCTTGCCCCGACAGGGCCGCTACGGCCTACTCTTATATCAAATTCCAACCGCCAAGGGATTTTTAACGTGCATGCCAATGTATACACAAGACCTTGTTTTTTGTACGGTCCGAAGACTAGACAGCTGTCCTCGTCAGGCGCTACGTCCTGTATCACTGACAAGGGGAAACCGCGTCGGAAAATCCGAATGAACTTTCTCGGCCAATGCAGGGATCGAACACGCGAGCTCCAAGCTAGTGAACCAGCGTTTTATCCAATTACCCAATTAGTTTTTCTATTTCCCTCAATAATAAATAAATAATAAGACAAACCTGTGCCATTGTTTCTACTACATTCGTGTGACGATTTCGTATATTAACTAATTTATCTGTAAAACTGAAAGTAAAACAAATATATTTGAAAGCTTGATTCATCTTTTGCATTTTTGCTAAAATAACAAATTCTCACAGCTTAAAGATACATTATGTAAGATTTAGATAAAAAACTAGCCATTCTTGCTATAATAGTTTGAAAGTAGATGATGTAAAATGAATAATTTGAAAATTTCATTCAAATTACTCTATTGCAAGCGAAGATATTAGCCTTTGAAGGTTTGACAGACGTGTGCAATAATTTCAACCACCGTACTGGTTGATCGAAGCTAAGTCTCGGTCCTCCATTTTTGATTAAATCAAAGTATCGCTGAACCATTCTAATCTATTTAATATCGGAGAAATCTGATGCCATCGAGAGTTGATTAAGGCCTGGATCAGTTAATTAATGTCTAATTAATACTTTAGAAAACATTTCATGCATGTTTAATATGTGCTAAATATGTACTCAGATTGATTATTTAACATTTAATTAAGAAAACAAAATCAAAATACCAAAGCTAGATATTCTTCCGTTATGCTAGAGCATCATAGATTGATGAAAATGCACTATAGTAAAATACAATGACTTGAAAGGACATGACATGTACCTGAAGCAACGACTGAGTTTTACAACATCTTGATGTTGTAAGATTACTTTACAATTCCCAAACTTATAGCTACAATATCTACAGACACCTGAACACAGAAGTGTCCAATCAGAGGTTGTGACAATAGCTACCTCCACGGAAACCTTGACATTGAACGAACCTTGAACTTTGCAATTCGATTATCACAGGTAGACAATTTAGCTTGAAAGCACGAATCCTGGTAATCACGATGATCGAGGAATCTGATAGGCTCCCATGCTGGGTGAATACCCAATCAAAATTAATCCCAAAATATGCAGGGTATTATGTGACGGAAGATGTACTAGTGAAAGCGAGATGAAGCTTTCTATTGAAGATGAGGGATGGAGAGAATTTTGCCAAGACACCAGTTTTTCTTGTATAGGCTAGAAATATAATAACTACTTACTGTGGTAGATGAGATATTTCATCACCACTTTCAAATTGTAACAACTCTTGAAAACTCTGTTCATACCTGTAATTATATAAAACATGGGATAAATATCAAAAATACACAATTATAACTTATTTTATATATAAAAACATTTTAAACCAAATATTATTCAAATCCAACAATAATAACATAACCTTAATTAATTAAAGATATATTATGGCAGATTAGATAAAGAGCTGACAGTTCTCGCTATAATAGTTAAAAACTAGATAATGTAAAGGTAATTTGTTGAAAATTTCAGTCAAATTGGTCCACTATGAACCGAGATATCAGCTTTGTACATTTTCGCCTAGCCTCGTTCATCATTACTAAAGTTAGTACGTTAAAAAGCATAGTCTCGATTATCCATTGTTTTGATTTAATTATCAATGAGCGTTTGCAGCATATAGGATTCTAATCCAGTCGATATCGAAGGCTAGCCTTGACATCGAGAGTTGATTATGGTCTGGATAAGTTAATTAATGTCTAATTAATAATTTAGATAAGATTTCAGGCCTAAAGAAAGACCTGTGATAGGCAGATCTAGCTCTTGCATAATGCATGTTTAAATGACAACAACAGCCTGAACCTTAAAATGCCTATTGTAAATGTAAAAATATTTTCTGGCTTCACAGATTACATAAACTATTATTTAGACACTTCTTCACAAGACAAGCCTATAATCAACTTAGACCATCGGATGGCTCAGATTAAAACAGATAACGGTACAATGGATGGATAATCAAGACTTTGTCTCGATTGTCAAGTACCGTTGCTATGATAATAAACAATCTATAAATTAAATTTTCAGTGTAATCTGTTTGGTTTTTCGTACCATCCAAACAAACAGACACTGTTCCTTGCCAGGAACATTTCTCTCTCTCTCCCTTGGATTGAAGACCATCTAGTTAAACCTAAGTATGTTATTGTATTTCCCATTTAGTAGTCTATAAAACTATTTGATATTTAAATATGTCCTTGGACTGAAGGCCAAAGAGTAAAACCTATTATGCTGTTAACCCATATTCAACAACCAGTGCAATTTAAAAAAAAGGTCAATCAGATCACACCACTAACCTAAATATTAAATATCACATTCACAGAGCTCTCAGAGAGAAACACAACCCAAGGTTTGGTGAAATAATATCTGGCACCGAGTTCACAAAGACTTAAGTTAAGAATTTACTCAAAATTGTTCGTCCTATTTTAACTAAAATATAGCCTGTTTTGATTGGGATTTAGTAATTGAACATATTAACACAAGGTACAATTTTATGGATACATCCGTAAAATTGAACCTTGTGTTAAACCATAGTCCTTTATAAAACTTTTGTTGTTTTAATGTACCAAATACATCAATAAGAAACTATGTGCAAAGATTTGTGTTTCTGTATCAAAGATATTTCTCATGAACAGTGATTGAAAGTTGAGTAAATTCTTAACTTAAAGTAGCTAAGTCTCTAACTCAATATCATCCAAAATCTTCGACATTGAAAACACGATTTATTTGTCGGTTTAAATCAACATTGATGTTGTGATTCTAACGGGAAAAGATAGCCAAAGACAAAATAAACATTTTACAATTGGTACACGAATCGTGTACCATAATACGTTTCAGCGCTATGTGTAATAAGGGACTCGAAAAACGAGCCTAGGCATATTCCACAAGTTATGTCAAACGGTGATGCTATATTCTTATCTGGAGAGCATGCCCAATAAATACTATCGGCGTAGAGTACAATAACCAGACGCTAGAGATTGAAATTCGATTGAGAATACTGGCGTATTTCGCCGAACCTAACTGATTACAGTAAAAACAGAAACGATTGAATGTAAATCAATTTATATACATTCATATTACATTATTGTATGCGTTGCGACCCATTTGTGTCAATTTCTAGGTCCCAAATATTAGCGACTTAGCTCCTTTAAGTCTGTGAATGCTTTGTGAACTTGGGGCCAGGACTACCTATGGTTATGTGTTAACTATAAACTATAAAAAAATAAAACCGAAAAGGATCTGTGTTTTAAAGGTCACCGGAAAAGCATCAATTTTTTTTTAAATAATGCAAGTAATTATGTCAACATATCCTTTCCATAAGTATAACCCGAGCCCGAACGTCAATAATACCTGCAACAGGTAAATTTCAACATTAGTAATTTCCGCCGTTCTCCGTCGGTAGTCGGAACTTTCCGTTAATAAGCAATCCGTGACGTCATTTTAGTCCTTCTGCACATAGAAATATAGACAAGAATATGAGCAGAAGGACTAAAATGACGTCAAATTTACGGAAAGTTACGACTACCCACGGAGAATGGCGGAAATTGCTAACGTTGAAATTTACCTGTTGCAGGTAATATTGACATTCGGGTTCGTGTTATACTTATGGAAAGGATATGTTGACATAATTACTTGCATTATTTAAAAAAATTATGAACCTTTTCCGGTGACCTTTAATCAATTAGTAATTTTCTCAATTTTTATCAACAAGAATTTCAACTTGGTGACATAAAAAATGTCTGATTTTGATAATGTCTATGATACATGTAGCTACAGTAGCAATTTGCCTTGACAATAATCCAAATATATTGTCAGCAGAAACATCTGAGATGTTTTTATGTATGTACAGAGTTACGTACAAATAATTCAAAGGGTTTGTACAGAGTTTCATAAAGATATCTTTAACGGTTGAAGAGTTACATAGAGATATCTTTAATGGTTTACGAGATATGCTCCATTAACGCGACCCCTGCAAATATTTTGCGTTTGGGAGCATTGTGTGACACAATAGTTCATAGTACTGCATAATATTATACATACAAAACCACCTAGTAAGAAAATATTTGGGAAAAAAAAGATTCATACTTCACAATATCGAACAAATCACGCATACAGGGGCAGATCCCCCAACACGCCCCTCTGGATCCGCCCCTGGCATCAAGACTTTAAATAATCTCTTGTTATTTGATCAGTAATGAAAAAAACAAATTTTTTTTAAAAAAAAAACCAAAAAAAATCAAATGCATCATGTGCTTCAGAAGAAGGATTATTAATCCATATGTACTGGGGTTAAAAAGAATTTCGAGCCCAAAAATCCTTCTAGAAAATTGAATTAACAGGCAGTAATGTTTTTTTTTTTACAATGTATTAAATATTAAATAAAAAGAGGTGAATAAATGTGTAGTCTGCTAGTATCTTCTTGAAAGGGTCATTAGGTAAGATTAGATAAAGAGCTAACAGTTCTGGCTATAATAGTTAAAAAAAAAGATATTGAAAAAAGAATATGCTGAAAATTTCAGTCAAATTACTTCCCTCTGAACCAAGATATTAGCGATTCAATTTTAGGCTAGCCTTGTTCGTCATTACTAACGTTGGTTGGTACAATAATAAATAAAGTCTTGATTATCCATTTTACATTAAATTATCCATCACAAAATGTATTCAAATCCACAATATATCGCAGGCTAACGATGGAATCGAGAGTTGATTATGGTCTGGGTAAGTTATGGTTCAATTTTATTTCAATAATTCACTTGCGCGTACAGGTCTTTAGCAGTGGGAGGAAACCGGAGGACCCAAAGAAAACCCACACTCCTAGTCAAATACAACCGGGGAATCAAAACCACGCCAGTTGACTCAATGACAGACCTTATGATACAGCGTGCACATGCTAGCCATTCGGCCATCCAACCCCCTAAATATCATAACAAAACAGAACACAGTTGAACTGGTTCCAAATGGATATCGTTTATTTATAGAACAATTGAATTGGTTCCAACTAGGTATACAGTTTGTCTTTAAAGTTCACCAGAAGCCTCTATACAGAAAGTGATAAAATATGATTCCTGCCAGTGTAAAGTCTCGGAATGTCAATTAAAGATGCATTATGTAAGATTTAAAGACTTTGTCATTCTTACTATCATGTTAAAAGATTGGTTGCCAGGCAACGAAACGTACACCCACACCAGCTAAGTTGCCCTGGCAGCGAAAAAGGGTTGTCACATAGTTTTTTTTTTCTTTTGTCGGTAATGAAAATATTTACACTAAAATCTTATTAAGTAAGAGTAACAACTCATTAAGTCACATAGTTTTTTTTTTCTTTTGTCGGTAATGAAAACATTTACATGTACACTAAAATCTTATTAAGTAAGAGTAACAACTCATTAAGTAATTATCTTTAGGCCTGAAATGTTTTCTAAACTATTAATTAGACATTAATTAACTTATCCAGGCCATAATCAACTCTCGATGGCATCAGATTTTTCCGATATCAAATAGATTATAACAGTTCAGCCATATTTTGATTTACCGGTAAGCTAAAAATGGAGGAGCGAGACATAGCTTCGAACAACCAGTGCAGTGGTCGAAATCATTGCATACGTCTTATCAAACCTTCAAAGGCTAATATCTTCGCTCGCAATAGAGTAATTTGAAGGAAATTTTAAAATTATTTATGTTAGATTATCTATTTTCAAACTTACTATTATAGCAAGAATGGCTAGCTCTTTATCTAAATCTTACATAATGTATCTTTAATTAGCCTTTCAATGTCAGCAGTATGTGAGAATCAATATAGATGTACCTGTATTTGCTAATTAAATTCTCGGAAAAAATATTTCCTTGCTGAGAATACTGATAACATGGATCTTAATTTAAATTCTGGTCTTTATTCATCCAACTATCCCATTATTTTCAGCAAGACGATCATTTTTTTTTTTTTCCAAGAATAAATTCTAATTTAATTACATGTATATTATTACTGACAGTATCTGATCTTTTTTTTTTCATCCAACAGAAAATATGGTATCTCATTCTTCAATATGACTATTTTAATATATTGTTTTTTTAAAAATGAATTCTGTTGTTGTTTTTTTTTTTATATCTAAGCTTACATATAATTTAAAAGACATATTTTATCTATTAAATCAAACTATATGCCTATATAGTATAGGGTTGTACATAATATTGATTAGTTAACTATGGAAGCCTATAACTACCATTTGTAATTTCTACTTTTCGCCCCTTCAAAACCTGAAAGTCA